AGATGGCAGAAGCAATCATTTTCAAATTTTGCATGGTGACAAAGACCATATTCTTGAGTGCCAACATCTTAAGGCGTAGAAAAGTTCTCCTTGGAATCCGCCCCACGGGATCTAAAAGCTGCAATATAATCCTTATGGAAGCAGTACTTAACACACAAAGGTATAAGATCAGTAGTTGACTTAAATACAATACATTAATTACTAAACAGCTTTTAGAGTTATTGTAACAGTTAACCACGGAAAAGTAGAACAAAAACGGTACCTGGCTCGAATGTTATACTAATGGCATTAGCGTATGGTTTGAACGTCTTTTGATTGTTACTAGAATACAACATGTATAAAAATAACAATGATTCATTATCAGTATATTCACGAATTAATACCTATTAATAATACCTATGCGATATAATGATACTCATATATGTTCAATACAAATGTATAGGTTTTATTGTAATTCCTCAGTGTTTTGTTAAATATTTATTTAAACCATTAATGTAGGAACCAACAAAAATATAACCTTCGCTCAAAATTAAATTTTTAGTTACAAAAGATCAATGATCCGGTCTCTTAAGAGTCAGTTTAGAGAAGGTATGCAGTAATTAGTGTGATATGATTGTACATGGAGAATTCGATGACAAAAACCTACATAAAATGTAAATTGTTTAACTACCAATCATTTTTCACATGAAACTGAAGATTTCAAGAATAATGTATTGCACAGTGGAAGCTATCATCCAACTATGTCATGCATCTTACTAAAGCTAGAGCAATAAATATGTCACAGACTAACCTCTACACCAGGACATATGTTACTGTGGATTAACATATCGAATGGCTATGCATATGACATAATGCTACCCAGACAATACATATACAGTTGGTTTATATTGTAAGGAAACACAATTTCGTACAGATGAAGATGTTTCTATGACTCTAAAGCCACAAAAGTGCGTGATCGAAATATGAAATATTTCCTGAGTTGTGAAGTGTTTTAAAATAATATTTTCTCCCCGCTGGCTAATGTTTCTTTATATTTTCATGCTATTTCATTTATGATTTAGTATGTATAAAACTTAAATAAATATGTTCATATTTGTAAAAAATATAATTTCACGCATGAGATAAGAAGATATAATGTACATACAAAGATTGAGTTAGAGATCAATCAATATCAATTTTTTCGTATTCATTTACACCCAACCAATTCGGAAAATCATTTAATTCCACTGGTTTGGAGATTCTTATTAACATTAACAGAAACATAAACAACATTAGTAAAACTTGAAAGCTTTCTGTCAAGCTTTTTATACATTTTATTTTAAATTCACGCAGTATTTTTTCAACAACTTAATAAATAATTTATTTTATAATTTATTTTATAAAATATGTCACTTTTTATTTATTGTACATTATTGGAAATAAAGAATCTTGAATCTTGAAATATTTTTAATAGTGTGACTTGATTCATTACACATATGTAAGTGAACCTTTGTGAACTGTATCTTATTAGCCAAATATAAACCAAACCCTTCAAAAAGGAGCTCGATTCTACTAGAATCCTATAAAATACTTTGAGATTCAGTTGTGATCTCCAGTCAGTTTCTTGTTGTAATTTTGCTCTAGTTTGTGCCTCAGAATCGCTCTAGTTAGCTCCTTATAAGGCTGAAATTTAGTTTCAAATAAAATCTTATATAGTTCCTATCGTTAACCATTTAAGGGAATAAATATGTAAACATATTAATTATATCTAGTATATAGTTTAAGTCTGTGTTATATTTTTATATTTTGAACCTAAATGTAAATAAACCTTAAAAATGAATACATTAAAAAAATACTTTTTATTTTTATCAAACTTTAATTTTAAATTTTAGTTGATTATTATTAGTTATAAACAGTTTAATGTATACAGGTTAATGTGAAAGTAAATCTAAAAGGTTATCAGCAACAGTGTTCGAAGTAGGAACGTTAGATACTTAAAAATTCCCAAAGATCCTGCTTTGCTGAAGGAGGAGTTATTTTATTTTGCGATTACATTTCCAGATTTGGATCTAAGCTATCTGCAAACTGCCACGTTATTCCGCAGCGTCGACATAAGGTTAGAGTCTCTTATCGACTTTGGATAAGTATTTCAAAAGCTTTAAGAAGCAATTTTCCATTGAATATTTCGATATAGATTGTAATTGTCACCGTTAAGTTGTATAAAAATTTACCTTTGTGTTACGCTACTAGTCAAACCTATTATATTAATACCGATTATGCTAGCTGTACTAATCCGTTACACAACTTGTCATACTTAATTAGGAATCTGAGTGTTGTGAATCAATTGCATAAATCTAGGGGGAGCTCTAAATAAATACTGATTTAGTAACACACAGACAGAAAATAACATATTTTATACAATACCAAATTTACAAGTTGACACCAAATATACAAATATACCAAATATTACTTTGGGAATTAAATAATACATTGGCATGTGTTTATTTGAATTTAAATGTATAAACTCAACGCACTGTGGAGATAATTTCTTACCTGGATCTATTTCAGCACATGATTTATAATTATTGTCTCTGGAATTTGGACTAGTAATTACGAGTTAGTGAATAAACACAAACATTTAATCAAAGTTGGTAAAATCTATCTCTAATTTGTTGTGTGATTTCGAATAATCTAGTATGTTCCCTGGTTTTTTTTTTATTTTTTCGCCATTATGTAATCGTTTTTTTTTATATTATCATCCATTCTAGGTTTATAAAGACAGAAACTATAAACATGATACATACCTTGAACATCCATTTTGTAAACAGTCACTTTGCTTTGTCAGTTCGCTAAAATATGTTCTAAACATGATCTACGAAGTTTGTTTTTGATCAAAATTTACATCAAGAACACAACTGTTCAATATTCAGTGTAATTGTGATTTGTTATAATAATGCTTTCTTTCATCTAAAAATAAATACAGATGGCATTGACTTTTAACTTGTTTTAATGTTTAAAACAACATGTGATTTAACAATGAAATAATTTAATAGTAATTTTGTTAGTTGAAAACAAAACATCAAGAAATGAAGATCCCTCTCTCTCTTTTGTAATGTAAATGTAAATCTCTGTGAAATTATTGAAAGTTTATTTGTTATATTAAAACTAGTTGTCAATTGTATCTCAGTGTTCTAATTTGTTCTTGAAGAATCAAACTCCGCTTATCTTATAAATACAGTCCACTACACACGCTACCGAAATTCTACATGGTCCTTCGGCCGCAGATCGTCTGAAATTCAGCTCTTTTGGTAACTATAAGTCACAATTAGTTCTACTCCAACTCCAACTTGCAACCTTAAAATAGACTCTTCACTCCTTTCTCATCACTAAGAATTCAGAAGACTACCAAGACTACTGTAGATCTAAGTTAAAAGGTCAATATCTAAAGGACTTTGATTCAAACTTTGATTCCTCTATATTTTTCGCATATTGTTTTTCTTGTAATTTATTATTTGCCATTTCAATGTTGTATCAAACTGTACAATTTGGTATTTTGTAATGCTCATAGCAACCACTAAGAGCGCTGTAACAATGCCATCTGTTATCTGTGTCTCGTATTGCAGACAATAATGACAATCTCTAATCTCTCTCTCTCTCTCTCTGAATACTCAGAATAATTGTTTTATTGTACACCAAAAATGAAATTCGTCACCCTCTCTAGGCAATTAAATTCAATTGCGAATCGTTTAGCCAAAATCCGAACTAACATCCAAGCTTTAGATTTATTACCTGATTTGTCCCAAGAACAAATAAATAAGTTGAAACTTTTAGATTCAGAAACACTTAGAAAATACTCAGAATTTGAAACCTCCCTTGAGAAACTATTCAATGGTGACACGCTTCCCGATGATTATGAAGAAGATACACTTTTTCAATTACAAGATACTATATCTGACTTATGTGTAGGAATTCAAACTCTCACGAAGAAACACCTATCTCAAGATCATATAAGTAATAGGCCTGTTCTAAACACTGACTCGATAACAAATACTCCATCAAGTAGCCTACCCCATAGGCCTAGTAGCTCTTCCTCAAACCAAGATAGCCACTCACTAAAACTCCCTCCTCTATCTCTCAAAACTTTCAATGGTTCACCGGAACAATGGTTATCTTATGTAAGCCTGTTTCAAGTATCTGTTCATGATAATGAAAACATATCTAATGTTGAGCGATTTCAATATCTGCTTTCTACTCTACAGGGAGAACCTTTCAATCTTATAAAGAATTTACCAATCACAGCTGAAAACTATGATGTAGCATTGGATCTTCTTCAAAAACGGTATCAAAACAGTAGGAAAATCATAAGTATACACCTCAACAACATAATAGACTTACCTAACCTAAGTGACTCCTCCCTCAAGAACATTCGCTCGTTCATTTCTCAATATAACGAAAATGCCCAAGCACTCATTGCACTCAACCATGACATAGCCAAGGATAATATCTTGCTCTCAGCCATGTTACTAAGGAAATTACACGCAGACATTCGCAAAAAGTTTGAAAGCTTACGTGTAAATTCTCAAGACCTACCAACCGTAAGTGAAGTAATAACATTTTTAGAAAATGAATGTGCTTATTTAGAAGCTGCTAACCTCTCTAACTCTCAGTTCCCTAGAACTACTTCAAGCTATAGCAATGTAGGTTTCACTCAAAATAGTAAGAGGTCCAGCCCTCACTCCTCTCAGATAGACCTACATAAGTCTACACCGAACCGCACTACTTTACTAGCTTTCAGAGACTCTAACGCCACATGCACATTTTGTAGTAAAAGTGATCACAACATTTACCAATGCTCAGAGTTTAAAGATTTATCCGTACAGGAAAGATACAATTTTGTGAGGAAAAACCACCTCTGTTTGAACTGCTTAGGTACCGCTCATTCTGTCAAAGACTGTAAGTCAAATAAAACATGTTTTCACTGTAAACTGAAACATCACTCCCTCTTACATCAAACTAATAATATGCCTAATGATAAGCTTAACCAAAAGCCTAAAGATAATGCTCCAGCGCCCAAGGAAATGAATAAAACATATGATCACCCTGAACCTCCCTTTGTAGCTGTCTCCTCCAACCCTAATACCACTATATTGCTAGCCACTGCATTGGTACACTTGAAAGCTAACAACGGTAACACAGTTGTAGCCCGAGCCGTTATTGATTCCGCATCTATGGTAAGCTGCGTAACAGAAAATATTGCTAACCTGCTTATGCTTAAACGGACATTTTCCAGTAATTCCAAGATAGATGGCCTATCATCAGTAGAAGTTAAATCTAAAGGTGTGTCAAAAGTTAACATATCGTCTCTTAGCGGAGAAATGATTGCTGATAACAACCCAGTCCTTATTCTAGACAGAATAACCTCAAACCTCCCACACTCAGAAGTTCCAGTTAATGTTAAAGAATACTTCAAACATTTGGTCCTGGCTGATCCAACTTTTCATTTGCCTAATAAGATAGATATGCTCATAGGTGCTGATCTATTCGCTAAAGTAATCACTGGTGAACGCATCATCATTAACAAGGATCTTCCTGCTGCCATGAGTTCTGTATTTGGATATCTTATCATAGGCTCTGCCCCAACTCTTCCTGCTGTAGTCCCTCAAAAAACAGCCCCTCAATGCAAGGGTAATGTTTCTTTATTAAGTACTCAAGATATTGATTTGCATAATTCTCTGCAGAAATTTTGGACTCTAGAGGAACCTTCCGTCAAACTTCAAACATCTAAACAAGAAATTTGTGAAAATCACTTTCTAAACACGGTCTCTAGGGATTCAGATGGACGCTACTTTGTTAGGCTACCCATAAAGGAAAATCATCCCCCTCTTGGTGACTCATCATTTTGCGCTCGTAATAGATTCCTATCATTTGAAAGAAAATTAGAAAGTCAGGTTAAAGTTTAGACTATCCCCTATTGTTTTCTCATGTGACACCAAACAAATGTTTCGTCAAATAATGATCCACCCAGATGATAGAAACTATCAAATGTTGTATTGGCGAGATGACAAAGACGATCCCCTTTCTGTTTACCGTTTAACCACGGTTGTGTTTGGATTCAACTGTTCGCCCTACTTGGCACTAAGGACACTTCACCAACTTATCACTGATGAAGGCGCAATCTTTCCTCTGGCAGCTGAGGCTTTAAAGAAACAAGTATATGTTGATGATTTAATATTAGGTTCAAACAGCATAGAACAAGCCTTGGTACTAAGAGATGAGGTGGAACAACTTCTCTTAAAAGGATGTTTCGAACTGAGGAAATGGACTAGCAACTGCCCTCAAATCATGGAAACTCTTCCCGACTCTTACAAAGAAACATCTCTATATTTCAACTCCTCAGATCAACCTTATTTCAAGGTTCTAGGTATAAAATGGTCACCTAACTCAGACACTTTCTCTTATCAGTTGAATATCCCAGACACACCTCCCACTTAACGAGGTATACTTGGAACAGTTAGCAGAATATTTGATCCAAACGGTTGGTTGACTCCAGTCACTCTTTGGGTAAAAGCGTTGATACAAGTTTTATGGGCACTAGGTTTATCATGGGATGCGCCTGTACCTCCGGATCTAACTGAAAAATGGTGTAAGTTCCTCCAACAACTCCCTTTCTTAAGTGAACTTAGCTTACCTCGATATGTTTCTGTAGCCGATGCTGTTCATATCAGCTTACATGGATTTTGTGATGGGTCTGAAACAGGTTACGGAGCTTGTGTTTACTTGAGATGTGTAAGTTCTACCGGAGAAATCAACGTACATCTGTTAATTGCCAAAGCTCAAGTTTCGCCTCTCAAGAAGATCTCCATCCCTAGACTAGAATTGTGTGGTGCCCATCTTTTGTCCAAACTCCTAAACTATTGCAACTCCCTACTCTCTCAAGATTACCTTGTCAACGAATTACATGCTTGGTGTGATTCATCTGTAGTCTTGTCATGGATAAAAACTGTACCCTACCGCTTAAAAGTTTATGTTGCAAATCGAGTCTCAGAAATTCAGGAACTTACTCCTACTTACATATGGAAACATGTCTCAACTCATTGTAATCCAGCTGACATTGCCAGTAGAGGAACCCTTCCCATTTCTATGAAAGACAACAGTTTATGGTGGAACGGTCCCGATTGGTTATCTCTGAATCAGGAATCGTGGCCTATTCCTCGCTTCATCCCTCTCCAAGACGAACAATTGCCAGAACGTAAGGCCGAACCTTTACCAATAATGGTTACAACTCAAAAACCAGACTTATTCAACAGGTTTTCATCTTGGTCAACCCTCCAGCGAGTCATCGCTTACATTTTACGCTTCAAAAATTGCTTAACTCCAGGTCATTTTCTGATTGGAGGACCTCTTTTATCTCTACCCGAAGCTGACTGGAATGATGTCTCAACAAACAGATTGTCAAGGTGGGAGTCTGTTCAAGCCTTAACCCAAAGTTTTTTGGCAAAGATGGCAAAAAGAATACCTCTACATGTTGCAACAACGAGGGAAATGGAGAAGTCCTCAACCTAACATCAAAATTGGAGATCTTGTCCAACCAACCTCCCCTTTCATGGCGAATGGGACGTGTCATTTCAACTTCCCCAGGGCAAAATGATCTTGTACGAGTTGTACAATTAAAAACTTCAACAGGAACACTCTCCAGATCTATAACTAAAATCTCACCCCTCCCAATCAATGAGTAATAAAAGAAGTTAAGACTGTTAACCAAGAGTTTATTGTAAATAATATGTTCATTTCTAAAATAAATTTTTTCTCAATACTTCATTATTAGGTGAACCCCTCTTAGTGGTTCACGGGCGGGGGTATGTTCAATATTCAGTGTAATTGTGATTTGTTATAATAATGCTTTCTTTCATCTAAAAATAAATACAGATGGCATTGATTTTTAACTTGTTTTAATGTTTAAAACAACATGTGATTTAACAATGAAATAATGTAATAGTAATTTTGTTGGTTGAAAACAAAACATGGAGAAATGAAGATCCCTCTCTCTCTTTTGTAATGTAAATGTAAAGCTCTGTGAAATTATTGAAAGTTTATTTGTTATATTAAAACTAGTTGTCAATTGTATCTCAGTGTTCTAATTTGTTCTTGAAGAATCAAACTCCGCTTATCTTATAAATACAGTCCACTACACACGCTACCGAAATTCTACAACAACATTTAGGCCTAAAGGGCAACAGAATTATCACAAGGCTAAATTATTGCTTATTGGCAGGACTTGAACCCGGGATACCTCAGGGCCTGAAGTTCACGCTCTACCAGTAGACCAGCTGGGTCATTCCTCCTACTAAGAATCGGTAATGAAAAGTGATTAAGCTTGTCTATTCGCCAAAATTGCTTAATTTAAATAACAGTTCTGTTTTTTAGTGAAAATATATTTTTTACTTTACACTAAATCGTTAAACCTCCATTTTGTTTACACAGCGTATAAAGTTGAACGCTACAGCCCAGCTGATGTTGACCACTGAGAGTTTAATTTTCCGGCTCGTCGATTTGACGAGATGGGGTAGTTTATTTTAGTCCTCTTTTAATGTGTAAAAACATTTATTTATAGCGCTACCCCGAACTGAATAAACTAATCTAACCACGACTAAATGTTAACAATAGTTCAAGAGTTATATTATGAAATGACGGATTACTAAAATTGCAATACTGTAATTAATAGGTACATATTTCGTTTATCATCAATTACGCTGTGGTTATTTGAAGAGTGGTTTAAGCAGAAATTATTTACAGAACACTCTTTCCTTTATTTTCAGTCTTTATTTCCATCGCGAATCACAATTACAATGTATTATCTCCAAGTTCTAAGAGTGGGGAAATAAGTTAACGATCCGTTTATTTGAAAGCTAAATTGTATACCTTTTTTAAAAATTCTTTAAAAACTATCGACATGATTGAAGGTATTTTAGGAATAGTTTATTCAACGAACAGAATACATTAATTAATCCAAGATTCATTAACAATTTATTTATGAACTAATTATAATTCGTTAGTGATGATTTGTTTTGTGCCAATAAAGTGTTGATTATATGATACTGAATATATTATTAAGCCCAGTATATAAATTCCAAAATATACAATTAACACACTTTAAATATTAAATATGAATATCACAGCGCAAGTTTCATATATGCACTAGTTTGTTGCTAAATATATTTGTGAAACCAAACTAACTTTGGTATCGAATTAAATACCTTACTCGACTCTTTTCCCTCCCTACTTTAAAAGATTTTTTTTTTATAATTCAACGATTTTTTTTATATACAAATTTACATTGAGTAATATATTGTTTTCAAAGACATTGTAACAGAAAACTATTGGATAAACAAATCAAGGGGGTAATAGATTACTCCCTATTTGGGAATTTACTAAAAATAATAATATTGGAGATAGTTGAAGCTGTATGCTTTTGAAATTTCGTCTATGTTTTATATGTTAAGGTCTTTGGTATCTGTGCAAATATTTAGTTTAGAAGTTCTCACTATGAAATTATCTGGAAAATATATTTGAAATTTCATATTTTAAAATTAACTTGTAGTGACATTGGTATTTTATATTTTATACCCACGCTAAGGGCTGCCTGGGCCTGGATCTAGCTAAAGTTTTCCCAAGAAAGCATCCAAGGGTTACTAGTTACGGTAGTTATAAGATACAACCAACAAAATGGCGCCACACCGCAGCTTCGTTTAGCAGTAAACATTTATGGGGCCGCACTAAATATACTTTTCCATTTGCTCCTAGAGTGTGTTCATTTTGAACTATTTTTATTAGTTTAATGCATTATGGTTTTAGCTCCCCCTTGGTTTGTTTTTCTCTTTATATCACAATGGTGGAGCAAAGGACAATATGGCATGGTGTACAACAAATTTACTAAAATAATATAACTTACTTCGTATTTAATTAAACTAGTGGTCGTCCTGTGGTCGAAACTCGACCAAAAATAATTCATGTACAGACTTCTCTATTTTCTCCCCACACTGTAAATAAAACATGTGATTGGAATTTCTTCCATTTGTTTTGATTTTCTGTTTACATTTTGTTGTTATTTCGTTACCATCATGGCAACCCATATGGTCCATGTTAATTTTTTGGAGTTTTCAAATTCATTTATTGTTCTTATTTGTTAGCCTATTTTAATTTATAAAGGGATTCTGCACACCTACAGGAAAATAGCTTTCTAACGGTATGCGTAGATTTTCCCTACGATACACACGAGCTGAGAAAAAAGGTTTTAAAGAAACATGCTTGCCTATTAATATATAGATAGATTAGTTTAGTAATACTAATAATTCAATATTATTTTTGTAGTGTACTCCTTAACACTCACCCTTTAGAATCAGCTGATTTTATTAAAGTAAGTCAGTGTTTTTAATGCAATAAACAATATCCGTATTAACGTACTATATCTTTTAGTGTGAATATAATTATAAAGGTAACGGTTAACCATTGAAATACCAATTCATTTAGTACCAAATGTATCTCTAAAGCTCGCCAGGCCCTAACAACAAATAGGACGTAAAGCTATTTGATTATTCTGTTCCTAAAAAAAATATTTTCCTCTTGGTTTAATACCAGAAATGTTTTATACCTAAACGGTTTCATCACTATAGACAACCGATCAGTTGGGGCTTCCAATATTTCAAATCAAATATTCAGATACGACTCACTAACAATCAAAAGGTCACCGGTTCGATCCTGAGAAAAGTCAGTAGCTTTTGATGATTCTAAACTGGACCCTTCTGTTCCTGATCATTAGGCTTTAGATAAATGATTCTGGCTAATGAAACAGCTGATCTTAGTCAGTAATACAGCTAAAAAAACTCATCTCACTGCCATTCTACACTCATATTTGGGTTAAAATACGCGCATAAGAGGCGTCTCCATCTCAATGATTGATAATTGTTTTAAATAAAAATTACGCTTGCTTAGTTACTTAAAATAACAATTTGAGTATAGCAAAACACTGATACATTATGAATGGATTTTTAAAATTGTTTATAGTATGTGCTTGTTTATTATCTACAAAAAAAAAAAAAAAGAAAATTATCTACAATAAATATTTACGAGGTTTTACAGAAAGTTTATGAAGGAGTCTAACTTGTTTGAAAAACTTAAATTTGGAATACTTGGTGAATATTAAACAGTTTTTTGTTAACCTATAACTTGAATACACGCTTAACATCTCATGAATACACAATTTCAAACTTTCTCACGATTAACTACGCTCTGAATATCAGTCACAGAGACACAAACTACTTATCAAGTAGAATAGTTCAAACTCTGGCTTTAGTTTTGATCAATTCAACAAGGCGAGTGAATTCAATATGACTGCGTTCCCGTAACGGTTTAATTTTCAACTTCACCGATTGACGGATTTAGTTATTTCAATCATTGGTTTGGGTAAAACGGAAAACGTGTTTTCCAAACTGTATTAATCGTGAATCTATTTAACACGCCGACGAATTCAACTATTTGTTGTTTTGTATGGACAAGATTTTTCTCATTGCACGAAAATTACTAACTGTAAAATTTGTTTAAGTTAATGTATTTTTACTTTCTCCCCCTATACATAGTATATGGAGAAAGCATTGTTTTCGTCAAAATTTTCGAGTTTGAGTTTAGAGTGGATATATCCATTTTGGGTCCCCCTGAACCCAAAAAAGTGGTTTTCGAAGTGATGTCTGTGTCTGTATGTGTGGATGTGTACAGAGCTTCGATTTGGTTTAAATTTGGTATGTAGGTACTAATGCATGGTGTCTCCAGGGATTTTTTTCAATTTTTTTATATTTATGGGGATTTTATTATAAAACCCATAAAATAACGGAAAATCAGATTTGAACGGAATAACGGAAAATGAGCGTAATTAATTTGATAAAAATTGTTATGTTATAGCCCTTTGGATTCTGAACAAAATGGTTCAATCCCATTTCCATAAAAATTACGGTTAAACAGTTATTGTAACCCATAAAACATTATTTTCCCATAACAAATCACATAAAATTAAAAAAAAGATTTAGGAAGAACCCTTTTTTTAACCAATGTCCTTATAATTATTCCTTATAATTCCGAACAAAAAAATTCAACCCCATTACTGTAACAATTACGGTTCAAAAGTTATTGTAACTTTTGTGATTTTTTCCTACAAAATTATCATACCCTAGTTACTCCCACCGACCCATGATAAAGGTTGTTGACAAGCATGGGAGAAAGTATGTGTCAGATTGCTGATACCGTATATTTTTATAATTTTGTCATCGTTTAAATACTTCAATTGGTAATTTTACGATGTATTTCACTCTATACCATATAACCTTGAAGCAGTGATATAATGTTAATGCTTCGGATTTAACCAAACCAGTAATTACTTTGTCGCCTAACTTTCAAAAATATAATTTACATTTATATTTTTTCAAACTAATTAACAACCATATGAACTATGATATAATTTTAATTTCTGTATTCTAGTTGTTATAATTATTAAAAAGCTTTAAATAAAAAATACATACAATTGTTAGTTGAATTGCAGAAACCAAAAATGTCTAGTCGATAGCACATTAGCTGCCGATTTCTGTATCAACAAAACCATAAGCTATGTCGTTGATTAGTTTAAAAACGTTAATAACAAGTATGGCAACATTATATCACCTATTACATCAATAATGTTACCATAACAATACAGACGAGTTATTAGTTGAAATTCATGAATGCATCGCGTTCATCATAATATGTGGAATATGCGAGGAACTCTGGGAAGTGAATAGGCCTATGACATTCCTAGAAATGTGGACAATCTTTGAGCTTAATTTTGGCAGAATCGGTTTAGTATTTTAGTCGGGGTAGCTGCACAGACAGATTGACAGACGGAGAAAGACCGACAGACAGACGCCACCTCAGTTTTATAATAGTATAGATGGATAAGTGACTTGAATTAATATTACTTACGATTTGGATTTATTAGATAGAAACAGTTGTTGTTCTTAACAAAGGCATTGCACTATAATAAAGGGACAAGTTAACACATATGGTTCGAGGTACATTTTATTATTCACGCCAATTCAACAAACGCTATTTTGTGTTGTGAAGGATCGAATTTTCTTAGTTGAATAAGCCGTGTATATTACTTAACATTAAACAAAAATAACTTCAACAAATTCAAAAGCATATGATTATTAAGTGTCTATGGAGCATGTTAACAAATATAAATGTACGGCTCAAGGCATGTCCAAGAACCTGTATCACAACATAATATGATAATGTATTCTAAAATTTGACTATAACTTAATAAATAAATAAGTACATACATATAATACACAAATTACAAACTTTTGTACGAGTTACTCGCAACAAAAGAGTTCAATGATTGAAAGTAGATGCTTCAGATGATAGAGGAGATAAGACTACGTATGTAAGCAAGATAACGTAGTCAATAAAATCTACACTCTTAACTTTTTATTTCCAATATTTTAAATTTGTATTCGTTATTTAAAACCACATAAACAGTACAACAAAAATCACATAAAGTCCATCCCAATGTTAAATAACAATCATAAAAAATGCCACGTGGCAACTGAACACGTTTACCGTTTAAGTGTTTATGTATTTTGTGTTTTATTGTATGTTTTTTTTGTTTCTCAATTTACATTTTAAGATTGGAAACCCGAAGGCGGGTCTTTTCAAGCAAAAGAAACTTTTAAAATTCATTTAAACGCTAACTCAAACGATCATTATTATTATGTGCATATAGGCCTAGTTTGAATTTTCAATCTTTTCTAAATGTCCTCCTTTGAAAAATGTTGTTATAATTTCTTACTACCTTATTTTAACTACTGTACAACATTTATTCCTCTTCAATGTCATATTCTTCCTCTTCACTGAGTGCACTTCTTTGTTCTGTCAGCTGATGGTACATTGTTGATCAGCTGTTTTCTACCATGGTAGAGTTCATCCACTTCAGGAACGTCGCCACTCTGGTGTACAGTCCTGGTAGTCTAGGTCTAGCACAACCTACCCCTGTGGATACTACCCCTACAACAGCCATCTCTCCTTCCTCCCCCACCATTAATGGTCCTCCACTGTCCGCCTGATAATATAAATAAACAACATAAATATAAATTATAAATATAAACTTTCTTATTTTACTTGGATGGAAAGGCAACCGCAATATTGGCAAGCTCTTCGTTCACTCTTGTCCCCTTGTTTAGAATATTTTTATATGGAGTCGACTCACCAGGGTGTGTATTTTAACGAATATGACTGAAGGATGTGAATTGATTGAATGAGAACGAATTTGTTTCTGACTAAAGATGGTGCTTTAGCTTGGTGGATTATTACCAGCCCGATGATCAAGGATGGTTTGTTCAAGTTTTGAACCTTTCTGCATCGGACATTTTTGGAATTGAACACGTGGTTTTTTGATTACCAGAAGAGCATCATATCCACTCACAACATACATTTATCTACATAGGCCCCTAATTATTATTTAGTTAAATATCCGAAGTCCGATGATCAACTACTACTCAGGCAGGTGGGTCTGCCCAAAATCTCCTCACACCTAGAAATACAGGCAGATGATAAACCTGGTATGACCTGTTGACTCCCAATCGTACAAAGTAAAACTCTACAAAATTTACTGTAGGTAGTAAAACCTTAAATTATACATTATTCAGTACCATTTTGTTGAAAAGGGTTCTAGCTGGATGTATGCTTTCAACCATGACTAAATAGGCTTGTTAGACGACGGTGACAAGTCATGGAGTTTGACCACAATCTTACTTTCATTTCTCTGGAATATAAATCATCTTCAACAGGCACATTTCTTAAGTTCAATTAAACACTCTAGACACACTTCCACTAGTATTATATTATTATGTTACTTCACTCATACTTACCCAGCACGCATCCTTGCCCCCTGCCTCTACTCCCGCGCATAGCTGTGAGTCTTGCACCCTCAACGCTTTACCCTGTGACAGATACCACTCCTGGCACAGCATGTTGTCTACTATGGACAGCCGCACCTTCCGCAGCACGTTGGCTCGCTTACCTGCACAACATTAGTGTCTCTTTTAGGGATCGGTTGAATTTCTAACGGCAATATCAACGTCACTCTCTGTAAAGATGGAATATGTCAGACGACGTCAGAAAACGATATACGTTAGATTTGAAATCAAATATGGGCGTTTGCAAACAGTAAAACGTTAAAACATGTCCAAACTACCAGTACATGTTGAACTGTTCGTACTCTATGGGTTATTTGGGGGAAAATGCAAATATAAAATAGCTCTTTGTAGTTCTTAATATATTTGCCAAAGAATTAAACTAGGTTCCGGAGGCCCGGACTCAGACACTACAAGTTTCAATGATTTTATCTGTGTGACGGAATTCAAGTTAGGGTTTTGCTTCACCAACCCAGGAAATATTTATAGAGTATAAACCCTTAAGTGGCATATACCCTACTACCCCTAGGGCATATGGATAGATATGGACTAACCCTTGGAAGAGTTTTCCTCCGTCCACCCCCACCCAGCTACTGTCGCTTCCTCCGCCGTGGGGTCAGAGAAGCACGCAGGCAGCACCCCAGAGGACCACGGAGCCGCAGCCCCCAGCCGCAACAGTGCTAGGTCGCTGTCGTAGCTGGCACAGCGGAAGTCCGGGTGGAGGATGACCTTGGTCACGGGCAGCCTGAGGTCGCCGCCCTGCAGGAGGTTGTGTTGGCTTAGAGTCACACGCAGGCCCGTGGTGCCGAGAGTATCTGTTCCACTGGAAATAAAGTTGAAGTATATTTTAAAATGTCTTACTTTGTTCTTCGTGGCTAGAGATATACTCGTAATAGGACTTACTTTCAATTGAGATCTATTAATGTATTTATGTATTAAGAACCTGTGCAGAACCATTTACCATAAGGATATTAAAGGTGCCGTTTTAAGGATTTTAATTTTAGTTTCTCTTTAATTTAATTATGTAGATTTATGTGCCTTTAAGTTTAAGTTAATTTATTTTAGTAATGTGTAATATTTACCAAAAAATTATCTCCCACCCCCTCCCCAATTGGTGAAGGTCCCCAAAATGGGGCTCAAGATTTGATATTAATTTTGATTTGGGTTGAATGTGGAGGGGCTCAAACCTTACTCAACTTGATTCTACCCCACAAGGTGGTCTGACGAAGCTTTGTCTAATGTTGTTTCGATCACAATTTTTCCCTCTCGTAGGAAATCAGTGACATACAAAGGTTACAGAGACAGACAGAGACAGAGACATCACTATATTTTGTGACAGCCTTTTAGTGATATCGTTTCACTTAAGAGTACCCTTCGTTCTTTAGTGAGTGAATCAGATACACAATCATATATGTCACAATAGTTTACAGTGACAGAGGATTGAGTCACGTTATCAAGCGATAGGAAATTCAGGCTATCGGAGCTATGAGAACTATGTGCTTCTGAGTTATAGGAATCGGAGCTATGGAACACCTCACCTGCACAGACAATGTGCTGCAGTCAACACCCAGTGTTTGTTGACTAAGGTGCCTCCACAGAAGTGGCCGCCATTTTTCGTCAGAGATACCAACCACGGAAACTCCCCCTTGGTTGCAGTCTCACCCCCGACTATCCGACCTTCTCGTCTCAACCGGACTGAGGGCCAGCAGTCCACGTCTGCAACTTAAAGAAAATGTGAATTTCACTCTGAAATGTCACCAATGTTCATTAAAACTATTTATTTAAAAACTAGTGAGCTAGATCGCTAGAGAGGTTATGTTTTCATTTATAATCTCTCATTGCCACTGCAATTGCACCACTCAACAATTAAATTGGCCTAAACAGCTGATTAGTTGAAGTTCGAATCATTGCAATTTTACTTCTCTCGCAATCCTTGAACCTCATTGGTCCGTTGCCCGTGTTGTTATGAGTAAAACAATGCTGTTATGAAAGTAAACAATGCTGTTATGTGAAACTTTTCAATTCGAGAACTTCACTGAAACGGCGACTTTAAAAAACAACTGTCGTAGGTAAAATAAATTTAAGACTTATCTCTTATGTTATGTGTGTAGAAAAAAACCATTATTTAACATTCTGATGCGTTTATAGATGTCACATTTCATCATATTTTTTACATACATGTATATTTTGGTATCCAGTGATTCTGTATTGGAATAAGAATAGTTGATTGCCATTGTGCAAATAGATTACAGTTAATATAGTAATTGTGAAGTTGCATACAAAGAGAAAAAAAAATATATAAATTCCTTCGATCATAGTTAGAGTATAGTTAGAGTACCTTCTTTTGAAAATCAAATGTTAGATGTACTTTAAAATTATTTTGACGACACTCATTATTATATTGTAGATACTTCCTGACTTTCTTCCTGACCATATAAAATCCATAGAGAACCGTGCAAGGTTTGGGGCAGAGATACAATCTATGATTTTGAGTAGCAGGCATGAATGAGTCTCTGGCGCTGGTGTGGCGGGTTGTTGGCGGCTTGTGTAAATGGACTTTTTGGGTTTAAATTTAATTTCAACATTTTATAATATGGTACGTTAAATTATTTAATTTTATTTATAAAGTGGATAGTTTATTTATGTTTTAGAGGTTAAGTGGTAGAGAGGACTTGCTAGTCCTAACTTCGCCTCTTAAAGAAAGACATTTTTCATTACATTTTTCATTTCATTTCATTTCATTTCATACTTAGTCAGGTAAGGTTGGAATAAATAATTAGCCTCATATAGAATGTAAACGTACTTGTCCATTGTCTCGAACCATATACTTAGCAAGAATTGTTACAAAAATATACCTTAACCACCCTCCTCAACGGCAAAGTACTAAAGTTTTTTGTACCTAACCGTTAAATAACTATTTTACCTATTGGGTGTGTAATACATTTAGGTTTTAGCTAGATATATATATTAACTCAAAACGCTCAAAATTTAAAACAAATTCTAGCATTACGGACTCTATGTTTCATCCTAACCAACATAATAATTGTTTACCAGCGAACTTAATTCAATATAGAATAAACAGCTTTAAGCAAATAATACAATCCCCTTAGGCATGTTAATCTATCGTGTCTATAGAACATGATCTGTTGAAAACCCATTTTAAATATACATACAAATCATATACCTGTCTATTTATCCATCTTCAAATAAGGGTTTTCTCTGTAAGATCCCTTTTCCACCCGTCCTTAACAGTTTTTTACGATTGATGTGTAATTGTGCATCTTATGATCTAGCGGGATGGTGAATGGCAACTAAAAAGGGGATTCCCTTTAGGGCTTCGTTCCCCTAAGGTGTGATTTATTTTTAGGATTCGTTTTCAAAGATCATCAACCTGATACTGACCCACTTTCTTTATAACGGGTTAAATCGTAAACAAGATACGAAACAGTTTAAGAAACTGCATTTGATATAGCCTATGCTACTTTCAGAAATAATTGTTACCTGATGAAGGTTAATAAATCAATCTTTATGGTATGGATCTTTAATCAACAAATTTAATTTATTCGAAATTGTTAGTTTTATTCACCTATTAACTGTCTTATACTAAAATATTTTTAAGAATAAAGGGTATTATTCGTTTTTGCCTCTATTTTGAAATCTAATAAAATGCTCGATTCGCGCACTAATCCCCTCATTAAGTACTAATATGGGCAATTTTATCCTTTTTTATAACTAGTACAAAATATATTAGTGAATTTCCCATATATGGAGCAGTCCGGAGTGTGGGAACTGTTTGAGGATTAGATTAAGGTATCTGCAATCCTAAAATGCTATGGGAAGGGAGGGAAACAGGTCCACGACGTAGGGAGTTGTGAAGGAAGTAGTCAATGTGAGCATTGTGGATTGTGGAAATTGAATTAATGTATCTGCAATACTAAGACTGCTTTCAGAGTAAACTAACGATTTTTTCTGAGCAAAGCTCGGTCCCCAGGTACTTGGCATTAATGTACAATGAGTATAAATTAAAATGCCCGAACAATACAACTGTCTGTGAAGCAGATTGGTTATAGCGCTCGCAATCAAATCTGAAGGTCGCTGGTTCGATTCCAAGAGAGGTCGTTTCTAAATCAGCTGTTCATTGTCATTGTTCTACCTAACAATAGGTCAACTTTAGATAGTAACAAAACTAGGATTTGGACCGTTTCTTTCAAAAAAATTTAAAATGCCATTAAACATAAATAAATAAAAACTCAAAATCCTACAAAACTTCAAATTTAAAGAATATTTCTACCCTTAATATTTATATATTACACATACGTTAATACTTACAGTTAGTTATGGAGTTGGTTAAAGGCGCTCCAAGTACCAACAAACACAACACTTCCCACCACATCTCGGCACGGACCTACCCTCAGTGACTGAGCGCCGTTATCACTAACACTCTGTTATCACTAGCCTAGAGACAGTCTCAAGGTCATTGCCAACCCGGAACCCCCATAGCAGTGTTTACATCGATGACCTTGACATTGCAGTGTCTTTGCCGGGGACGGTCGATAACGGTATTGGAATAGGCAACATATTTGTACTGATATTACTTGAGGGGTGGATTTTGTGATTCGATATTTTCGGAAAAGTATTTTTAGATTTAATAGTTACTGTGATATCTGTCTATTAATTGTATTGAAAGAAAATTCTGTTTACGTTTGCGTGTTTGTTCTATGTAAAGCACAAATAGCCATATGGGCTAAAAGTTTTCATGATGGTAGAGCATAAATTCTGTTAAGACATAAACCTAGTTTTACAGAACCAAACCAAACACATAAAATAAACTTCCAGCATTTGATTTCAGCCGCATTATTCTCTGTTGTGGCCTAACCCTGTAGATCGAGTAAGCTAGCATTGCAAAAAAGTACTTTTATCATATCAAGTATCATAGTTCCTCCCCTTTTTACTGCTCCAAACAAAGTTGGTTAATGTTCTTAAAGTAAAATATTAACCATTTTGTGAATGAACTTCGTTCATCGATAATCTACCAAGTAACTTATTTTTTTCAAGTTATACATAACGAGAGACCACGTACTAAAGTGAATGACCCCGTTAATGTGAATAAAAAGATAACTAATTCAGGGTTCAAACGTAAAATCTTTAAAGAGTTCAAAGAGTTCATACATAATAAATATAATTTTCACTCGTACCATTACTGGCAAATTTCATTCAATCAATAACAACCCACGTCATTCCATCCGACAGAATATAAAACAGCTGTTTAGTCATTGAAAACTTTATTTTCAAAGTAATATTTTTGACCACAAACTTTCACTCAACAACTATAAATTGAAACACAAAGCAGTCCCGCATCAAGCTAACAAAGCCAGTTTTCTTCACAGATGTAAGTGATTCTTGAGTTCCAAAGAGTCTCAAGTCCCAAGTCAATAAAACAGTCTTCACTCAGCTACTCTCTTTGTCCTCCCCTCGTCTGAGAGCAAAGGAATGCCCTTCTTTGAGCTCCAGTTTTGAAAGAAAATCAAATTTCGGGTGGTTTTAATTCCTTCCCTCCATATGACCTTTTTTTATTCTTTTGAAGTTTCTTACGATTTATAAAATATTCTGTCCCGTAAAACATTGTTTAAGTTAAAATTAACCAACTTATTGGTGTTTTTTTCTACCAATTGACAACGATTATAGGGAGGAAGGAGCAAGTGCCGTTCTATTCTTTGCCGTGGGGATTATAAACTGTCAAAACCGTCAGATAGGGTCGAGTGCTGTTTAGACAGCGGCCCGTTTGACTCCCCAGAGCGTAAGGGTGATTCAGGGGAGGGGTTTCAAGGGAACAGTTTCTTAACTGGGTTTTCCTAATATCGATTGAAAATTAGTATCGATTTGATTAGTAAACCTTCATTCATTGTTTTCATAATCAGCAAGTTTGGTTAGGTTAGGTTAGGTTATGATGAGGTATCCTCAGTGGCAAAGCTGAGTCTGCCATCACTGGCCATCACTGAGCATGTGAGAAAACTGGTGCTGTGCATGGTGTATATACCTACTTGATGCGGCTTCCACCGGAAGACCGAGAATTCCGTGATAACACCAGCGGCATGCCTATGAATGAAGATTTCAAAAATACTCGCACTTGAATATTTGAATATATTTAGATTACAATACAACGATCATCATGACACCCGATGGAAATATTCTGAAGTAACCATTCCTAAACTAACTGCACGCCTCATGGGTTCAACTTATGTTTAGAACTAAGGATAAAAACCGTTTTATTGGTAGATTTCAAAGCTCTCAAGCATTGGCATTTATTTATATGTGAACAAATATTTTGATATTTGTGTAGTACCTGAAGTGTTTGTGTATAGAATGTGAGTAAATTTCAAACTTAACAAGATCATCAATAGTTTCTGAAGGTCCACAGGAAGATCGTTTATTAGATAAAATTATACTACTGTATTAATACAATCATTTTTTTACAGCCTGGATAACGTTATTTGTCCTTAAATTTCACGTAAATATGTCTAAAGGGAAATGAAAAGTAATCCAGAAAAAGGACAAAAGTACGAGACCAGTTACAATAAAGTTCTTAAATCGATTCTCGCTACTTTAGAATATACTTCTTAACTAACAAAACTGTCCATGTTATGAATCAACTTTGATAGTTTTTAACACAGTTGAGCGGGCAATACACCAAACAAACGATTCACATTTGAGTTGTTTCTGGCGATGAAAAGATCAGAACCAAAAAGTCATCAGCTGCCGTGGTGCTCGCTCCAATGAGAATTTATTGGCTTTTCATTGTTCAGTTCTAAGCCCTTTATCAAGGGATTATTGGAATTTAAGCCCCTTTCCCTTGTTGCTTAATCCTGCACTTTAGCGGAATAAAATCCATGTGTTTAACGGTTGTTATCAGGTTTACGCTGTATTCGAGTAGCAATGCAAATTCATTGTTTTGGCGATAAAAAATATATTCAAGTTATTTTTAAGTTCTGTCTTTTAAAAAACGTATATATTAAAAAAAACTTAGCAAAACTTATGACAGCTAGTCTGACCATACTACTGGACCGAATTACACGCGGGTTGTACTAAAAGAAAGGTTATCGATCCTATATGTGCATGTTGTATTTGTATTTTGAAAATATTTATGTTAATTGGGCCAAAAATGGAAATTCAACTTTTCTTATGGAGATTTAAAATGGGGCCAATTCTATATAATAAAAGGTATGTTTATTGAAAAACTTTTTCTCAGCTACTGTGCATCGCAGGGAAAATCTACGCATACTGTTAGAAAGATATTTGCCTGTAGATGTGCAGAGTAAATTTAAATATTCTCAAAAATAAACACAAACAAATAAATATTAAAAATTAAAAAAAAAAACATGGGTCTTACGGGTTGCCATGTTGGTGACGAAATAACATCAAAATATAAACAGAAAATCCAAACAAATGGAAGAAATTCCAATCACATGTTTTATTTACAGCATGGGTGAAAATAAGTAAGTTTGCACAACACGTACTTTTGGTCGAGTTTTCGACCATGGGGCGAGCTCTAGTCTTTTATAATATAGTTTTAGTAGTCATTTGTGAATTAAGAAAGTATGCTTAATCTATGATTAAATTGCATAAGAAATCGAACGTGCTGCAGTAATAAACCCGATACATTCTTCTAAAGTTAAGATTTTTCATAATTCAGGCTGTTCAGAGTCTTTCCTCAGAATAAATACGTTTCTTTCCTATTCATGTAGTGACTTCGAAGGGTAAGTACGTTAAAAGAGAGGAAAGTGTTTAGTATCAACCCCTCTCCCCTAAGGTGTATAATAATAACGTTTATTATTGAAATAAGTATACAGAAAATGTAATTTTTCCATTTAATTTAATGATTCAGTAGGGGACCAAGCTTTGTGGTTATTTATTTTTATTAGGTAAAATAGTATCATCAACAGATACCTATTATATTTTAAAGGAATAATTTTATTACCAACCATGATCATTTAATCGCTGAGATAATATCAACTCTGTAATGCGTGTCTAATTCTACCCATTTCATAGATGATTAAATGCATTTAGATTCACATTTACCATTGATTATAGACACTAAAAATAGTTACACGCTTAGGCTACTATGAATGAATGCTCATTTTACTATCTCGATTATTATTTCACTTGGCTTCACATTGAAATTGCAAACAATTCAGTACATTTCAATGCTTTTACATAACTATTTCTTAGAATATTTAATTTCCTAAGTTTTTTTTAGTTAGCATGCACCGATGCACTGCCCTTGCATGCTGCACTGAGTAACCCTGGCCTTGCCCGCATAGCACGGTAGGTCACCAGTTCGAGTCCGGGCCAAGGCCAAGTCATGTAACATTATGTCAACCACTCCCCTTGTTATGGTAGGTTAGTGGTTGTAGGCACTTCTCCAGCCAATCCCTGTCTCTGAGCACGGAAGGTATGGTTATCTAGAGTGTGGGGGGTTCTCCCTGGAACCTCAATTGAGTTAAGGGTGTCGCCACCTTTGGTGGATAGGTTCATCCGGGTGGGTCCCACTTCTATACCTGCCTCCTTTTGGGAAACCTTGATGGCCTGGCAGTGATGTTGGGTCTGACGGGCAAATGAAGTAGATCGGGTGCTGGGTCCGAGCCCGCCAGGGGTATCTGGGGATCTATCGCTCTGGTTATCTCTGGTTTCCCAGCAACTGGGTAAGGCCTCGATCGGGTAGTGGTGTAAATGGGAGGTTGGGGTTCCCCCATCAGCGTGCTGACGGTCCCCTTCCTTCTGGCTTTGATGGCGGGTTCTGCCTGTCAGGGATTAGATAGGTCCCGAGTGTTGCTTGCACTATGTCACGTCCAGGGCACTCCTTTTAGTCCAAAGGGCTTCGGCCTTGTAGAGCTTAATTGGGGTGGGCGTGGGAATAAAGTAGCCGGTATCCCTGGTTAGGATTGAGGGGCAACCCTCTCTCCGATCGGTTATTTGCCGTTTGGTAGCCGGTGAGTGTGATGACCTTAAGTCATCCTCCTATGGTGTCATAAATGTTGGTGCGTCAGTTCCAATCGGCATCATAGGTCCCGGGTTAAGTAATAGGTACCGGGTGTGTCGTGGAGTTTCGGCTCTTCTGACAAAGAATAACATAACATAACATAACATAACATAGGTTATGGCATCTAAAGTACAAGTATCCTACTCATACAGATTTGCAATTTAATTTATTAAATGGTTGATTAAGTTATGAGTAGCACTAGGGTCTGTTTGTGAGGATATATAAGATTGTTTATGTCTGTGAATTTGTTGTTCAGAGTAAACTAAAAACCAATTGAATCAATCGACTGAGATTGTACAGCAAGGTTAATGATGAACCCCGCAAACACACAATACCCCCACCACAGCAAACCTGCAGACTAAATAAATTTCCATTCTTATTGGATTTTCAATTAAATATTTCCCAAAACATGTCAGAATAATTATCTATTGAAATACCGTATAATCAGATTTAATCATTACTTAGGTAAACAAGCAAACTACAGCAGTTTACTTATTATCAGTCCATAAGAATATGGGAATTATTAATTTAAAGTTTTGCCCGTAACCATTAACCGTACAAAAAAACTTCAGGTAGCCTACTGGAAGTATTTGTTTTTTAGCTATTCAAAATTATTTAAAGGGAAACTGGTAAATTTTATGTTTCTCTGCTCTTACAAGAGGAAACTTCCTTACAAAATTAAAAATCAGACTTAATTTATAATGTGCCATCAATATCACGAAATAACATTGCAAACAAGTCTTTAAGTTTTTCTGAAAACATAAATCTGTAACTTCTTATAAACATTTTAGAGAAGTTGTTTCATCTTTCATTCAGAATTGAAATATCAAAGAGCCGTGAGCATTTACATAATTTCTAAGTAGCATTTCTGGCATTCAAACTCAGGAATGTATTTCTTACGTATTGAAAGCATTCTTCTTATGTACCTATTGAAAGCATTCTTCTTATGTAGGCCTATTGAAAGCATTCGTTCCAACAAGTTTCTGAGCATTGAAATCATGAATACACCTTACATTTTAGACCCAATTATACGGTAAACATTTGAAATACAGTAATTCATAACAGTTTTTTTTCGTTGTAATTATTGCTGAAGAAGACTAGCTCCGTCTTCTTATAAAAAGTAATACTGTAAGTATTATATTATAACATCAGTGCCCTAAATCTATCTATCTATATATATAAAATCCAATGTATGTTTGTATGTTTGTATATTTGTATGTTTGTATGTTTGTCCTTTATGGACTCCGAAACCGCTCGACAGATTGTAATGAAACTTTCAGGCATTATTAAGCATTATTCAAGGATGGTTTGTGTGAAGTTTGGTGCAGATCCGTCAAAAGGGCTCCGCCCCAGTGGCTCTGGAGTTTCCCATGTTAACCTTATGAGTACTCATATTTAAAAGGAATTAAAGAATCTTAACAGCTGGTTCAACTAAACTATCTGATTCTGTGATGTTCAATAGCATTAAAAAGTTAATAGATTTACCAACAGGGTGCAGCACTATATTTTTTTAATTTATGAGAACAGCTAACTTGCAACCAAAAGGTGAGTGAGCGCATGGTGGAATGAGTGAGCGTAGCGAACGAACTTCAACCTGGAGGCGAGTTGCGTAGCGAACGAGCTAACCTGAAGGCAAGTGAGCGCAGCGAACGAGCTCCAACCTAAAGGTGAGTGAGCGTAGCGAACTTCAACAGCTAATTAGCAACCAAAAGGTGAGTGAGCATAGCGAACGAACTTTAACCAGGACATGATTGAGCCATGCGAACGAACTCATCTTGAAAATGAACGAGCATTTGACATAAATCCACACTAGGACAGGACGACGTCTGTCGGGCCAGCTAGTACTCTAATACGAGCAAAGTTTGCTTGTATGTATGTATGTATGCTTGCACCAAGATCTCGAAAACGGCTCCGACGATTTTCTTCAAATGTTGTATATAGTTTAATTCTGGCCTAAAAACGAGTTTACTGCAATTATAACTGCCAACAAAAATCTAATTACGTAGAAAAATGAAACTGAAAATCACATTTTTTAAACATTAGTCTTATGGGTTGCTAGGTAACCATGTTGGCTGAATAAAATAACAAGGAAAAAGTAAACAAAAGACTTGTAATTTGTCTATCCACAGTATACTAGCAAAACAAAATACAGTACAAAAGGAAAAACATCAGTTGTTACTATTGAGCAAAGATTATACTGAATATTACTCGATTATATAGTCAAGGGTAGCAATGTGGAGTGTGGGAACTGTTTATGACAATTAGGTTAAGGCATAGATAAAACATACTCCCTTAGTAGATTTCTCATCCTAATGGAACAGCTGAAGACAATTTTATTGTTAGTTCTGTACGGTTTATGTAGAGGTCGTGTTTTGTTTACAATTTGTTTCCCGTTAATACAGTCATTTAAAACCTTGTTTAACCAAATAATAGATCTAATCATAAACAATAAATTGTCCCCTAGTATTTAACCAAACAGTAAAGCACAAATCAAGAAATTAACCCTAAAATAATAGAAACAAAATTTCGTCGACACTAGCGCCCAGTGTGGCGTACATGAACTAGACACGAAAAACGATTTCAAAATTTACAATGGGATGAGAAGTCTACTTGTGTTGGTTAGTCTATGGTTAAGGTATCTACAATCCTAAAATGCTATGGGAAGAGAGAGAAACAGGTCCGCGACGTGGGAAGTGATAAAGGAAGTAATAAAGGTGAGCAGTCTGGAGTGTGGGAACTGTTTATGATGATTAGATTAAGGAATCTACAATCCTAAAATGCTATGGGAATGGAGGGAAACAGGTCCGCGACGTAGGAAGTGGTGAAGGAAGTAGTAAAGGCGAGCAGTCTGTAGTGTGAAAACTGATGACGATTAGATTCAGGAATCTGCAATCCTAAAATGCTATGGGAAGGGAGGGAAACAGGTTCACGACGTAGGAAGTAGTGAAGGAAGTAGTAAAGGTGAGCAGTCTGGAGTGTGGGAACTGTTAATAACGATTAGATCAAGATATCTACAATCCTAAAATGCTATGGAAAGGGAGGGAATCAGGTCCGCGACGTAGGAAGTGGTGAAGGAAGTAGTAAAGGCGAGCAGTCTGGAATGTGGAAACTGTTTATGACGATTAGATTAAGGAATCTACAATCCTAAAATCCTATGGGAAGGGATGGAAAGAGGTCTGCGACATAGGAAGTGGTGAAGGAAGTAGTAAAGGTGAGCAGTCCGGAGTGTGGGAAATGTTTATGACGATTAGATTAAGGTATCTACAATCCTAAAATGCTATGGGAATGGAGGGAAACAGGTCTGCGACGTAGGAAGAGGTGAAGGAAGTAGTAAAGGCAAGTAGCCCGGAGTGTTGGAACTGTTAATGACGATTAGATTAGGGTATCTGCAATCCTAAAATGCCGTTGGAAGGGAGAGAAACAGGTCCGCGACGTAGGAAGTGGTGAAGGAAATAGTAATGCTAGCAGTGCAGAGTGTGGGAACTGTCTGTGGCATTTATGTATCTGCAATTCTAAAATGGTATATGGAAGGAGGGCAAACAGGTCCACGACGTAGGGAGTGGTGAAGTAAGTAGTGAAGGTGAGCAGTGTGGAGATTGGGAGTGGATTAATGTATCTGCAATACGTTTCAGAGTAAACTAATAATTTTCCCCGAGCAAAGCTCGGTCCCCAGGTACTCATATCTAAAATAGCTTTCAATTTCAAGCACCTATGACATACTATTATACAGGATATTTCCAAATTGTCTGGACATATTTTCTGAACTTGTTCCTTGGGCTAATAAGACAAACATAAAATGCCTATATTTCTGTTTGTCGGTCTGTTTGTGATTTTTAAGAATTATTTTATATTTTGCGCATTTTTCGGGATAGAAATTTCAAAATTGGTATAAATGTGTATTCAAGTAGGTAAGAGAGCTTACAAAAAGTTTCGTTCCAAAATCTCAAGCCGTTTCAATTATGGCGGTCATTTAAAATCTTTGATGCTAAATTTCACGAAAACCGTAATTTTAAGAAAATTATTCTTCCGTTCAAATGATAAAGAATTTTAATCAAAATCAAATAAAACCTTGTTTGTGTAAAATCGGATGACAAACAACCAAGTTTTTAGTTTTTTTTTTCTACATTGGGTTACGAAATTCAATAGGACTTCCATGTTGTTTATTTGTTATTTTACAGAGCAGTAGCTATGCTATGGTAGTCCTATTAAATTTCGTAACCCAATGTAGAAAAAACTGATAACTCGGTTGTTTGTCATTCGATTTTAACAAACAAGGTCTCATTTGATTTGAATTTAAATTCTCTATCTGTTAAATCTTAAGAATAATTTTCTTAATATTTACGGTTTTCATTGAATTGGGCATTAAAGATTTTAAATGGCCACCATATTGAAGCGGCTTGAGATATTGGAACGAAACTTTGTAAGCTCTTTTAACCTACTAAAATACACATTTATACCAATTTTGAAATTTCTATCTTGAAAAATACCTAAGATATAAAGTAATTCTTAAAAATCACAAACAGACCGACAAACAGAAATCTAGGCATTTTAGACCCATGCTTATAACTAAAATTAAAAATTATAAAAAAACAAATGTTAAATTTTATGTTAGTCTTAGCACAAGGAACAAGTCATCAAAATATGTACAGACGGATTGGAAACACCCGTATATGAAATATATATATTATATAGGTACTTTTACTTATTTTATTAATTATTTCAATAAAAAATCAATGCATTGGAAAATTTACTCAGTTAAATAAAATTTCATGATTTTTCAGTCCTCAAAAACTTGTTTCCCTAAGACTGAACTACAAAATGTCCAGGAGAGATCCCTAGCTTTCTCTCTCCTTTTTTAAAAAAAATATGATCAATAGGCAATATCAAGTTTCGATTACATTTCATATTCATATTTATATTCAAACATCTTTGTTATTGTAACTCATGTACTTACATAGGTGCTAAATTTATTTATAATCTTATAGAATTTTCTTGAATTTTGATAGTTCTGTTTCTTTTTTTATGAATTCATGCCATACAATGCTATACCGAATGAAAGATGAGTGTGAATGTGAGCAAAATATATATTTTAGGGTTTTCAAATTACAATAAAAATACTTTTTTGATATTATGAAAATTACGGAGTTAATTTTGATTAAAACTTTCTGTGTGTGTTTCTCCCAATTCAAGGAGAAACTGGCTCCTGGTGGAGGCCTTCATTACACGGTGTGGAAGACCCTAAATCGAATTAGGGTTGAGGTACCAAAATGCAAGACAAACATGCAGAAATGGGGTCTCTTACCAGACGAAGAAAACATCTTGTGTGCGCGTGGTGCTGTTCAGGATCCTGGCCATCTGCTGATCTATCCATGCCTAGACCAGTCTTGCACATTAGATGATCTTTTACATGCGAATGACAAAGCCATATCGGTAGCTAATTTTTGGAAAAGCGAAGTCTGATTTCCGGACACGGAAAGTAAGTACAGCAAAATCACAGTGTTAATAACCCAAAAGCACAATTTTTACTAAAGTATCACAGTTTAGTTATTAGCACAGCTGTTCTTTCATTGTTGCATTACTATTATTAATGCTGTATATTATTGTTGCAGCAAAAGAAAACCGGGGTGCTTTCATTGCCCCAACCTCTTGTTTAGTGTAAAGAATTATTTTCCTATTATTGTATTACAGTTATTAATATTCCTGATCAATTCCTTTATTATTTTACTTTTACCATCAGTAGTCAAGTTTTATTCCAACAGGCAAGTACAATCATTTTGTTTTGACTAGTCTTGTACCAGATATTAATAAGCAAAATGCTTTAAAACAAAAAGGTATGCATTATTGATTTGTTTACATACATTTTTCATATTGTATTCCTTGTTTTCAATAATTATTCAAAAAAGTTATAAAATGTACTGCATCTTTTATTGCCTTTTGAAACCCAACTTAGGCACACTGGTCTTGGAGTTGAAGAGACTGTATGGGACTTTAATCCGTAGATGCTTGGGATCAAGTCCCACCAATCACAAATTATGGGAGCCCACATACATAAAATTACATTTTCTCAAGCAAGGAAATCTTTCTCAGTATTTGAGAAGACTACTAAAAGCCATATTAAGCAGTAACATGTTAAACAACATTTTAAATTCACCCTCTCTCTCTCTCTATTTAAGAAGCATGTAGTAGCGTGGCTTGTAGGACTGAGTGCAGAGGACACCGAGGCCGTTATCGCGTTGGGCGTACCTGACCGTTGACCCTACACAATCACTGATACACCACCTTTACTGACTGACCAACACACCACACTCCACCTCTCCTCTTCAATCTTCACCAGATTTTTATAAATTTCCTCAGTTTTGTACAAAGAGTTTTTTTTATCGTCAATTTAATTCACAGAAGAACACTAAACATTCAGTTTTAAACAAGAAAATTTTTTTTAATTAGAACTATACGAATTATTTTTTGTTTTCCTATACATTTTTTTACCTCCCATCTAAATTAACCTTTTCGCAACTCGAGTCTACGCACAGGCCCTGCCTATGTAGACTTTTTCCTTTGTTATAGAAGGTATTTTTTTTGCACTTTTTTTGCTTTATTTCTACAGAATATATTTTTTGTTTTGTTATCTAGTTAGTAATGTTGGCTGTATTATATTTAAGTAAAAAAATACAATGTAATTATATATGTATCTAATTTATGGGAAATAAAATATTATTTCATTTCATTTCATTTTATTTCATTTAATTTCATTTCATTTAATTTAATTTCATTTCATTTCATAACAACCAACTATAAACACTTTTGTTTTGAATGGTGAAAATGAGCACTAACTTGGTTGTGCTTAGTGGATTTTCTAATCAAAGCATGTTTTACATAATTCAATAAAGGATGCATCAACCTGGCGCAGATAATCCTCTGATAACAGCCAACAGCAGTGTATGTCTGCTAACAACAATTTGCGTACAAACGAGCCAATTATTATTCATACTCGGTTATCTGCAGGGCTTATTGGTAACAATGCATTGATCCGTCAAAAGATTTCAGAAATCGAAAATGTATAGAATTTCAGTAATTCAAGAAGCGATTTGTTTTTTTTTATAACTTTTTGAGGAGTTTTACTCTTTACTAAAAAATATTTATTTTAGTACAGAATAAAACCTCTTACACCTAGAAATCGCCCTACATTTCAAACTTCTCATGGTGATTAACTATTTTAGCATTATAACTCAACTAATTTAACTGAAATATTTGACTTAAGAAATTGTACTGAAAAGCTTTGATTCTTGATTGTGGGCCTATTCACATTGTGATTGATTGTGAGCAACATATTGACTCTATTATTCTATCGTTTGTCTTTTTGAGAATAGAATTTGATCATTAGATTACATCATTATTATTATTGCATAAGGGGTCTTTTGTGCATGGTAATTATATGCATTATCTTTTGTGCTATTTGCACCTCCATAAAGATAGTCAAATTTTTTCATAAATATAATGTTTCTCATTACATTATAGTTGTACTGAGACTAATTGCAAAAATCCTTAAAACACTACCTTACACAATAAAATTTCTTATCAGGTCACTGAAGGAGTACAGAAGGAGGAAACGAGACGTGTGTATCAATTTTTTTATTAAAATCAAATAATATTTTAATAAATGTACTAAACTTTTACACAAGACCAATTTTACAAGTGCTAGGTACAACTTGTGGGAAAATAGTTCACAATGAGTAAATTACAGGCAGTGTAAAATAAATGGCAAAAATAAATTATTTTCAAACTGTCTTCTCAATCACACTTAGTTATTTACAAAACTAAGACTACAATCACAAATAACAGAAACATTAAATAACACAACATATTTTATTACACGGTAGGAAAAACACTGTCAGACAGGACCTATGTACAAACTAAACACTGGTTTGAAAACTTGCGATATGAACAAAACACACTTCAGTTTGAAGAACTAAATGTTACTCGTTAACACAGCCAAATGTATTGGGATCAGCCTGTTGCTTCCTTGTAGCTTGTATTGTAGTAACAGTACCACTACTGACAAGCTGAACTCAACCTGGGCTCTTCAAAAACCTCCAAGCCCGTTGTACACTGAACTGACAGACTTCTGGTTCAGGATCTTCTTTATTGCTGAAACAAAGTTTAAACAAATGTTATATATTTCCATTGTGAACAATCAAATATCTAAACCTACTAAAGTTTTGAACGATTGCAACATGTTCAGTGTAAGAGACAGTTATCCTGTCATTAGTGTTGTGCGTATCGATACGAACATCGATACAAGGACTAGAAAATATCTATATTTTGTATCGATACATGGGAGCGTATCGATATGCCCGTATCGATACACCTATAACCAATATCGTAGTATTGTTTATTTATTAAGATAATTTTAATTGTTAAGATACCTTTCCTCCCAGCTTCCTCCCCTCAAATGTAGAAGTAGACATTTGATATTTTACCCTACCATCCTCAAAAACACTTATGAAACACGTGTTTTCTCCTGTTTTGCAAATAACCTCAAAACTAGGGCCTTCATTAGACCTAATGAAAGTACCCTCATTATCCATATTAGGCCTATACTAATAATAATGAGTCAGTAGGCCTACCTGCCACCATTTGATATTTCATCCGATACGGGTAAAAATTTATACACGAAGATACGATACACGTATCGATACATCCCTTTTCGATACATATCGATACATTGACCTGTATCACACATCATTAGTCATGGCCGAACATTGCTGTGTACAACATCATGCTGTAATACTACATTTTCACAACCAATTTGTCAACAGTTAATTATATAAACACAAAAAAAGTGTTAATACAACAAGTATGAATGGTTCTCTCAGAGTGGTGATAAAAATTATTATAAACTTACCTTCCTTATCCTCAGTCGACAGTTCTACTTTAGGGAACTCGATGTCAAAAGTTATATACAGAGTTCCATGCAGGTTATTGTTCTCATAGTTGGGCATCCCTTCTCCTTTCTTTCTGATTCTGGCTCCGGGCCACGTTATCTTGTCTCTTTGAATCAGCACCTAAAGCATATAGCATATACTATGATTAGTTTTTTAAATTGTGCAACATTAAGTTTACAACTTTATTATTTTTTTCTTTCAGTTTTCTTGACTACTTTATGTTTGTAAAAATTAATAGGTATTGTAAAAATTGTAAACCTTTGTACTATGATGTAAATTTAATGGAATAAATCATTCATTCATGCATATTAATTGTAATATCAAAATTGACAGATGAATTAATATTGCACACTTATTCCTAAAAAGCTAATGATTTTTTACAGTTTGTGACTCTATTCTACAAAATGCAAGATGCTGAAATCTTTCTTGGACATTTTTGAGGACATAGTTACAAATGGTAAAAATGAAATCCAGTGAACAAAGTAATGCAATATCTATCTCACACACAAAATGGGATTCTGAGTACAAATTTCAAAACTACTACTATTCTTTTATCATGTTAACAAATTAGAAAGGTTTATTAAATAAATATAATCCATTAAAACATATTTATACAGTTTTGTCATTATCTTCTTGGTAGTAAAAATATTTTACTGCATCTTAGAACATCAAATTGACAATCAACTTTTAAATCACAAGTTGAACTGTAGGCTAGGTGCTATTTAAAAATCAACAAATCCAGTACAGTACAACCCCGCTAATCCGTCACCTATCCGTCTACCTAGGTTGGATTATGTGAGGAGCATATTACCGTAAATTACCATAATCAATTTATTAAGTTAACTGACATTGATTAAGACGGTGATTATGTCCAGACAACTACAGGGGATGTTCAGGATTTTCCGCAACTGTTAAAGACGGAATTTTTGTGAAGAATTTCTCCATAGAATTTTTCTACAATAGGAGGAAGATAATGATTATGTTCTTGTGACCATGGAAGACGTTCAACATTGTGTCACAATCGCGGAGGATGTTGATGAATGTTTCCATGATGAAAACGGTGTTTCTGGGATCACGTGGGATAAACAAGACTTTTGCCGTGATTCCAGGAGACAATGATGATCTCAACACAACCGTGGCAAATAGTCACAATATTAGCACGATAACATTGTCACTGATAGGCAATGGCACGGTCGGATTAAACAAGGAGTCGGAGTAGCTGAGGTCCGATTAGTAGGGTTCTGCTGTAACTGTTCAATGGAAAAGTTAGCATTGGGCATGACTCATCTACAGAGGGAGGTAATATGAACCAGATTTTACCAAGTGACAGAAAAGTTTTTGCAAAAGTCTAATTTTTGCACTGAATTGGGTGGAGACCAATATTGATGCAAATACAAAATTATTTCTGAAAACAAACGAATAAGTTTGTGTGCATCGAAAACCACTCCACTTCACTAACTCATTTTATTTGTTTACGTTGAAACACTTAAGAACTCATTATTTAATTGAATTTAAAATATTATAAATTACTACCAGAGCGTTTCACAACGCTCTCATCTCTAATTTAAACTATGCATTTTGCAAGTCACAATCATCTTGCAAAACAAAAACCTTCAATATTATACCCCAAAATTAAACAAGTAGTCTTCTATTGCTGTTACTGACCTTCCTTCCGTCAAGATGTTCTATCTCCATAGAGAAGCCTGTCAGGGCATCCTGCAGACTAAGTGTCACATTTGTGTACAAGTCGTCACCTCGCCTCTCAAACACTTTGTGTGGCATCGTCCGTATCCTTAACACCAGATCTCCAGGGTCGCCGTCTATGTGAGGCTCTCCCTCGGCTACAAACTTCGTCTCCTGTCCATCTGTCATGCCTGGCTCCACCTCTATCTCCAGTGTCCGCTCCTCGTTGACCAATCTAACATCAACAAAAAAGATCACATAATTGTTGTCAAAATCGATCTGTGTTGATATTTTAGTGCAAAATAGGAATGGTCAAGTGTCAAATTTTTGGAAAATTTTAAATCTCGCTATACGAGACAAGATTTCTTTTTGGTCGAAATTTTTTTGAGACGAGAAAAAATATTAAAACCCCCTGCAGTCAATGCAATACCCGCAATACAGGAGCGCGTTGTAGTTGCGTTTCCTTTGCGAAGGCGTTCTTATTTAATTAATTCTACATGTAAATATTACTTGAATTATTTAAATTATCATTAGAGAAGTTTTGTTAAGTGTAAGCAAGCAGTGTGAGGCATGTTTTACTACTATAAACAAAGCCAAAACAAGTAACTATTTTATACAAATTATTCCTTTTATTTAATGATTTATTTTATTTTAGGACAAGTTTAACTCTATCCTAACTGACATCACCATGTTTCCTAATCGTAAACATTTTTAATTAGTTAGGCGTAATAAATATATATATTTTTATGCTGATGTTTTTTAGTAAAAGATTTGAAAAATTGTTCCTATTATTATTATTTTTGTATCCAAACAGTCAACTAACAATGTTCCAAAATCAGGTAATAATGCCGAACGTGCATTTCCCGTTGTGTATGAGAAGGAAAATCCCGTCTCGATCTCGTCTCAAAAATTTATGAGAAATAAAAAATCTCGTCTCGTCTCGAACTAAAAATCCAATCTCGTCCATCCCTAGTACAAATCAATAAATTCTTTTAATATGGAGTCTAAACCCCTTTACATGTTATTTTTTTGCTGGGACCCATCACTCTTGCACTAAGTACAAAAAGACTAAAGCTAGGTCTACCAAATTTTTATTTAATCCAACATTGATGGAAACAGTGAGAGAGAGTGATCACAAAATGAATCATAAATAATTAGTCTTTTGAAAACTAGTTTGGTGTGGTACTTTGGTATTATCCGGAGAACACCCTCATACAGGACGCTGTGGCGGTTATGTTAGGTTTGTTTATCATAATTTATGTTTGTAGGGTAGGGGTTTGTATTATAAATATACTTTAACCCGCCAAATCCCCTCAAAGTAGGCCAAGGTCAGGTCGTTGACTTGAGCGCGCACATCGCCTGCAACACGCCTGTATCTGGGTCCTGAATTATGACTCATCTGGTATTGTTCGATTCATAACAAAATGAGGAAAGTCCTACAAAGCATATTTATGATAACCCAACCTAACATAACCGCTGCAGCGTACTGTATACCTACTTGAAGGATATCGCTGCCTTCTGGGAGGCAGAACTCAAAGACCGCTAATCGTAAAGGCGGTGACACACTATTGATCTTTTCCCCGATCAAGACCCCGAACCGAGCAGGGTGAAGGGAGAAGGGAGGTAAATATCAGCAAAATTTCAATCCGAACATTTTGCCGAACAAGACCAAGACCAGACGTGTTCTACCGAGCGGGGCAAAAGGGTGTTTAGATGGAGAGAGTGTGTGAGAGCGCGGAGGCAGTAATAATAAAACAGTAATTTAATATGAAATAGCATGTTACAGAATGATCATTTTAATTGCCTTTATGCATTTTTGCAGAATGATAAACAAACATTAATAATATTAATGTTTATATTATTTTGAAAGGATTTAGACTACCTAAGTACCTATAACATCAATTACTTAAATCAAATTTAACATTATTGATATAATTGATTTAAAGGTTTCACTTGTAAAATAAAAATACATGTTCAACCTTTATCAAACAAACCACAAAATTACAACATAAATGTCCATAATATATAACGGCAAAATATTACCCAACATTTATTTATTTTTCCAATTAAAGAGTTTAATTGCCATATTAAGTTAGAACTATCAACGCTAGCGCAGGCGGCCGCTTGGTGCGGCGCTCGTGACGGCGTATGGGGCAAAAATATACCGTGACACACTATATATATCATATCAGTACATCAGACCGATCTTTTCTTTGATCTTTTGCCAAAAAAACCGACTCCAGATTGCTCGTCTCCCTGCTCGGCCTGATGTCTGGTTCGCCGTCTGGATTGGTGTACGGACCCCTGGCACACTATCGAACATGCTCCCTTCGACCTCCCTTCTCCTGCTCGGTTCGGGGTCTTGATCGGGGAAAAGATTGACAGTGTGTCACCGTCTTAATCATGTCAAATTTGGACAGTAAGTCAATTAAAGTATGTTCTTTGGTATCCGGTAAAAAATCCATCTAAAATAAGTGACCTCCAGATAATACCAAAGTAGGCCTACCGCTAGTTTTATAATTTGTAACTGTTATCAAACTGAGACGGACTTACTTGACGTTGGGACACTCGTCGCATACAGTTTGTTGCATCATCTGGAACCTGCCAGGGCCCAGCTGTCTAGTGGTCATCTCCTGACGACAGTTACACTTGCGAGTGCCCTTGGCCGGCCTCATCACTGGTTTGTTGCGAGTTATCTGTAGCCCATCACAAAATGATTACTACAACTTGCAGAGCGAGGTCCTGCATTCAAATCTCACCAATCACGATTGGGTTATATGATAATGCAACCTTCTAATCCTGGCCTGAAGTATGTGTTTAAAACAGATCCGAACTAGAGCAGCACATTGTGGGATGTAAAAGGACATACAAAAATAAACCTTGCAGTAAAGATGTTCTTTAATTGGTAAGGTCAAGTGGGGTAAGTGTCCGCCCCAAATCACATAGTAAAACTTTGACCACAGATTAAAAAACACATGTAGGTGCTATACAAATCGAATTTGCTGAGCTTATTCTTTAGAATGTTTTGTATATGTGGTTTTTTTTATTTGTTAGTTTATGATTTTTGTGTTTTACAGAATTATTTTGTAAAATGATGTTTGGTGTGTACAATTCCCCCTTGATCTGGGGTAAGTGTACACCCCCCCCACCCCTCTTATTGTAGTTTCCCACTGCATATACTTGATGTTGAGTAAGTGGATTGTAGAGGTAAAAATTAGCTTTTATTATTTTTTTATTTATCAATATATCTCAAACTAGCTGTAGGTTGGAGACCCCTGGTTTTAAATTATTGGGCAGAGTAACAGCGACAATTTGAACTTACTTCTATGAAGTTTCCGTTATAAAGCTCTTCTAGAGTGACCCAGAGATCCATTGTGATTGTGGCTCCTTTAGGAGTGTCCCGAGACTCTTGCCCACCTCCTCCGAAGAAGCCAAAGTCTCCAAAGAAACTTGCAAAAGGATCTGAAACAATTCATCCATTGTAAGGGTTGAGGCTATCAATCGATTTAAAACAGTACATAATATGCAAAGATTCTTTTCAAATTTCTTTTGATGGTGTAAAATATTTTGAAAGAAATTGTATTAGATATTTTGAATAAACAGCTCTGGTAATCCGATATCTTCTATAAACCGATGGTGTTCTTGACGAATTACTTAGACAACTATATGTACTATAATTTGCACAAATAAACGTTTGCAAACCGACACATTCTCCCATTAGCTTTTTAACAAGGTTTGTAACGGGTAAGCAATTAATAGGAGTAGCTACAATATTTTATGGATAAAAACACACAAATTACAATAACTTTTTAACAGTTGTTTTTACAGCATTTGGCGATTGGGGTTAGCCTATATAACTTTTTTTAGATTTGAAAGAACCATAACACACTCAATTTTAATCGAAATCGTTGGAACCGTATTTGTCATTTTATTTTAAAGTTTTGTTCTTCTGTTATTAATTTTACCTAGGACCATTTTTTAACTAGGCCCAGCCGTTTCAGTTCAGTTCTTAGAATTCACTTGACAGCATTGTTGTTTTACTTTACAACACGAGTAACGGACCAATGAGGTTCAAGGATTTGAGAGAAAATTGTAATACTTCGAACGTCAACTTATCAGCTGTTAAGACCAATGTGATTAAACAATGGGTGAGTGGTTGGGACAATAAGTCGTTGCATCACAATCAGTGGCTATGAGAGGTTATAAAAGAAGACATAACCTCTTTTGGAAGTTATGAGTAGGCCTACAGTAGACTCCCTCTTATCCGGACACCTTTTAACCGGACTACATTCGGCGGAAATGATATCTCTTTAACCTGACAATTTTTATCAACTCATTGGTTTAACCGTACTAGATCGGCAGGAAGTGAGCGGTACTGAAACGACTATTCTCGTGTGAAAGAATTGAGACCAGGGATCACGTATCTGAATACAATACTCTCCTAAATTTAAGTCGAATATCACAGCAAACAGTCCGTTTTAACGAGTTTTTGGGGACATCGGTTTAACCGGAAAAACTGTTATCCGGACTGGCCTCGGTCCCGTGGAGTCCGGATAAGAGGGAGTCTACTGTAGTGATTTTTAGTAATCTCTAACTTTGATTTAAATTCTGATTCAATAGATGGATTGCTAACAATTCTTTGATAAAGGTTTATTAGGCCTACTTATTTTGATAAAAACTCACATAAATTGGTTTTTGATTAGGGGGAAAACTAACTATTGGGTAACTTAGCGTCATCCAATACCAGTAGCCGGGGGACAGGGACAGTAGTATCGCCTTGTGCATGCTGTTACTAGTCCGAAGTTGTATCTCTCTCCACAAGGAGGGATCAAACTATTAAGGAAATCCCATTAGCTGCTCTTGATCTCTCCACAATTATACCATGGAGCCTTTATATTCTCTTGGCACACACTGAATATGCAGAAGTTAGCCTACTGTGTTGGAGGAAAATGTTAAGACTGAGTCAAATTACTTGTAGGCCTAAACTAATCGTTGAGATGTTTTCAATGTTCACCACACAGATACAGCACTAAGTGTAAACCAACGATAAAAAAGAAACTTACCCCCTCCGCCCATTCCACCAGTGTCTTTCATCACACATTCTTCTCCACATCTGTCATACATTTCTCTTTTCTCTTCGTTTGAAAGTATTGAATAAGCATCATTTATATTACTGAATTTTTCTGAAGCTTTGGGATCTTCTTTGTTTTTGTCTGGGTGCATTTTTTGAGCAAGCAGACGATAGGCTTTCTTAATTTGGTTTTTGGTTGCATGGCGTGGCACATTGAGTATATTGTAGAAGTCACGTCTGAAATTTGTAAATATAGGTAAGTTACATATAGGTCTAGTTTTAATTAGGAACATAGTTTACGAAAAGGTATTAAATTTACTAATAAAATGTTGTTCTAACTTAGGCTTCAATAAGATAATAAATGAGTTGAGTTCATTACTCAATACATTTACCTTACTCAACCTTACCTTACTTAAGTAAATGATCAACAAGGAAACCTGACGATTCCCTGGTCTTCAAGAATACGGGAGAAGACGAGCAAGAGTAAGAGTAAATAGTAACAGCATAGACTAAGCAACACAAGTGCCGGTAGACTCCTCATCCCACAGTAAATTTTGAAGCTTGTTTTTCGTGTCTAGTTCATGTACGTCCACACTGATCGCTGGGGTCTAGACGAATTTTGTTTCTATTGTTCTCTTGTTGCTATCCTCATCTAAATATTTTTGTTGATTATTTCTATTGCAGCTTATGCTATTCATTCTTGACTAATGTGAACCAGCATTTAGTTTGGGTAAACTTCCGTAAGCTGTTGAAACAAACAACCGAATGAAAATATTGATTATTCGATTATTTCATTTGATGTATCGTTTGGTTAGTTAGGTTAGGTTAACCTTACCTAAATAACCAAATGATATATTGAATAATAGATATATCGATTGATAGGATATTTTCATTCAGTTATTTGTGCCAAAAGATACAGAAGTCTACCCTTAAGTTTATAACTTACCCTTTTGACATTTTCACATACAATGTAGGCCTATTTGTCTTATTGCCATTATATTGACCACTTTTTATTGACTAAAAAACACAAGACCTGAATAGGCCCTTATCAGCTTTGGAAAAATTGTTTTTGGTTAAAATTAGGCGATAGGCAATCAGTTATGTTCTTGGAATCATAAGTTTACCTTTGATTGTTGATCCATAGACACTTTATTTATTTATTATTATCAACGGTTCCACCATTTTGACGTACGGTTCCACTTATATTGACATAAAGAAGTCATATTAAACCTTACCATTGAATAGTTTAATTTAATTTAAATTGAATAATGAAATTAATAGGAAGGCCTGTGCAATTACACATCTAACCTAAATTTAACCCTACCACTAGCTAAAACGTAATTTGAGACAAACCATGATTGTAATACTTACCCACATAAGGCTGGTAAGACTAATATGCATAAATTAAAAATCATAAAACAACCTCTTGACGCGAAATTCATTTTTATTAACTGTTACTGTTACTAAAACTGAAAGACATCAGAAACCTGTAAACAATTAATTGTAGTTCGTCCGGTGGCGTCTGCAGAAGACAAGAACGCATGTGTTTGTATGTGATTGGATAATCGAAACAGCCAATCCAATTTTGACAATGAGTGTGGTTGAATGCAGGTTGAATGATTCTCATAGAGTATACTATCTTGTAGAGTGTGTAGACCATTGATCTATCATCATTGAGAATTTGTATTACAGTAACTAGGTGTACAATGCAGTTGTCTGCTTGCAATATTGAGCGGAGCCAGCATATTCAATATCAATGATTTTTTTGCATTTTAAATAGAATGCCTATTTGCAGAGGTATCCAAAGTCAATCATAAGTCAGGATTAAGTGAATGAATCGTCTACTTGCAGGAACCGTATTCTATGTTTCATCTGGTTCTCATAAATTAAATGTCTACTTGCAGTATCCAATGCCAATGATATATTTGGTTCGCATAAATGGAATGCCTATTTACAGATTCTAAAGTCAATAGTACGTATGGTTCACGTAGACGGATTGTTTACTTGTAGTATCCAAACCCAATGGTAAATGTAAATGAATAGTCTACTTGCAGTATCCTCAATAAATCAATGGTCCATTTATTTTGTTCACATAAATAAAATGCCTAATTGCAGTATCCGAAGTCAATGGTAGGCTTAGGCCTACTTCTGCTTCACTTATATGGGATGTCTATTGTCTATGTGCAGTATTCAAAGTCAATGATACGTCGGGTTCAAGTCAACGAATTGTGTTATATTTGGTTCACATTAGTGGAATTCCTATTTGTAGACTGCAAATAGGAATTGAACATGTTCCAATCAGATAGATATTCAAAGTCTACATTAATTGCACGTCTTGCTCACATAAAATGCTGTAAGTTATTTACAGATTCCAAACGCAATATGGTGCATCAGCCTAATTCCGGCAACCCTTATTATTGGTTTAAGTCCTGTGGTCCGAATATTACCATTTCAGATTTATACCTTCCCATATGGTTGGTTACATGACTGTGCCAAATTTCCTGCAGATCGCTTAAGCCTGTCAGGTGGAGCCTGACCTGTATTTGTAAAACAAAGGCAGTGAGTGTAGTATAAGAGCTTCGCTTCACTCCGCTCAATAATTTCGATACTGCAAATGAATCATGGTAGGCCTAAGCAATACCTGTATTATTAAAAGGCAATAACGATTATTATTATATTATTATTACCCATTGTATGTAGAATTTGCTTTTCTTTATTTTTTTTTCAATGTCTTCTTTCTTCATTATTAAAAAAAGAATCATTTATTTGTACAGAAGACTTATTTGCATTGAACATTCATAAAACTCACCAATTCAATTACCTCAATAACTGTTTACCAGTATTATTGTTGTGAGGGATTGGGGTTAGCCTCACTTAGTATAGGCCTATAACTTAGGTCTAGTTTTATTTTAACAGTTAAAAGTAAGAAATTGTCGTCAACCACTTTCAAAATTTCCCTATTGTGCAATAAAATTTATCAATACAACTATTTTATTGTCTAAGTTACACCATTTAGTCTTAAACCTTACCTGTAAACCACGTGGTTGTGATTTCATTTCGTAAAACGATTTTGTATTTTTAGCTACAAGAACATTTTTTACAAAGCTTCTTGCAAATCAAGGGCGGTGTGATTTTTGTTGGTATAATTATGTTGCAGTGTTTTTTTAATGACCTCGTTTTATCTTCTCCTTCTCCAAGCAACTAGGCCTAATTAGTTAACTATTCATTGTTGTTAAAAAGAACAGAACCATTTTACAATTAAATATAAACGGCATGGAGTTTAATCACTCAATATAGAACTGATTGTTAATCATTTCGTATTACATACAATATACTATAATATGCTCTTTAGTATTATCCAATTTTTTCTTTTGTACTGTATTTATCATGTGGTAGATTTGTTGACTAATGTTGAGGCTCTTGTTTACTTTTTAGTGTTTACTCGCAAATAATGACATGGCGACCAATTAACCCATAAGGCCCATGTTAAATTTCCAAAAGTTTGCATTCATGTAGGGAAAAGTCCTATGGTCCGATTTGTACCGTTTCAGATTTATACCTTCCCATGGTTGGTTACTATGACTGTGTTAAATTTCATGCAGATCGCTTCAGCCGTTCAGGAGGAGTATTTGTAATAAAAAAGCAGGAGTGTAGTATAAGAGCTTCGCTCGCTCCGCTCAATTAATATTATTTCAAAATTCTTACTTTTTCCGTACCCTTTGATTATAATAAACATACTATCATTGTCCATACAACAACGGCTTCACTGTACAAAATTGTTTCTTTTTTAGCCCTACACGATGATTATGATAAATTGGACATTTCAGGACCTTTCCATCCACAATTTTGTTTTCTTTCATGTATTTTCCTTCCACCATGGGTAAGATTATTATTAAAAAACATTTTCTAAACCCACAAATACCTTGTTCCTATGTCCCGATCTTGCCAGTTTGCGAACTCTTGAATGAGTTGCTCAATTTTTAGTGTTCACGGATACACACACAAACAAACATGAAACATGATTAATTCAGAGGTTCAGGTGGCTGGTGTTTGGTGACAACCTGAGAGAATAAGACAACCCGTGACCTCTCATGCCGTTGCTGGAGGTGGCAGTGGCAGGTGGTTGACGTGGTGGCTCCATGTTTTTTTGACAGCGACCCACGCTGGTTAAATTATTTAATCTATTTTAATCCATAAAAAAGCTAATACGTGGAGTGTTGTAAAAGTTTCCATTTGATACCAAAATATGCGACTTAAGCTGTATTATTGTAATAGTCAAGCCCCCATTTTATTATATTTAGTTGTTATATGATTTAATATATTATTTTGTTTTCACGACTGTATGTCTATATGGTTTCTCAAATCTCAAAATTATAATGTTACCGGCTGACTATTCAATATATATCGATATTTACACTGACACTAGATTAACAACTTGTTCTATCTCTTTTTCCCTTATCATTTTTACAATCTTGACCTAATCAATCAATGATCAGTGCTCCACATTTCCCTATTGCCTTTGCTTGCTTATCTCGTAGTTGACTGTGGTTCAGGCTCTTTCTTTCAAGTGGTGCCTCGATTTCTGCTCATCTCATCCTCATCTGCTCCCTGCTGGTTGCCAGTTGCCACTTGTTTCTGTTTGCCGGCCGTCTGCAAACTCCTTCCTTCCTTACCTTGTTAGTCCTGCTTTCTTGTCATTATAATTGTATAATTATTGCAAATTGTTTGTGAGAATTTAATAGGAATGGCGAATGCTCCGGTGAAAATAATTATTCCATGCTGCACTTTGATGTCTAAATCCAATAATGTTCTCCTCGTAACAAATGTCAGCAAACGATGTTTAAGGTAAGCTTTTAATATTTATAATAATTTATTAGCCTAGGTATACAATTACTATAACTTATGGCCCGAATTATTGATATAGGCTAATCTATTTTAGTCCATCTTACTTTTTACTGCAGGTACTTAAGAAAAATTGGGTAGCCTAGCCTACAGTTTCTTAACTGGGCTACGCTTAGGCCTATAACGCTACTATCTGTTGAAAATATCGATCCGATTAGTAGCCTAAACCTTCATTCGATTTTTATCTATAGCCTATCAATTATAAAATGAAACTGTTATAACCTAACCTAACTAACCAAACTTGCTGATAATGAAAAAATCTAGCCTAATGAAGGTTTTGGAAGTTAATCAAATAGATATTTTCAATCGATATTAACTTAGCGTAGCCCCCTTAAGAAGCTGAACCCCCTTAACTTCCTAAGTTAAGTATATCAATTTTTTCGTTCCTACGACTTAAGCCTAGTCCACACATGGAGACTGAGTCGGCCGACTGTGCACGGACAGTCGACAGACAGTCTGTCAACACAGTTTCGGACACAAGTTTCCAATGTGTTTTGCGTCCACACTAGCCAGCCAGTGTTTCCATATTTGTTGGTATGGTGACCGAGGAGGACGTAATTATATCCTGTGCGGGCTTCGTTTTTCTGAACCATGGGCCTAACTTAATGAATCTAGGAAGAGACAATGATGGACCCAACATTTTCTCGAGCAAGGTTCGTACCATGGCCACAATCTTCTATCAGACCTTCAGATTAGGTGGAGGATTTGAACTTCACGAGGTTGACTTTAGGCCTAGCTTATGGATTTTGAAATTTTGCTGGGCTTTGTTGATCCTAAGATTCCAAACTTGAAGAGATGAACAATTCAATAAAATGTCATAACTGACAATGATTTTTTATAAATCATTGAAAGCCAATTCCAAAACTTTGAAGAAATTCAATCCAGCTGTTTTATTAACGCCCAAAAATCGTAATACTAAGTTACCGCTTTGCAGTCTAACTAAATAACTTAGGCTGAATGTTGAACACCTTCGGCTTGTATCTAGTCTCCTGTCTCCAGACACATAGGTACATAGGCTACATGCAGACTTGAGACAAAAGTTTTGTCTCTTGTCTCCGTGTTTCCCATTTGAACAGGAAACAGAAAACACTGTATTTTGTCTCCAGAAACACCTAAATTTGTCTGCCGACAGCCGGCCGACTTACTGGAGACATCCCTGGAGACAAATGGCAACACTCTGGAGACAGTCCGCAGACAAATCGCCATGTGTGGACGAGGCTTTAAGTTAAATTTAAGTTACAAACTAGTTAGGCTAAATACGTAAGCCTAGGTCTTGGCCCAGTCCGACGTTAGAGTAACTGTTTCGGGTGGACTTCCGCAGAGAACCTATGATGATAAGTTATATTGAATAACTTGTATCGAAACTTGTTCAATATATCGATTAACTTTGAACTAAATAAGGACACGTAGGTGTATTAAAATTGTGAAAATCCGATAGGGCTATGCCTACAGGGGTTCAAAGTTTTTTTTATTCTTATGAGTAGGCCTACCTATTCATATTTAAATGGAATTTAAAATAATTTTGCCAGCTGTTTCAACTAAACAAGTTGGTTAACACGCTCATTGCCACAGACCGAGGTATACATTTTAATCTTACTCATAGACCGGCTGTCACTTGGATAACAGTACACACAGACCACGGGTGAAAACCTGTAAAACCGTGATCATATACATTGGTAATACGCAACAATCGTGTTTGTAAATAATTTATTCTTGTTTTTTTTTGTATTTTTTTTGTATTTTTGATAACCTTTTGTAACGTCGCATATTTGTGAAGCCCGGGCTACAGCGAAGACAATAGTTAGGTAGTGAAAATTATCATAGTTTTCTTGAAATAGACCAAACGTCGCATATATGCGACGGTTCATTTTTGTTTGTGTTTTGAGGTGAAAGTAGGTAAGTAAAATAACAGATTATCCAAGAACATTTAGTGATTAAAACAATTTATTATATATTGGCCTTTTTGAACTTTTAAAATTAGTTATACATTTCTTTATTCAAGAACAGTTTATAACTGAACAAATAGGCTATAAAAGCTACATAGGAAAATGTAGGAAAATGTATACATACTGCATACATACATACAGTGATGCAGATAAGTAAAGACCAGTTTTTTCAAACTAACATATGATGTCACCAATCATCATATCTACAGACTAAGCGACGCAGTTGTGCGTCAGCAATCTCTGTAGACCACTGCAGGGAATTCAGTGCCTTCAAAAAGACCGTTACAAAGATATAAGCATTTGAATAACATTAGAACCCCGATGCAAATATGCGACGGCAGTCTAATGCGACTAGCCGACTAGTCTATGGGTAAAAACCGGTACGGTAGTATGATTGTTAAGGGAATGTGGCTGGCTGAATGGCCGACCGCACTCACACACTCGCAGGCCTCACATACACATACGCAAGGGATTAGGACGGACCAGAGACCTGCCGTGTAAGTCATCACTGGCTAACAGCAATTTATCTATTAATGTTTTAATTTTACCTTAAGTCGTTATACAATCTGGTAGTATTTTTGCTTGCAAAATGTAAAAGTTACGAATATTTTTTCTACTATTTCTTGTCATAATCATTTTGTATTTGGACTCATTTTTCATGGAATTAAACAACAAATTTACACACACTAAACATTTTACTGTAGTATAGGCCCCTAACTTAAATTAATTTGCGATATTGAGGTAACTTATCATACAACAGATGTTATATTTCTAGTTAGTGAAGGGGATTGGGGCTTTCAGGCAATTAGGGTGATGGTGAGTGTGCGTGTGTGAGTCGGGGTCCCTCGCAGGTAGGGCCGAGCTCCAGCCGCTTTCCCTTAAAAATCAGACTATAGGATGAGTGGCGCGATCTTTTAGTCTTGTTACTCACCAAGGGTTACTCCTCCAATCACTCAGGGGACTGTTAATCGCCCATTCAGCCAATGGCGACTAAGGGACCTAATAGTGGAAAATAGTGGTAATTAGTGGAATCCGAACTACATTTTTGCCTTGTGATTTCCGAATTAGGTCTAATTATCAGGATAGTACTGTGGATAGTCGTGGTACTCACAAGTGCGGACGTTAATAGAAAAAAGAAATATACTGTTAAAGTTTTTAAGAACAAATTTTATGAGTGGTTATCTAAAAATCCTTTCTATTCACTTAGTGAATTTTTCTTATTAAAACAGATAGAATTTTAATGTTTAAAATCTGTTATGTATAATTTTTGATTCTTGTATAGTTCCTATGAATTGTATATTTCTATGATATGTGATATTACCCTTAGGCCTAATTATTAGTATAGAGACTTGGCATTTCTGCTGTAAATTTGACTTTGTTAATGCTTATGTAGCCTGAAAGACAATAAACATATTCTTATTCTTATTCTTAATCCATACCTACACACACCGTATCACATCTACAGATCATGCCTATAAATATCCACAATTTTTGACCTCAAAGTAGCTGGGTTACAGAACTACGCCACGGCATTAACTATTATTTGTTGTCCAACACTTACAAGTTTAAAACCCTACAGTTTAGCTAAATCCACAAACTTGTGCTTAAGTTTGGTAACTCACTCTATATAATCTAGGTCTTCTTAAATTTTAAATTTATAAGTCAAGATTTTATAGACGTAACTTTTTACTTTCTCCCCCTATACCATAGTATATGGAGAAATTATTGTTTTCGTCAAAATTTTCGAGTTTGAGTTTTGAGTGTATATATTCGTTTTGGGTCCTCCTGGACCCAAAAAAGTGGTTTTCGAAGTGATGTCTGTGTGTGTGTGTGTGTGTGTGTGTGTGTGTCTGTGTGTCTGTGTGTCTGGATGTGTACAGAGCTAGAGACTACACCTGTGGTCCGATTTCGATGAAATTTGGTATGTAGGTTCTAATCTATGGTATGTCCAGGCGTTTTTTTTCATTTTTTTGAAATTTTGATTTTTAATGGGGATTTTCCTATAAAAACCCATAAAAAACCGGAAAAATCGGATTTTCTCAAAAATGGCCCGAACGATTTTGATAAAATTTTAGTATGTTGTAGCCCTTTAAATTCTAAATAAAATGGTACAAATCCCATATCTGTAAAAATTACGGTTCAAAAGTTATGGTCAAATATGTTATTTTCCCATAAAAACCCCATAAAATAACGAAAAATAGGATTTTAGAAAAAAATACGGTTTTGATTTAACATAGTATGTTATAGTCCTTACAGTTTTGATAGTTTTTTTTTAATTTTTTAGAAATTTTTATTTTTAATAGGGATTTTCCCATAAAACCCCATAAAAAACGGAAAAATAGGATTTTCCCAAAAATGGCCCGAACGATTTTGATAAAAATTTAGTATGTCATAGTCCTTTAAATTCTGAACAAAATTGTACAAATCCCATTTTCGTATATTTACTCTCACCGCTTACACATGATAAAGGTTGTTGACAAACTTATGGGAGAAAGTATGTGTCAGAATGCTGATACCGTTTATTAATTTTATGTAGCCCTATTTTTTTGGAAAATAGACCTGTATGCCTAATCTAGTAGGTTCTACAGTAATTTCTTTGAATTACGTAATATTTGAGTTCTAATATGTGGCATATCTTGCGAGTTGGCCAATTGTAGTATAATTTCAAGTATAAAACTAATCAAGTAGAAATGATGTAATCAATTTCAACAATTTTCAGTTAAGTTACATTTCACATTTAGTTTTCTGAGACCAACTTATGAGATAAAACCTTTATCAATGAAAATGATACCAGAACTTATCAGCTAATTAATTTGTAGGGTAGAAATCTTAAATGTTACATATTTTCTGAGTAAATTAACAGTAGAGTTAAGTGATGAATAATTAATGTGAGGTTTATTAATCTTTAAGAATCCAATGACTTTATCGTAAGTTTTACGTTTATGTTTACTGTAAAATTGTTGAGCTTACATTGGAAATAGTGTAGGAGAAAAGCAATAGATAGCTAATTTAAATACAAACTTATATATCTTGTCTGATAAGTATAAGCCTATAGAGTTAATTTTACTAATATAAAGTTAAAAGGTCAAGGGCTTTACATGAGTTCTTCATTGTATGAAAAAAATGTTAATAATATCAATTCTTGTTTGATTGTGATTGAGTGTATCTATTAATTAATTTGGTTAATTAGTACTAATTAACTTAGATCCGGCACTTGAATAAAATTGGATTTTTTTGTTTTTCATAAACCAAAGGCATTTTACTCTGCCTACCCAGACCACTGTTGTAAAGCTTCATTTCATTTAAGAATTCTTGTTGTTGTTGATTGATTCTGTTAGTCATTGTCCACTAAAAATTGATTGGATAAATTTATTTTGAAATTCTAAGCTGTAACTTTAAACTTACTCCCAAATAATGACATTTTCCACAATTGTTCACAATAACTTAATTTTACAGTATCTTTAATGGCAGCACACCTATGTCAAGCTATTTTATATTTTTTATGTAAAATATGTTAAGTGGAGCTAAGCTTATAGATCCAAACGTTCATTTATAGGTTAACTAGTTACGGTAAGTTAGACTCGCATATTCCTTTAGGTAATAATTTAAAATAAAATAGCAAAAATGTTTGCCTTATTTATCATTGATATTTTGTTAGGCTATATCTAGCCTCATCTAAGATGGGAATGCCACTTATTGCATATTGAGACAGATTTAATACATTTGTTTAAAGGGCCGTGTTTTTTTTTTTTTTGTACTTTCAAAAAATCTAATCATTAACTCTCATCCATTTGCATCTATTTGTAGCTCTTATGAATGTTCCTTAATTAATTTTTAATGAGGTTACCTTATAACAAACATCTTTTGTCCGTTTAATACCTTTATCAACTTAAGGCTGCGCTCTACCCGTCTGGCGCGCGCAAATGCAAGGGTTTTAGTTCTTACTGTTTGTAGCCCCAATTGTGAACCGATTTAAAAGATCTTGGTGTCATATTTTTTGTTAAATATTGTTGTAGGTTTCCCGTTTTTTAAAATTTTGAACATTTAAAAAATGTTGGACTCAAAGGTTGATAAAATTGTTAAAATACCCGTTTTTATCACTTTTTACACATACAAATAATTTTTTGGGAAAAAATAACAAACTGGGGAAATTCAATAGATTCTTAAAAACAATAATCTGCAGTTAGTTTATTAAAAAGTTTAAGAATAACGATGTACTTAATCACCCAGATTCGAAAGGCTTGCAAGCGCTCTTCATGGCGCTGTTCAATGCAATGGTAAAGGTACATCGGCGTTAAGCAATTTTGTATTGAGAAATCCGAGCTGAGATAGAGCGCACCCTTAAACGTTTAGCTTAAAATGTTAAATTATTTTTCAAAGGTCAGTTCTCATTGAAGAAAAACAAGTATTTAAAAAAATCTAAATTGACATGTGTCTTTTAAGTATCAGAATATTTTTGCCTCACATTAAAGTACCGGACACTTGTTAATTATTTGTCCTTCATGGAATCCTACAAATGTCTTATCTGAGTGGTTGACTCTGATTCAGTAGCCCAGTGTACAAATATGAACATTAAAGGTCTGTGACCGCCCTTATCATTTGCATTAATGGCTCTAAGCCTGAGTTAAATCGTCATTGACAGTTACATAATTTCAAGTCATACTGCGATCACCAATATGTCATCTAATCTTGTAATCTGTCGGGCACAGTTTGCGGGGATCTATTTAAATGTTAAAACGGAATATTTCTCACAGGTCGGGTAGGCTATCTGTACTATCGTATTATTGACTTTCCCTTGTTTACTTGTTTAGCTGTAAATATTTAGTCTCTTATCAAAAAGATTTGATGTCATAAAGGGGTTTAAGACAAAATTAGGCTGCACTTTAGTTTCCGTCTCACATTTACATTCTGCAGTTATGTTAAGGTTAGGTTTAGTTTAGAACAGTTTCATTTCTTCATTTTATAATCAGCTGGTAGTTAATTTATAATGTAATAGTAAATGTAGGACGTAAACTAAAGTGCAGCCCAAAATTATTGATTGAACCAAATGCATTGTTGTTCTTTTAAATAACTCATTGATTTTATATGTTTGATTAGTCAAAAGGAACAGATCATAAATTACTTTAAAAAAGTTATATTAGTCATGTAGGTAATTTTTCTCATAGTTTCTTTAGAATGATTTTTTTATCAATTAAGTTTGTTTTATAAATTGGATCAAATTAAAATAAATGTTTTCGTCAATTAGTGTCATTTTGGATTGTAGGCCTACAATAAACAATTTTGCTTAAACTTAACATAAGGCATCCATAGAGTATTTTGATGGCGGCCACAGCATTAACACACTACTACGTCGTAATACCAAAATTTCATAGATTGTTCAGCTTGTATTAATTTGCAGATTTACTGAGATTTGATTTTTGTTGCAGCTCATGGTGGTCTCAAGTGGAGATGGGTCCTCCGGACGCCATCTTGGGGGTCACAGAGGCGTACAAACGCGACACAAACCCCAAGAAAATCAACCTCGGTGTCGGTGCGTACAGAGATGACAACGGCAAACCCTACGTGCTGCCTAGTGTTCTCAAGGTGAACGTTATTGTCTAACTATGAAAAAAACATAGATTGCAGTGAAATAATCACAAGCTATTTATTACTATTTTATCAACAACTATGTTAAAAACAAAATCAATGAGGTCTTTATTACTGTAAATATCAACTAACAAATTGAAAAGGTCCTAATTTCTATATTTATCAGTGAAGTGAGTTAACTAGTTTGGACTTAATTTTACAGGCTGAGCAGAAGATAAAAGAGAAGAACATGGACCACGAGTATGCTCCAATTTCTGGTTCTGCTGACTTCTGCAACTTGAGCATTAAACTTGCTCTCGGGGATGACAGCACGCACGTTAAGGAAGGCCTGGTAAGTGATTGGGCCTATGAAATTAACTTGCAAGTTTATCTTAATTGCCTATTTTGTTCTGGTTATTCATGGGTCTGGGAGGTATCTAGACCTCTCTCATGTTCTTATATCCTTCCAGAATTCTTCCTCTACCATTTGCCATCTCACTTCTTTTTGTATTCATCCCCCTTTATCTCATCAATCCACTTTTTTAGCATGTCTTCCTTTCAGTTCCATTCCCTCTATCTACACAACACAGTCTTCCTAATTAACTCCTCTCACATTAATTATGTACATGCCCATACATAATCTTTGTCTTGTTTTTCTTCTATACCTTTTAAGCAGCAACAACTCCTTTTCTGATCCAAAATTCTAAATATTTCTCTTTTAAAAACCCTTCAAATTTTCATTCTAGTATTTTGCTTGAAGTGTAAGTTTGTGTAAGCCGAAGTTTATTTTCGATGTTGAATACAATAATAGCCTAATATTTTTGAATTGCATTGTTTGTAAAGATAATACACAAGAGTATACAGTAGAACTCCGATTATCCGAATCAATAGGGACCAGACCCCATTCGGATAATCAAAAATTCGGATAATCGGAGTTTTACCGGAATTCCGGGAATTTTAAAGAAAAATCCTCATTTTCGGTACTAAGTGAGCTTTTAATTAATAATAATTTAAATCAGAACGTTTTTACAGTTTACAATGCTCATAGTACAAGTGTTCTATACATGTTATTAAGTCAATAGTGTTCCATTAAAGTCCAAAATTGGCTTTCTAAATGTGTTTAATGACAATTCTTTGATATTTTGCAAAACTTATTACTGTAGCTTTACGTTTTTAAAATTGTTGAAATAAGCTATTCGGATAATTGGAGTTCTACTGTATTATAATTCATAATACTCTACACATTTTTGTTATTAATCTGATTTACTTCAATAAACTCAGCTACGCTAAAAACTACTCTGAGTTTTCTAACCCAAGTTTTGTATCTTGGTGCGGACAAATCTAGAGGGCTGTTTATTTAATTGTTGTCAGTTTAAATTGCTTTTAATAAACCACTTATTGCACATACGAATATTTTAATATTCAAACCATTTAAATATGAATGATGAATTACTTACTTTTCATATAACTTTATTTACAACACATTATTTTGTTTCAGAATGCGACTGTGCAGGGAATTTCAGGCACAGGATCTCTAAGGATAGGCGGAGCTTTCCTGGCAAAGTTTTTCCCATACAACAAGGAACTTTATTTGCCAACCCCCTCCTGGGGCAATCACAACCCTATCTTCCTACACTCTGGCCTCAAAGTGAACAAATACCGCTACTACGACCCCAACACCTGTGGGTTTGACTTTAAAGGTGCCCTGGAAGACATTAATGTAAGTTACAATTTAATCTGTTACCAGTGTGATATTTTACTTAAGGATTGAAGAGGTGTTATGGTTCAGTTTTGTATTTGATCATCTAATGGAATTCTCATCACATTATAACAGTTAAATCCAAGAAAGTGGCATCTCACTAATAGATTGGTTTTTGTTTACTTTTCATCTGCCAGACGACAAACAAGTTTACGACCTTGGGTTTTCAGCTGTTTGGCTGCCTATAGAGTGGCTGACCTTGACAACTTGTTGAAACCACTTGGCTACATTTTATCTTGTGGCTACATTTTTATCATAGAGACATTATCACTCTATACCCCTTATAAATCAATCAAGATGTATATTAGCACGTAACGCACAGAGCTTACAGAATGTACAGGTGCTTTCTTATTCTTCTTATAGGCTAATATTTTTAATTGTCCTTTCAAAAAAAAATAGAAAAACAGTCTTAAAAGTATTTAGTAATAATAACATAAAAAAATTGTATTAATATTTTAAGAAACTTATTATTGCTCAGACTAACTGAAAATTTGATGAAAATAATACCATGTTTAGAACTAAATAACAGAATTTTAAAAATTCAATAATAATTGTAAAAAAAGTGGTGGTCAATGGGTCCGAAAAAACAAACCTATTATAAAACTAAGTTATTCATACCTGATAAACAATGAGTAACTTAATTACAAATAATTGTTGTCAAAAGTAGTAAGTGTTTAGTGATTTTTTTCCAAAAATAAAATAATTTTTTAACACAAATAGAAAGTTTTTTTTTCATAGAAAAAAGTAGGCTACACTTAAATAACCAACAAAAATGCTTTATTATGAATTGAGATATAAAACATACATTAATTTTAAATATAGATAGAGGTTAAATTATTCATAATAGGCCTACATTTTTTCAAGGTATTTTTAAAGGTATTAGTCCTTTGAATAGTCTGTTATTTTCTTCTGAACCATGCATTTAAAAAATTCAACTATATTTCTCATACTAAGACCTACTGTAAAATTTAAAGCTCGTTTTTATGCTTGTTTCGATTAACTTTAGATTATGCCCACTAGATCAACTAAGAAGCGAACACTGTAAAATGTAAACAAACTTATAAATGTGAGAGCACTTGAGATGCAGAAACTACGAGGAAAATCTGGAATGATAATTAACCCTTTTGGTCGAATGGCGAGTCACCGCCCGCCATTTCCCTGACCACTCAAATGGCAACCTATACTTGCCAAAAAATGAATAAAAAATTCAACCTCAAAGGGTTAACAAAGTCAGTATTAAAATGTTAAAGTTATGGTTTTTCATGTCTATGTACATTATCTATACAAAGAAGCATCTTTGTATAAAAGAAGTATGAGCTAAAAAAGTAAAAAAACATCCTATACCGTACCAATAAATTACACAAAATATCCCCCATGGACATTAAAATGTTTGGACGAAATGCAGTCATGAAAACTATTACTGCAAATTGTGCTGAACTCATTGCTGTGTTCTGTAAGTGGTATTTCACATGTCTTACACACTACTCCCAATTGGCTGGTAGAATATGCAGATCTCATTATATGGGTGCCAATCAGTAAATGTTGAAAACCCTGGGGTTCAGTTCGGTTGTGTATAACATGGAAATTTCCTTCTCCAGAAAATCCCAGAGCAGTCGATCATCCTGCTGCATGCTTGCGCACACAACCCAACGGGGGTCGATCCTCGTCCTGAACAGTGGCAGGAACTGTCACAGGTCATCAAGAAGCGAAAACTCTTTCCTTTCTTCGACATGGCCTACCAGGGCTTTGCCTCAGGTAATGCTGACTTCACATTAATGTGAATCTGTAGTATGTGAGGTATGAATTGTATTAATTGAATAGAATCTAATTTTGGGAGCCATCACTTCTCATATTTTGAATGACCATAAAAACACAGTATGGCTCCATAGACAAAATTTTAAAATGTATCTATTGTTTGTGCATTCTTCATGTTCTAGGAAAGGCTAGTAATCGCTAAGGGATTTAGATTAGTTAATGATGTGTTGGTTAGTGATTAGTTTATATCATATAAGTAATTAAAACATATTTGCAAACATAGCTTACAAATTGAACTTTATGATTCTCTATAGCCTACAATGGACACTAACTTAAACCCTATACTCTGCGGGCTCTGCAATTAATGATTGTATGAAACTAAATTTAAGCTTAGGCACTTTAAAACAATGTCAGCCCTTATAAGTCTTCATATTTGTTTAGATGAGAGAATATTACAATTCTTATGAGTAAAGAGTACTTTATTAAAAATAAAATAATATTTTATACAAAACTTCATGTACAATTGTAAATCTTTATTATGTAAATAAAGAAATGTACGATTCCAATTGTTTACTGTTCCAGGAGATGTAGTCAAAGACGCTTTTGCAGTCAGATTATTCCTGAAAGAGGGTCACCAAATTGCTCTTGCTCAATCTTTTGCAAAGAATATGGGTCTTTATGGTAAGTTTTACACAATTATGCCATTAGAACCGCTTATGATTTCTCAACATTTGTTTTATGGGTTAAGAACTTCTCTTATTCAAGTGTGTTTGTGAGAGCTAAACATGTAATCCTGTTTAGCCTGTACATTAACATTTTTGTAGAATTTCAATGCTATCACTCAAACCGTCTAGGAGTTATGAATGTTTTTGTAAGAAACATGCAGACAGATAGACTGAAAACGGAATGAGATAGGACACGTTACTTTACATTTTGTGTTTCTTTTAACATGCGGAAAAATGTGAAAAAGTTTGTTAATATGGTTGCAAGACACCCTGTATACCGAAGGTTATTCACCATCCTCATCCCAATAGTTCCATAAGTAAATAAAAGCACAATCATTATTGAAATAAAGTCGCCAGTAGATGGCTGGTATCTGTTGTTTAGGTAAACTGTTTAGCTGGTTTGTGGCAACATATTAGCAGTATTGATTCATACTTAATAGGTTATTGTTTCCGTCAGCTTTTGATAACTTACTTGCAATGTGCCCATAGCGGGTATACTGTTGTCAGCTATTGTTTCTTGACAAAAAGCTCGAAGTTAGGCATTGTATAAACTGGTTGATATTTTCCTAAACTAAACATCAATGTGTGTTTCCTAGGTGAGAGAGCTGGTGTGTTCTCTTTGATCACCTCCAGCAAAGATGAGGCAGCTCGTACTCTGTCTCAGATCAAGATTCTGATCCGTCCGATGTACTCTAACCCGCCAATCCATGGAGCGAGAGTGGTTGCTGAGATACTGGGAGACCCAGCTCTACGACAGCAGTGGTTAGTAACTAAGGTTAAAACAGAGCTGTTGCCTTGAAAAAATATCATCGGCTGTTATAACTGAGGTCATTGTAGTTTATAGTCCAGCTAAAACTCATAGGAAGGTTGGATGTTGATTTTAAGGCCACAGGGTAATGGGTTTAATCTTAAACATAGGTTTTGGTTGAGAGAAAAACGTGTTGAATCTTATTTACTACTAGCTGTGTACCCGTTCTACGCACGGGGATCTTATAATATTCAGTTGAAACCTTCTTATATAACGAACAGCAGTTGGTTTGCATATTTTAAGATATGCTGGCCAAACTATTATACATAGCTTCATTTTATGTTGTTTTTTGTTGTTCCGGATCGGTATGACAATCAATAAAAGGTTAAATTACCTCTGTGTCTGCCGGTCGATCCTATAACGGTAGGCTTACTTTTATTTTTACTATCTGATCTCGTTTGCATGGCTCAATCACGTCCTGGTTGAAGTTCGTTCGCTACGCTCACTCACCTGTATGTTGGAGCTCGTTCGCTGCGCTCACTTTCCTTCAGGTTAGCTCGTTCGCTACGCTCACTTGCCTTCAGGTTAGCTCGTTCGCTACGCTCACTCGCCTCCAGGTTGCAAATTAGCTGTTGTCATAAATGTAAAAGAAATAATAGTGCTAGTGCTGCACCCTGTTGGTAATCCTTGTAACTTTAATGCTATTGAACATCACAGAACAGAACCAACTTGTTTAATTGAAACAGCTGTTAAGATTCAATAATTTCATTTCTCATAAGGTTAACATGGGCTTCCAGAAATTCCACGTCAAAAATCGACAAAAACTTGATTTTCAAGGGTTTACTGTTAAATATCTAACTGTCTCATATTCGATGAAATACGTCTAAAACCATCTCATATATGTATAGTATTTGGAAAATAAGTTTCAGGCGGGACAGTGCTATAGTTATTGAGGAGTAGTTGTAATAAAGTGCGTATTTTAGCGTTACCAAGAGAATGACAGATAGACAGACAGACAGACAGACAGACAGACAGACAGAAATTGAGATAAGGTTTGATTCGGTTTCTCTGACCTATGAAATGTAAAAATAACCAAAAAGTTCATTATTCTAAGCAATGTACAGACAAAACTCTAATTTTATTTATATAGATAAGTTCTCAACAAAAGTTACTTGACTGGGCAGCTGAATGGTTCTAGCGCTTGCCCCCAAATCTGGAGGTCACTGGTTCGATTCCAAGCTATATCACTTTCAGCCCCAGATGCCATTTTTGTCATTGGGCTATGAATTAAATATGCTATCTATCAAAAAGCTTGATGTTAGATTGTAACAAGAGCAGGGTTTGGACAGTTCCCTTTTAAAACGGTAAAAAATGCCATTGGCGAAGATAACACGCAAAAACATGTGTTATTTTCAGGATCAGAGTTCAAGTGATGTTGAGCTTTTCATATGTTTGGATTAGAGTGTTAATTATTTGTATAATTAATTCAATAGTAAGGAGCTCAATGCAAAAAATGGGACCCTGAAATAGAAGTAAATATTCTGTCAATAGTACATTGAATCTTACCCGGCATCAAACACAAAAATAGTCTTCCGGTTCGACTTAAGAATAAGAAGTCCACTTACAGGACCCAAAATCAATTATTAGTTTGCAGACTTTCCAAACATACAAAAAATGTTTACGAACCATGTTTTGTACAGGTTAGGTGAGGTCAAGGGTATGGCTGACAGAATCATTTCTGTGCGAACGTCTCTCAAGGACAACCTGAAAAAGGAAGGATCGACGAAGGATTGGTCCCACATCACTGATCAGATCGGCATGTTCTGTTATACAGGGCTGCAACCTGCTCAGGTATGTTCACTTGTACGGTTCTTTTAAGACTTTTGATTTCAAACAAACAAAATGGTATGTAGGTAGGATGTTAAAGTACTAAATAGATCTCTGTAGTGAAGAAGAGATCATTTTACTTTTGATTCATTCTGTATTTGCTTTTTTTTCTTTTGCCTATTGAGTCTGATATTTGGAGTGTCCAATCGAAATCAATCTCCACGTACTATCTTTTATATGTGTTTACCGTATTGTGAATAAACAGTATAAGTGTAAAAATATTATAACAAGTGTTATTTGACATATTTTTCTACTTTCATTTAATTTAATAACACATGTACGATGCTGAGCAAAAAGTGATTTATTCAAATGTATCCATTGATTTTATTAGTTTTTGATGGTTCAGACCTTTTTAGCGAATTTCCCATATAGGGAATAAGCTATTACCGTAGTACTCATGGTAAGACCTGGACGCGGGACCGATTTTTTTTTTCGTTTTGAGGTCCCTAGAGGCCAAAAACACCATCCGTTCAAATTCATATATATATATATATATATATATTTATATATATATATATATATGTGTCCGTCAGCACGATAACTCGAGCAAAAATGATCCGATTTGGTTGAAATTTGGTACAAACGTGTAAACGTACGTTTATTCGAACGAGTTCGCGATCCAGCATGATCGGACCATGGGAACGGGGGTTTACGGGGGGTTTTATGGGGTAAAAATAGGTTTTTCCTATTTTTGACCCAAAAAACATAAAATTTAGCAATTTCTTTCCAAACCATTTTGTAGAGCTTAAAAAAACAAATAATTTAGTATATTGAAGCGTTATTATGCGCCTAATAGTTACGGAGAAAATTCCAAAAAATTGTAAATTTAAAATTCCCATGTTATTCTTATGGAGAATAAGTAAACTGTTGTAGTTTGCTTGTTTGTGAACATATTTTGATCAAATTTGGAAAATGTTTTTATTTCTCACTACCTATTCACATTTAACAACCTAAGTACTTGTTAAACTAATTCTATTTAAATCAAGAATAAATGTTATATTTTTAAGTAGACATTTCAGTGTAAATCCAATCAGTCAAATGGAAATTCGCTTAGTCTGCAGGTTTGCTGCGGCGGGGGTATTTTTATTTTGGGAGAGAATCATGTCAACCTGCAAGGACCCCGGTGGTCCGGTCTCAAGGTGTGTGAACAAAGACTACTGTATTAGGCCAATGACTTCTGACTTCTTAATATATCATGAATATACGTTTGACAGGTTGAGCGGCTTACCAAGGATTTCAGCATTTACTTGACCAAGGATGGTAGAATTTCAATGGCTGGAGTAACCTCTAAGAACGTAGAATACCTTGCACACAGCATCCACCAGGTCACCAAGTAGGCCTAAACAACTGCGCCAGTGCCTTCCAAACTACTCTGCTTATTGTATTACTAACTACAAACGTGAATTATATAACTAGGTGTATAACTGTAAGTCAATGTGTTAAACATAAACTTATCTTTACCAATTGCAAAAGCTTTGTACCGGGAAAATAATTAATTTACTTTAAAATTCACGTTTTTGTACATTCAGCATTTACAAAGTCTTCTCTTGGATTTTAGTCATCTCGATACTGAATAGTTAGTACCATTTACAATGATTGGTAAAGCATACAAAATGTGCGCTCTTTCATTTATTAGCTTGGATGAAGATAACCTCTAAGAAATTATTAGACAAACTAGATATGATTATTTAGCACATTCAGGAATAAATAAACACTTCATTCACTTCTACCATTGACTATTGGATACTGAAGTTTTTATTAATAGTCAAAGCTTCTACTGTTACTTAAAACTTTGTTCAAATAAATCTAGCATTTAATTTTGCCTGAACTCTGACATTTTGTTAGTTGCATCAATCATTACTTTGTAAAAAAAAAATAACTGAAGCGTATTACTTGACAACAAATTGAAATATCCTGATAAGAGTAACAGATATTATCCTTCCTGAAATTATAGTAACTGCCATCCAATTCACCTATGACAGCTCAATGCATAAATTAATTGATGTTATATTTTTACACATATTATTGGATATTCACTGCTTAGAAATATGTACATATTAATTAATTGTTAGTTTTGCTTTGCAACTTTTTGTTGATAGTCGGCTTATAGATAGAAATTTTATTTAATCCATTAAGGATATATATTAATGCAGTTTGAGTTCTGATCAAGTAGGCGTTATTCCCCAAGCTATTTTATACAGATTTTTTTACTATCATTAGAAAGTACCAGTAGGCCCTATACATATATATTTATTTTAACTTTGTCAAATATACCATTTGCTACCTCAGTTTAGAATGAATTGAGTGAAAGAGGTACAACAATATAATGAAACTATAACGTATGTATTGTTATTCTTATTATTATTTTTAAATTGTGAAATGTATATTTATTGTTTATCGTTGCATTTATAATATTGTTTATACACTTATTATTTACATCGTAACAAATATGTATTCAGGATCTAAATCTTTAAAAGCATTGTTTATCATAGATATTACGAATGTATAAGATGTACACAATGTTTATCTCCTTAGGCCTTGTATAATACACAATGTGATCTAAAGTTAGCTTTAAAAGCACCCAAATTGTATTTTAGCCTTAAAGGGATACATAAAGTTATATTATTAAAATTTATACATGTTCTCAAAAATAGTCGTTCTTTATTGCATACCTGCCTATGTACACAATAGCCTCCTCTTACGTTCAAAGCCGTGGCGTGGCAACATTATGTCTGTTGCAATGGTATAACAAAAGTGACAAAGAAACAAAAGTGTATTGTAAAATTGCCTATACTTTACATTATAAGTTAGTGCAACAGCTGTTTCCGTTTGACAGAATAGTGGTGTTGCCACTTTTGTCTCACTGTGGCCTTGTATTTATCCAATGTATTGTAGATGTCTCATGTATGTGGATCAGCTGTCCTGTAGCCAATGTTTTAGTTTTGCAAAGGTTTTACTAAAAGACAAAAAGAATTAAATATAGACCGTCAGCTGTGCTGCGGTTACCATCGATTCTGGCGCACACCACTGGGAGCGCCATGTAATTCAACCTGCGCTACCTTCAGTATCCAATAGTTAATGGCGCTACGTAACTAGGCACTCCCAGCATTGTGCACCAGAACCTATGGTAACCACTGGACGGCTGAAGGTCTATATTTAATTATTTTTGTCTTTGGTTTTACTAAAAGAAAATAGTTCAATGCGCTTCTCAGAGAGTCCGCTAAAGCCTAATTCTATTTTCTACCTTAGTTGTTGAGATCTTTAAAGATACTAAAGCTACCAACTAAGGCCCAGCGCACACGGTGTGACTGTTTTACAGCTTTTGTTGCAAACTAGTTGCGAGTGCAACTGTTTTGTGAACTCGGCAATGTATTGCAGTGGGGCAGCGCATGACGCAACTGGTTGTATGTGATTTCAAAAAACATTTGAAACCAGTTACATACACCACGTTGCAGTTGCTTGCAGACTTCAGTTGCACGAGACCACGGGGTGGTTTGTGGTGTTTGGTGGTATTTTGATGGCCGTATTGTGTCATTAGTGTTTATAATTTCCTATCCGACTAGCTCTAGCTGCCACAAACAGCCTAGTACTAACATTCTTGCTCAAAAAAGGGTGAACCCAATGCTCTCTCAGTACCCTTCGCTGTCTTTGGTATTGATAATAGCTAATAACGCCTTCTTCGTCTGAGACTGACATAGTAAGCGCACTTAAGGCCTTAAAACAACGTAACAACACTAAATTGACACACCACTGATTCCACAATAGACGCAACTGTAGTTGTAAAACAGTCACACCGTGTGCGGACAGAAGTTTTGTTTCAGTTGCAAACTGGTTTCAGGTGCAACTTGTTTGCAACAGTTGTAAAACAGTCACATGTGTGCGCTGGGCCTTACTAATGTTATCTTGTCAGTTTAACTTGGTTGTTTGGTTGGTGCAATGGACAGATATCGATATCAGTAATAATTTACAAAGCACACTAAATTCAACTACGTCCATTTTGATATAAAAAAAAATGTGAGAAGATTAGGAATATTGGGATTAGTGGTTTGGTTGTAAATTAACCAGTGTGGGAACGCTCAGTAAAAACAGGTCATCTATATTTATATAAAAATATAGGATTTTTTAAGCAGAGTGGCCACCCTAGTACACCACCCATAGTCATGGAGTGTCAATTCTATCAATTGTCAAAGTTATAGCCTAAACCTTTAATTTTAAAATAATACTCTTTTGGGGGAATCCAAAATATATGATTTTACTCCAAACTCATGTATAATTTGTAGCTTTTATTCAGTTTGCATATTTTTGAAATTATTTGTTATTCATATGATAGACACACAGGGGTAGCAGAATTTTATCCCCCTGCAAATCTTTGAGTTGCACATCAGTTAATAGATTAGGTGGAATTAAACGTATATTTTCACGTTTGTGAAATCTGCACGTTTTCACGTTTCTGCTCGTTGCACAACATTCACCTGCGTGATTACCTTAATTACCTCCTTCGTCACGAAGACCAGCGATGCCGGATAGGTTGTGTCAATACTATTTACATATTACTAAAAACAAAAGTTTTCTCTTTTTTATGTCATGGCGGTGGATACACCCATACTTTCAAAAAAAATCTTTCAGGCTATAATATGGCCTATCTTTTAGCCATGTCTTCAGGGCAGTGCTAAATTTAGGAGCTTCCAGGTTCTTCCAGTGTTTAGGGTAGACTATTGTAGATCCTGAGTGCCATGGTCGGGTATAGATTTTTTGTTTTTGAGAGTCTGCAGAAAGGGATGTCTATTTCATTGTTACGCCTGGGGCCCTATTTTTGAAATGGTTGACTGTTGAGTTGAGTGTCGAGTCATTCTATTTCCAATCGTTTCGTATTTTTGAAACGATTGACGGTGGACTTATACAACCAAAACTACTCAACACCTACCGAGCTGTTGAGTGGCCGGTTGACTGCACTTTCTTCTTCCTCTTTCGGCAAAAATTGCTCTGATTTGAGTCGACGCCATGTTGAAAATGTATTTGTTTACCAATTGTGATTAGAGGTTACGTATTTGTTGACATAGCGCCCTATACTTTAATTTGCTTGTTTTTCTGTAGAATCATTTTATTTATAAATTTCCTTCAATAAACTAGGCTATATTTATATTTTTACATTATATTTACATTTGTTTAGGTAACTTAAGCTTATTATTAGTTGTCTACAAAACAACGACTAGGCCCTAGTGCTATGGATTTCTTTCCTCACATTGGATTGAACTACGTATTAGGAGGGGACATTGGCGATGTTGAAATTGAAAATAGAGTGCCAGTTGTTTTTAACAACAGAATTTCGCCATGGGAAGTTCAAGACCGTAAATTTGTCAAAATATTTCGACTATCAAAACCTCTAGCCCGGGAACTGATAACAACCCTCGAACCTCACTTGCCCGCTGCTCGTCGGGCAAGTGCTATACCAACTGATATAAGGGTAAGTGAATTCAGTTAGACTATTATTAAACTTAACACTTATGAGTTCTTTAATCAGCCTGATGTTCATGTTGGGCTTTCCCATTTTTTATCTCCTTAGGGCCTAGGTTGTGGTGTTCGGTCACACCCGAAATATTTTCCAGTTGTCATCGAAATGTAAAATTGAAAGTAAATGGTCATTGTGAACTCGTAGGTTTGTAAAGCTGGGTTTTCCTAGGCGCGGAGAAAGGAACCCGGAGAGCGGAAAAGAGATTAACATGGTGTTCTGCTCCGCTTCTAGGAAAACAGGGCTGCACTTAACTTTAGGTCCTACATTCATTCGAATGAAAATATCGAAATATATATAGGTAACCTTACCTAACTAACCAAACAATATATCGAATGAAACACTCAAATAATTGATATTTTCATTCAAATTAGGCCTAGTGTAGGACCTAAAGTAAAGTGCAGCCGAAAACAGTAACATTAAATTACCTAAAGACAAGTGGAGTCCGCTCTTCGGATTCGTCTCTCCGCTCTCCACTTCCGCGCCTAAGAAAACCCCGCTTAACATGCTTTCCAATCATGAACATTATTTAGTCCTTTAGTTAAGTTAGATTGGAGATTCACAAACGCAGAAACTGGCACCAGTGTCCAGTAAAGTCCCCTTACTGGTAATACAATATGGTTGTGCACCTAAATAGGCCCTAGGCCTATTGTGTGGCGTTGAATTCATTATCCACTGGCAGGCTATGTGTTAACTTATACATTTTAGGTTGTGGTATGAGCTTCATAACTGATCCTCCTAGCTAATGTGTTTTGTTTATACGGAACTATTAACTTAGATTCTAACCATCACATCAAAAACAATTACGATGTCTAAATTGTCATTGTAGGTTAAGAACAGAGGAGAAAAGGAGCAAACTTAACATAACCTAGATGATCAGTTTTGAAACTCATAGGCCTACCAAGTAACAAAGAATAAAAGTTTTCATCTTTAACATTTATAAACAACTTAATTTGTTAGCTATAGCCCAAGCTTGTATGGTTGAAGTCTTAACTATAAGAAACTAGAATTAAACAGAACAACTTTAACTTAAGTTTGTTTATTAGTAACTTATGCCTATTATTAAATTAAACAAAATCCAATAAGATAAAAGGTATTACGATTGAATCAAAATAAGGCACTTTGGTATTATACGGCGGCCACCTTTAAACAGTGCGCTGCAGCGGTTATGTTAGGTTGGATTAGGCTATCATAAATATTTATGTAAACTCCTCGTTTTGTTATGAATCGAACGATACCAGATGAGTCATACTTTCTGTTTATGATAACCACCAAACCTAACATACCCGTCACAGCATGCTGTCTTAGGGTGGCCTTCTTACCAAAAGTACCCTAAATATCAAGAAGAGGCTGCACTTTATTATCTGTCCTACACTCATTTGAACGAATATATCAAATAATCTATAGGATATCAATATTTTTCATTCAAATGAGTGTAGTACAACTAAAATGCAGCACAAGAAGAATAAATCATTTCTTGATCTAGATGCAATATTACCTACCGGATATACTGTAGTCCTATTGTGTTACTACCAATAAACCCATATGCTTCCTCAGGTCTTAACGGCACTACAGTTCATGGCATCTGGGAGCTACCAGGAGAGTGTTGGCGCCAACAGGTACCTTGGCCTGTCTCAATCAAGTGTAAGCAAATGTCTCCACTCGGTTTGTGATGCCATTGAGCCTATCTTGGGAAATTACATAAAATTCCCCACTAATGCTCAAGATGTTGAAGCTGTCAAGCTAGGGTTTGTAATGGTTTTATTAATTTTTCCAATTTATACTTGAAGGGTGGGTGTATTTTAATCAATTAGTAATAGCCTACTTTCCATGACCCCTCATTAAAATGTAATGGTACTTTTGTATTATACGGAGGCCACTTATTTTATAGCCCGCTGCGACAGTTAGGTTAGTATGGGTTATCATAAATATGTTTATAGGACTTTCTTTGTTTTAAGAATTGAACGATACCAGAAGATTCATAAGAAGTTTTTGATAACCCAACCCAACCTAACCGCCGCAGTGGACTGTAAAATAAGTGGCCTCCGTATAATATAGAAGTAGCCTACCAATTTAATTTCTTTTTCATAATGAAGGAAATAATGCGCTGATTAAAAAATATTAACTAATTCATTTTACGCAGAAAGTTTCAAAAACCCCCAAAAAATAAAAAATTAATGATTTTGTAGGCCTATTGCAATATTAATGTTGTATTTACAACAAACCAAAATATGGAAATCTATTTGTTGTGGTATATGACTTGATGTATGACCTAGTTATGTCCAAAATAGTGTAGGAAAGCTGCAATATATTTTTTTAAAGTGGTAATGTGGGTAAACAAATTAAAGTAACTGGTAAGTAATACCTGAATATAAAACACTTCGGGGTTAAAATGTCACATTGTGTACAAGTAAATGAGTAGCCTATAGCAAACTTTTGTGATCAACAATCTTATATTCTTAAGTACCGGTATAGAATAGGGTATAAATCTAATCTTAGAAAACTGACAGTTTTATACAGTCTCACTAATAATTATCTCACAAAATCCTTATATATAATACGTGAAGGCGATTTCTAAGAAACACTACCTACTCCTCCGTTAATAATGGACGGATTTTCACAAATGATGTGTCAAAATGAAGTATTTTTTGTGTAGACACCCCCTTGCGATAAAGGTCTTCGCTCTTTGCCCCACAGGCCATCAAAATCCCAATGTATTTCTTATGAAGAAAAGATTATGTTTACTTAAACAGACGAATAATGTGTATTAATTACAGCTGTTCATAGTACACATGATACACACAAGGGCTTTCATTTTCAGTTAAGATAACTGGAGTGGAGTGATTGATTAGGCTACATTATCTTTGAGTTGACTCTTTTAAGTAATCAAAAATTATTATGACTGTTAATCGTTTTTGAAATAACACTTGTAATAATTTGCAATTGCTCGAATTCGAGCAACGTTTGCACTAGTATTATCAGTTTATTGAAATCAATATGATTAATTGGAAAATTTATGTAATTTAATGTCACTATCTTAACTGTTTTCAGATTCTGGGAAAAATTTGGGTTTCCAGGCACCGTTGGAGCGATAGATTGCACTCATGTTGCCATTGTTTCTCCCCCAAAACAGGACGCCAACTATCCTGAACATATATTTGTTAACAGGAAAAATTACCACTCGATAAATACCCAGATTGTAAGTAAAACATTTTAATGAATTTTCCTATAGGGAAGTAGCTATTACCGTATATGGCCCGGTAAGACTTAGGCCCGGGACCGATTTACTTTTTCATGTTGATGTTCCCAGAGGCTAAAAACACCATTCGCTCAAATTTTTATATATGTACACATTTATTTTTAACTTGATTCTCAGTTTAAAATTGTTCACGTTAATAATACACAGTGGAATATTAAATATATTTTATCTTCACTTGTTGTGTTAGGCTTTATCATTTAACTAACTGTGGTTAAGGGAATTCTGTAAAACTAGACCTAATTTCTTCACTATTTTAATACCTGATGTACTTTTTGTAAATGCACTCTTTTTAAAGATACCCTCTCTTTGTTGGTTTAAGTGGGTGAAAGGTGAGGGTAGTGAACTTTAGGAAAATTCCGCACTGTTAATGTAATAGACCATTCAATACATAAAATAAGCCTATTATCCCAAATACCAATTATAGCTTGGTCCAGTTTCCTTCATCTTGCAAATCTCATGATTATGTTGTACTAGGAACCATCGGGTTTTAAAAGAGCCAGCACTCTACTACGGCTCTATTCACTATTCAGACAGTTGATACAACAAAGTAATTGTGTTTCACTTTTGTTTAGTTAGGAACTTGAATAGGCCTAAATAAGTTTATATTTAAAATTTCTTAAATTTTATTACATTCTAATTCTAAAAAATCTCAATAATAGCACATTTACAATTATTATCAATTAAACAAACTAAGTTATCAAATACCTTACGGCAACGCAAAATTAAATAGAACAAAAAGGTTACCCAGAATGTAACTGTAAATGTTATAAATATACTGTACAGCAGCCTAAACCACAGATTTAATTAAAATATTACCCAAATTTAGTTATTGAAAATTAGGGCTGTACCATACTGAGGCAGAAAACAGCGTAACAAATTTGTGTACAACCTTAGGGGGTGAGGGTATTGAAATTTACATTACAAAATTTGAAAAAAAAACAATATAATTTTACTGACTCTTATTTACTGTCAATTAAGGTTTCAGACGCAGAAAGGAGGATCCTCTCCATATGGCCGAGATTTCCTGGGAGCACGCACGACTCCTTCATCTGGAGGAATAGTGGCTTAAGAGGCCACCTCCAAAATCTTTACCATAGAGATCAAAGTACTTGGCTCATAGGTATACAAATCAAATATTTTTCTTACTTTAGCCCTACATTAACACGTTCAGTGCGGCATAGCTTCAAACAGGCTCGCTTCAATGGCGGCGAGGCCCGCGCGAGCCTTGGCGCACAACTGAATCGGTGAACACAATTGGCATTCAAATATTTCATTCTGACGAATAAAAAAAGAGCAACGGTGATTGTGCTGCGTTACTCCGAGAGTGGACATAGTTTACTGAAACATCCAAAGGTAGCAGCACTGCCTAGATCCATAGCCAGTGTCTTTGTAATGTGGCTCAAAGAGAGAAAATTGACGGAACCGGAACAAAAGCATTTAAAAATAGGTTTTTACCTTCGTCTACAGCTCAAACTGTTGTAACTTGAGTTATGGACGTTTCGGCATTATAATTCCATCGTCAGACGTGGAACATTCAACTTAAGTAGTCGTCTTAGTCAAAACACATAACACGAACATTTCACAACTAACGATTATACAACGAATAACAGGCCTGTCGCACACTTGTTACTGGTTTACATTGCCGCGATCTTAACTGGATGTCTGTTATTCGTTGTATTTTCGTTAATTGTAAAATGTTGTTCGTGTTTTGACTATGACGACGCTACTTAAGCTGAATGTTCCACGTCTAACGCTGGCATTATAATGCCGAAACGTCCGTAACTCAAGTTACAACAGTTGGAGCTGTAGACGAAGGTAAATAAATACCTATTTTTATTAAATACTATCACAGCTTAGGGATTAAAAATGGATTTTTAAATCAAAGAATTGTCAGAAGGGATTTTACAGCAAATTTTAGTACCAACCTACACCAGAATAAAGCTTCCATTCTAAGCTACAGGCTAGCAATGATTATAACGTTCCCCGGCAATGGCTGAGTTTACATCAAAGCAAGGTTATTGACATTGGGGAAGGAGGACATTTCCCACCCCGCGCCATCGTTGCCGGTACCGCAGGGCGTAATAGTGTATTATTAAATGTATTGTTTATATTGTTGTTAGATAAGTGCTATGGAAATTGATTTTATTTATAAATCTACAGACTAGTTTAAGTCAGCATGAACCTTGCAGTACTCCGAGATCAATATTCACTGGACAAGAAGGCAAGAGGTAAATTGTTTATCTGCCTGATAGCGGATCATCCTGCCATAACTATTGTGTAATTGTTACAGAATTTTTTTATTATGTATGTTATTTAATATGTTTCAGGAAAGTCAACGAAATGTTAGAAATTAAAATTTTGAGCTGTACGTTCCCACAACCAATAACTATTTAATCTACCCCTGATATTAAGTCCACCCTAACAATCTATTCCTAGCATCAGAATAGAAGCATCACCTGTCTTCCTCACTCTTTTCCTTCCCTCTCTCACCCTATCCTTCTCCTTCTTTGGTTTCAGGAGACAGCGGATATGGGTTGGAGCCCTCTCTGATAAAACCGTTTGAACATACAGAAGAAGGTACACCAGAGTTCCGGTTCAATCAGAGGCACCGGCAAGCGAGGGCCATTGTGGAGTGTTCCATTGGCCTTCTGAAGAATAGATTTCGCTGCCTGCTGAGGGATAGGACGCTCCACTACTATCCACCAACGGCCGCCAAGATCATCAATTGCTGTGCAGCTTTGCACAATTTGTGCCTCAGGGACAATGTTCCGCTACTCTTAAATGTAGATGAACGCCTAGTTAATGATGAAGACGTACCAGTGGTTGCCCAAGGCAACAATGCCAATTACAGAAGGGCGTTGATTGTAAGGGACAGAATTGTCAGAAATTATTTCAACTAAATGTCTCTTCCATTTCTTTCTTTGTTATTATTCTATACTTAAATTGTATGCTTTTCTTTCAATTTTTTTTCTTTAGTTATTGTAAAACATCATATTTTTTTCAATTTGAGATTGTTTTGTGTAAGAATTTGTGAGAGGTGAAAGAAATTTTTAAATATAAAAGTTTATGAAAATTAAATTTCTCTAAAATGTATTGTAATATTAATTGTATTTCACGGGCGATGAAAAATGTAACTTATGAATTTTCATAAAATTTAAATTAACAAACAGACTGAGTAAAACACATTTAGAAATGTTTTGTACAAATTGCAATTTTAACCTGATAAACATCAATCACTTCAAAATCCTTCATCGAGTATGACGTTTAAATAACCATCAATCATAGTAAATTCACATAGATGAAAATTTCATAGGAAGTATAAATCAGTTTTTCACATTCTTTCACCCATACATTTTATTTACACTTAATTTAACGTAAAATCTAATAACATTCATAAATAAAGAAACAACAAACTCAACAAAAAAGTACTTAATGCTAACTTTAAAAAAATACAAACATTTTAAAACAAACAGTGATAGTGTCCAGAAAATTCAATTGCATTAAATTTAGGGATGGACGAGATTGGATTTTTAGTTCGAGACGAGATCGAGACGGGATTTCCCTTCTCATACACAACGGGAAATGCACGTTCAAAATTTTTACCTGATTTTGTAACATTGTTAGATGACTGTTTAAATACAAAAATAATGATAATAGGCAAGAATATTTACAATCTTTTATTAAAAAACATCAGCATAACATTTTTTTTATCAATCACGCTTAACTTATTAAAAATGCCTACGATTAGGAAACTGATATCAGTTAGGATAGAGTTCAACTTATTCTAAAATGAAATAAATCATAAAATAAAATCAATATTAGTTTTTATAAAATAGTTACTTGTTTTGACTTTTTATAGTAATAAAACATTCCTCACACTGCTTACACTTAACAAAACTTCTCAAATGTTATTAAAGTAATATTATTAAAATAATTAAAGTAATATTTACATTTAAAGAATTAATTAAATAAGAACGCCTTCGCAAAGGAAACGCAACTACAACACGCTCCTGTATTGCGGGTATTGCATTGACTTTCTGCAGGCGTTTTTAATTTTTTTTTTTTTTTTTTTTATTCTCGTCTCGATAAAAATCTCGGCCAAAAAGAAATCTCGTCTCGTGTAACGAGATTTAAAATTTCCCGAAATTTCGAGACTTGACCAAGATAACACGCTACTTGTTAAGATATTATCCTAATTCCTAATTATTCCTAAGTATTCCTAATTAAATTGTAGCTTTGTTGTATGTGTCGAAGCAGTCTGCCAATCTCCCAATTTGATTGGCGATATTGTTGAGGGCAGAAGCAACGCTTGGTATGTGATTAAGGGCAGAAGCAATGCTCTGCATTGCTTCCGCCTTTTTCTTAGAATTTTCCACCCACTCTCCCACAACCTTCCTCTTTGAGTTTAGATGAGAATCTGAAAAATGAAATAAAAAATACTTAAGTGTAACTTTGAAACTACTTCTTTGTGTTCTATGAACAACAAAACATAATGTTTAAAAAAATATAAACTTTCATCAGCAAAAATAGCAAGAGATTTGGGTATGAGAAAAAATTAAAATCATCCGACTACAAAAAGGTTTTGAACCTGATTGTACCTATGTATGGATGTATTTTTGTGTGGTATGACTTGACTGGTCCTGTTCACGTATGATTTTTATAGCGAATGATCTGAAAACATAAAGAGGGCACACCAAATTTTAAATCAGACAACAATTGCAATTGCTATTTATTGTAACAACACAACACACATTTATAAGATTTTTTATTACCCAAGGTGTGCAATGAATAAAATTATGAACTTATATCATGGTATCCCACTTAAATTTTACCATTTTGATTTTACTTTAGCCGACTTTTACTACTGAAAATAACTTAAAAGTAAAAGAGCTAAAGTAATTTTTTGTAAGATACTTGAAAAACAAAATACAGCTCAGAGAACTTAATGAGATACATCATTAAAATGTCCACACTAGCGCTATGGGCTGGTATTAACTGAAGAGGTGGGACATTGAGTTATAAAAGATTTACCTCCATCCCTAAGATTAGGTCTTTTTGGCGGGGGAGGGAGGGGGTCATCTTCATAGTCACTCTCTGCATACTGTGGTGCATCTATCTGAAAAGACATTTTTCCATCAAAATTTTGCAAATTTTTGTGCAAAGAGATTCTCAAGTAAATACAAACAACAACCAAAAAAATTTTGAATAGATTTCATCCAATTCAACAGAAAATGATCAAGAATCAAATCTATTAGACGAGTTAATTATCAAGATAAAAAATTAACTTAAGAAATAGACTGATGGGCTATTTTATTTATTTTTTGTCACATGTAACCTGTTTGTAATCTGTATATTGTTTCATATTTTCATGTAATTGAGTGCTATTGTTACTGATAAATATTAAATACTTTAAATTTTATCAGCTAATTCTTCAAGTTTGCATGTAGTTTTCCTAATGTTTGTATTGTATTAATAAATTGTTTGTTAATTGTCATTTGTTTTAATACAGTTAAAGTATATCAGTTATACAATATTTTACATTACGAATTTATATTATTTATTTTAAGAAGATTTTTCTGTAACGTTTCTTTTTCATTCAAGCTAACTGGACTAATTTTTACGACTGAGATTTCGTTTGAAAGCTTATGATTTAGCACATGGCATAGGGGTAATTTAAACAATTAAGTCTTCTCAACTCCTACCCTATGATTTATTTCTGTAGGACCCTGTCAAATGTTGACCCACTTTCTTTTCAACTGTTTTAAAGTGAATTGCAACAAAACAGCTCCACCATTAGACACATTTTTAATCAGATAAAAAAATAGTCTACAACTGAAAACAGGAGAAAAAACACTTATGAAAATAATATAAAATTGTGCAAAGGTCCTCTAATTTTCATTTATACCAGCTATGCAACTAGCTCAGATTTATTATCTTTTATTTGTTTCAGCTCTAAATAAACTATTAAACAATTTTAAATTTATAAAATAATTCCTTAATAAAAAAATCACCTTCCTTAGAATAGAATAAGTTACAGCTAAGAAATCATTGGCTTGAAAATACTTTTCACAACTTTAATGAATTCCTTTATAAAAATAACAGTTTTAAAAGAATTTTAAAATTTTTTAAACTTTTATTTGTATTACCCTATTTCATATAAAATAAAAAACTAATTCTCGGGCATGTGTTGTCGATATTGTAATAAATAAATTAAATAGGTAGGGTGTTATGTTTTATGTCTTTTTTAAATACTCAAGAAAAATGTAAAATGAACAAACCTTTGATCATAGGACTTTATTTGGTAAGTTTTATTTTTGCTCTCCTAAGAGCAATTCTTTAGAGACAAAAAGAGTTAACAATATTTATTTATATTCCTTACCCCTATTTCCATTATCCCTCTGATTCCTTCCACAGCAGTTTTACCAAGAAGTGAAAGCACCCTCTCGGTCGCTGGCATCGAGGCTGCAGGCTCTTTGCTAGTCACAGGCATAGCTGTTTGATCTTCATCGTCTTCGGAGGATGATGAAACTGGCCCTCCACCAGTTTTCAAACTATTCTTTCTCATGTTGGCTGCCTTTTTCTTGCTGGCTACTTTTAGATCAGTCCATGTCTGTAAATAATTAACAGGCATCAAACAAGACATATCCAAAATAGTTTAAGTACAGCTTTTAAGAAATTGGCGGGTATTGATCTTGCTAATTAGATTTTCATCATTATTAATAGTATTGAAAGAAAAACTCATAATGAATACTGATCAGGTAAGTTATATTCAAAGTCTAAATGAGTAACTTTCTCTCTGTCAACAGTGGGTTTTGTTGTGAACATTAAAAATTACAAACCTAAAACTAGATGGACTTGGTAGGTACTAAAAGATTTTCTAAGAGAATGTCACATTTTGAGAAAATTCCATTGGAAACACAAGAATTCATAGCAGATAATTTATTTTACTTTTAGTCCAGTTACTGCCCTAAAATTAAACACCATTATCACAGCTAACCTGCAAACAATTTCCATTTACCTGGCTGGATTTTTACTAAAATATTTTCTCAAAATTGTCAGATTGATTTCCAATCCAATCAAGAACTTAAAACATTAGTTTTATTTAGTACTGTACTTAGGTCTGCTTCTACAGGGAAGATATTGAGATGTGGTTTTTTATTGCATTGTTGATAGCTGGTATAGGCTAAATTAAACAAAATAATCACAACAGTTTATTTATTTTCCATAAGAATAACATGGAAATTTTAAATTTGGTTTTTAAGTGACCTATCTCTGAGGAATAGTTGGGCTACTACAATGCAATTTAAAAAATTATTTATTTTTTAAACTCTGCAAAAATGATATGGAGAGAAATTATAAAATTTTTGGTTTTAAGGGTGAAAATGAATTTTTTTACTCCTTAAAACCCCCATAAACTTTGTTCCCATGATCCGATTATGGTGGTTTGCAAACTCGTTTGAATAAAAATAAGTTAACGCATTTATACCAAATTTTATCAAAATCGAATCATTTTTGCTTTAACGGACACATAAGTTAAGTTACTGTATTTGAATTTGAACAAAGAGTGTTTTTGGCCCCTGGGGACCTCAAAATGAGAAAGTAAATTGGTCCCGGATCTAGGTCTTCATGAGACCTGCGGTGATAGGTTATCCTCCATAAGTTATGGGAAATTTGCTAAAAAAAGTAAATTATCGAATATTCACTCAGTAAGTTAAATAACACATTTATAAATTACAAACAAAATAACTTCTTGTTCGGCATTGTACGTGTTATTACATTTTTGGAAAGTAAATTAAAGAACTAAACATATCTTATAACATTAAAAACATATATTTACGCGTACTATTCACAAGATATAAAAGATGTTAAGTTGAGTCGTGATTGATTTCTATTGGACACTCCAATCATCAGGTCCCAATAGGCGAATGGCATGGTTTTATGTTATTCTAAATTTCCTCCTTTTTTTTAATGAAACAAGTAAGTTTAAGTTAAAAATGACTAGATTCAACAGTAGTTGGGAAAGTACCCAGTTGTTTAGGCCCTGCGAATAGTAAAAAACAACTCTGCAGGATTGCCAGGGCGCCGAGCAATTTGGCGTAAATGGGTGCAGGGCAGCCCTAGAGGGTTAATAACTCTGATATGAAAGTTATGTAGGCATAGGGGCCTACCTCTTAAAAATAAGTTTCTGTTAGGAAACACCAAAGTCCATAACCTAGGCCTAACTCATATTCCCCTCACAAACAAATAGGCCTATAACGTAATAACTTAAACTGAGAACGCAAGGTTTCTGGTAGATTTTACTTGTTATGGCCTAAATAATAAATAACTTAAAATGGCACTGTTAAAACAACCTTTAGAAGTTATGAATGGCTTGAGCTTGCCATAGCCTTATTATTAAAACTAGGCATACAATTAAAATTAATGACTGTTAAATAACCTATAACTTAGATAAGCTTTGAATAACTTAGCGTAGCTTAGGCCTTTCATAGCCTATTTTAAAAACTTGGCCTATTCTTAGCCCTTCTTAATAATTAACATAATGGCACTGTTATACCAGTCAAACAGAGGATTTAGGCTGAATAGATTTTGGGCCTTTAAGAACCTATTTTTAGTTGCCATACCCTAAGTTAAGTAGGCCTAAGTTATAACTTAGTGTTTTCTTATACCAAAAGGTTCAACATTAATAACTTAGTAGTAAAATAATTATATGATTTATCTATGGTTATATCTTCTCCTTAAATTATTAGGTTACTTACCCTTTTCCACTGTTTGACTGTTTTGAATGCTCCTCCAAGGCTATTTAGCTTAATGGTGGCCTCTTCCCACTTTTTGTTGGAGACCTCCCTTGTGTAATATGCATCTAGTTGGTTCGTCGCCAACTTCGGATTTTGTTCTAAAAATGCTATGAGGAAATCCCTCTGTCTCTCGGACATTTTCCCACTTTGCGGTTGTTGATACGACATAGTAGTGATTGTGTCGACGATTGATGCTAGCAATGCCGAAACTAAACTTCAAAATCGTTTTGAGCGGTTAGAGGAAACGGAACAGTGTAGAGTTGCCTACTGCACTGTGATTGGTTCAAAATGACGTCATCTGAATTTTTGACGGTCGTATGCTCCACATTTCCACCACGAGTCTCTCAACTAGTGATTCCCAACTCGCTTCCCAACTGTTGGGTTTCAAAAATACCAAATCCAGTTGTTGGTTGAGTTGAGTGTTGACGATAGACTCAACAGTCAACCATTTCAAAAATAGGGCCCCTGGTTTGATGTGCATGTATGGTACTTCTTGTAGGGAAATTTAATAGGTTGTCTTTAACATGGACGGAACACAGAAGGATGTATTGGTTATAGACTGTTAGGACCTTTGTTTTCATGAAGAGCGGCTTACAGTGATCCAGTCTCTTACTAAAAGTAATCACACGAATTGCCCTCTTCTGGAGTATGAGGATTTCCTCATAAGCAGGCGCGTGTCCCCATAGCATTAGACCATAGCTCAATACACTATGGAAGAGAGCGTGGTATATCACCAGCAAAAAATAGTGTGGACTTATCATATGGGTGAGTTTTCTAAGTAGGTGTACCACTCTTGATAGCCTTGTGCTAACCGCATCTATATGCTTGGTCCATGTGAGTTTTTGGTCTATTTTAAAGCCAAGGAGTGAGACCACGCTATTTTCTTGGACATGCTTAGCTAATGTGCAGACCATCGCTTGTGTTTTGTCCTCATTTAGTTTTAGTTTATTGGCTGCAAACCATTGTTTGGCTTCATCAAACAGGACCTCCGCTGCATCAATCGCAAGGGCAGGTGTAGCACCAAACGAGAAGATAGTGGTGTTGTCGGCAAATCTGAGGCAAATCTTGATGTAAAAACACTCTTACTACACTTGTAACGTAAAAAGCTATTACCACGCTCTGTCTATTTTCATTAGTCTTCCAGTTTCGCGGGGGTAAAATTCCAAGACAATAATATTTCGGCGACCCGATACGCAAGCAGCATAGTACTTGTACAGCTTCATGAACCAAAACTTCTGACCACTAAATGTTGGCAACAGGAAAAAACGTACGACTTGTTTTGTTTTGATTTGTAGCATCAGCATCGCATGGCCGTCATCTCATTGTTTTCTGCTATAACCTAACTTACTTTACTTTTGAGTTTGAGGTTATGTTCTGCCTGTTTCGTTGTATGGTAAGAAATAAAAAGTTAGTTTATTAATTATATTAGTAATATAGTTTGGAATTAGTTGGACTATTTGTACGTGGCTTGATGTACGACGTGGTATTTTATTGCCATCACTAGAAAATTGATAACTAAACCACGTTTTAGTGAGAAAACATTCTAGGCCTATCAAATAAAAACTGTAGATTACAAATAGTAAACTAAACAATAAATAGCAGTAGTTTCGTTAGTATGTGAGCAGGGTGGAAATTTTTCGGTTATTGTTCAGTTTCCAGAACTCATCTAAATCGTCATTTTATGATAAAAATCTAGTTTCTGGTGATCTACTCCTAAATCTATATAGGCTCCCATGGTTACATTAATATGCAATAATTAGGCCTACCTTAGACTATATCCTATTATTGATTGTTATTTAACTTAAACAATTTTTAAAGTTTGGGTTTTTGTTAGTTTAATTTTAGTTAGGTACCTATTAATCTAATCGATAACTTACTATTAATTGTTTGATGATCCAATAGAGACGTATGTGAAAGTTTCACTATAATTAATGACTTAAATATTAGAGACCTTTTCGCTAGCAAGGTTTAGGGAATGTTACGGTACTCAGTTTTACCTTCATATTAGGCCTCCGTTTAAACTCGATTGACAACGGTTTTATTCCAAACTGTAGGAGAAAAGAGCTACAGTAAGGCCCAGCGCACACGGTGTGACTGTTTTACAACTGTCGTTGCAAACCAGATGCGACCTCGGCAATGTATTGCAGTGGGGAAGTACACACGACGCAACTGGTTGTATGCGATTTTAAAAAACATTTGAAACCTGTCACATACAACCGTGGGCCCGACATTGCAGTTGCGTTGCAGACTTCAGTTGAACGAGACCACGAGGTGTTTTTGTGGTGTTTGGTGGTATTTTAACGGCCGTATAGTGTTTTTAGTGTTTATAATTTCCTATCCGACTAACTTAGCTCTAGCTGCTACAAACAGCCTAACTTAGTACTAAGTTAACATTCTTGCTCAAATAAGGGTGAACCCAATGCTCTTTCAATACCCTTCGCTGTCTTCGGTATTGATAATAGCCAATAGCATCTTCTTCCTCTGAGACTGACATAGTAAGCGCACTTAAGGCCTTAAAACAATGTAACTGCACTAAATTGACACTCCATTGATTGCACAATAGAAGTAACTGTAGTTGTAAAACAGTCACACCGTGTGCGGACAGAAGCTTTGTTTCACTTGCAAACTGGTTTCAGACGCAACTGATTTGCAATAGTAGTTGTAAAACAGTCACACCATGTGCGCTGGGCCTAAGATTCACTGAATTCTGAAGTATCATACAGTCCAATTTCTCTTAACTTATTAGGCCTACCTACTTAAGTTAATGAAAAAACAATAAGTTACTTTACCAAATTTGAAATTAATAAAATAGGCTTAAAATACTTATTTCAGATAAGAAGTTAAATTTTAATAGGTACCCTACACAACTCTTTATACAAGTGAAATAGCCTAGCATTTATCTATTGAAATAACTTATTAAGTAAGACATTTTTAAATGTATTAAGTTATAAAAAATATTTAAAGGCTTTAAGAAATACACTTTATTTCAGACTGTGAAATCATGACTACAATGAAAGAAGAAGAGAGTTTTCCTCGAGGACGTTCATCAGGCACAAAACCAGCATTAAGGAAAGTGAAAGATAAGGTGAGAATAGAAAATATGTTTGAACTCTTTTTACCTGTTAGTGAAAGGGGGTTGCTGGAATTGTACTGTACCCCACTCTTGGACAGGTAGAGAACGGCTTGTGTACAGGCTGGAATTAAATACTCTTGACAAATTTAATGCTAGGCAGAGCCATTGGCCGTGTATTAACTTGGTCCATAAGTTTGTCTTCTTGAAACTATCACAAAATTAATACAGTAGACTACTGAATATAATAAATAATAGCCTAGTACAATTTGGACATGGAAAAATAATAACACATTTTCTATTTAAACTCATAAAAAACTGGTACTCCAGCCTCATCTTCAAACTCTCTAAGACTACTGAATGCCTCAGGCAAGTAGCTTAAAAAATATAGTAACTTAGCCTACTTTAGGTTACAATAGGCCTAGAGTAAATAGTACAAGGTAAAAAAATGTTTTTTTAGTTTTTAGCTGTCACAATGTTAATACACTATGCCCTAGGACTTTTTATATCTAAATGTTTTAATACAAACATGTCTGATGTTTTAAAATGATGAATCCACAACAGTAGATAACTTGAAGTAAACGCTCGTAGGAAATGAAATGTATCCATACAATAACTCCTTTTATTAATCATGTATTAACTTCTAATTTTAGCTCTTCAAAAAACACAAAAAACCTAAGAAGACTTTGAAAAACTCTTTCTTTGAAGACAACCAGGTTAAGAGCAAGTTTAAGAAATTTGGATCTAGAGGTGGCAATGAATTGGAAACAAACCACTCAATTAGACCTCTAACATATCAGGTAAGTTCTTTGAATGTGGTGACATTGCCATCGCTGATGGTAACAACAAGCTGCTAAACTATCAAACCTTAGAAGGTAATAAATAACTGATATAACAAATTATGGACTATAAAAAAATTGTTTCTAGTGTTAATGTTTAACTGTTTAGTTAACTAAATACTAAAGAATTCAATTATTACTAAATTCATTTGGATAATTTTTTCAATCTGTTATGTAGCCTTGACATAATTAATTATGAATCAGACCACCTCCAATGTAGACCAGATGAAATGGGCCTATACCAACGTCTAATAAAATCTTAATATTTTTATTTGTGTAACCTACCAGTACTATACTGCGGGTCTATAGAATACATGGGCTGGCTCACGTCGACGAGAAAAGTGGCTCCATTGCCATGTGGCTGTGACGTCATCGCACGGACTCCATGGGTCGTACCAGCAAGCGGCCCATATACAAACCGCTCATATTTACTACACGCTTCCCTACATTTACCACAATTCAATTGTCCGTATCATCAATTGTCCGTATCAAACTTATATCTTTGTAATTTGCATTAACTACCGAGTCTGATGGTCAAAAAATATTTTAGTTATTAATAATATCTTTTAAGCAAAAAATGATTAAAATTACAAACTTGTAAACTTAAAAAAGTCAATAAGCTAGGATTTTTAAAATTTTTGAGATTGGAACAAACTTTGAGTGAGAAAAATGTTTATCAATAGTTCTTCTGCAATAATTAGAGTTCAACAACGATGGGGTGGCTAAATAATAACGATTGAGCAAAGGGTAATTGGAGTAAATAAAAGTAGCCCTACAGGTTCTTAAGCTGGACAGGCTATTTGGCCTACTACGGCCTAGAGGCTAGCCAAAGTCATGTGATGTAACTAAGTCCAATTATTATTGCTTATTATTTGCTTATATAGTCCTATGTTTTATACAGAGTCTAGAGGAAGGTATGGTAATGGTTGGAAGAGTCAGGGAAATTCATCTTTACCACATGTTTGTCTGTCTCCCCGGAAAGCTGTCTGCTAAAGTTCCTATAACAGCCATCTCCGAACCATACTCCAATTCTCTAGCTCGTCTTCAAAAGTTGGAAATCACTCAAAAGGTATTGTAGACTATACATAGTTGATTGATAACTCGTACCGTATCTTGGTTGGATAAAAATTATCTCTTTTTTTCATCAATCACTGATGGGACTTTGTAATCCCGACCCATTTTTGTCCATTATAGATCCCAACAAGAATCCTAAAAACCCCCCTTGCCATATGTTTTATCGGCCTTTTTGACCAATGTTTGTGCCTATGTTTGACCTTTGGAATTTGTTGTTATTTTTGACAGGATTGCCCTCCTCTCAGTGATCTATTCACGGTGGGACAGGCTGTAGTCTGTAGCATTGTGGAGGTCAAGAAGGATGGAAACGTTCTTGCAGTTAACGCTAGTTTGGATCCTACGCACATCAACAAGGAACGCAGTCATCATGTCATACGTGCTGGACACACTCTGGGTATGTGCTTGACAATTACCTACGCCTCTAACAATAACTTTGATGCAGATTTTACTTTAGCCATCTAACAACAATAATACATTATTAGGTACCTCAATAACTCGTACCTTGATATGTACATAGATTTTTTCATAACTTCCTGGAAATCCCCATAAATCACAATGTTTGAAATACTTCTTTTGTAAGTCAAAGGTTTCGAATATTTAACCCCAATAAGTGGAATTTCAACGGTTTTCAATCAGTAATAGTAAGCCTTTAAAACTCAATTTTTCCTATTATCGTTCCTCAATAACTCAAATTTTACCTTTGTTAAAGTTGAAGTTTCACACTATGTCTCAATAGCCTAACTGGAGGTTTTGCCGTACGGTGCTAGTCAGCTGTGTTTTGACTCCTGTCTATGCATGAAAATTCAACTTCCGTTGTTTGTTTGGCTAATACTACTGTTAGAGTGCCAGTAGTACCAGTTATTGAGATTATTAACAGGTGGGTTAACACATGGCACATTGAACGTAATGGTGTGCTGTCAGTTACCTAAGCGCAAGTGTAAAACGTTGACGGACGCCAAAAAAAAGAGTGATTAAAGCAGTTGACAGTGTGTTAAAGGAAAAAGTTTAAATTTCCAGGGAATTTTGCCTATCATTTTATCGAAGAATTAGAAAAACCTTGAAGCCTTGCTGAAGCTGAAGGTGGATTAATCAATTAGAAAATATGTAAGAATGGTAAATTTAAAGGCACACGGATGAATTTGTTTTAACGTGGTTAAATCAGCTTCGAGATCACATTCCTATAATCAGAACCGATTTTGCAAAAGAAATCCATTCAGTATGCCATTTGTACTCATAATAAATTGCTTTATTTTGCTTTCACAATTGCACTTCAGTACCTAAACAGCTTGAGCTTGATTTATAACTGACTTGGCGTGTTAAAGTCGAGTTATAAAGGCTGTGACGTAACACCATTGTCAGAATCTAACACCTCAGTATCTCAAATCATTTCGCTTAAACTCAAAAACTCTGTAACTCAAATTTTTATCATAGCACCTTTATTAGACTCTCAACTAGGCCTAGAAAGTTTTTTATTAGACCAAATAAATTACTAATTTGCAAGATGCTATATGCCGGTCTTGTGCCTTTAATTTCAGACGTTTTGTCACATACATAAATGTCAAGGGTGTTGGATTCTGTATACTACTTGTTTTTTTAAGCATTTTCTGTTTTTACTGATGTAGGTTATATCATTAACAACATAGTGGACTATAGTGCCTTTTTTGTATAATATTTTATTAGCTACTGGTAAGGTTGAATTATAGTTTTGTTTTATTAGTTAAAGAATGAGTATTAAAATGTTGTACGGTATCATTGAACAGTATTAAAGTATCAAAGTATCAGCACAGAGCTTTGTGTACTGCCTCACTATTCCAAATAAATCATGTTCAGCTGACACTTATGATAGATTCTGGGAAATCTGGATTGTTTTGGGATTAAGATCGACTGTCTGACTACAAAAAGAATCTAGTCTAGATTTTCAAAAGTCTAATATAGCAACAATTCTATTTTATTTTTCTAGTAAAAGTAGTGAAAGAATAGTGAATAGTAAATCGTGAAGAGTTGGGGGGGGGGGGGGGGGGTTGTCATTTCTATACCTTGGACCTGTTTTTCTTAGGCCAATGCTTTTTATTGGCAGTTTAATATATTTGTTCAATATTTTGACAGTGGCTGCAGTTAAGTCTGTAGAGGACCACGGGTACACTCTTCATACTGGGATTGCTGGGCTGACTACTTTCCTCAAATTTGGCAATGCTGCTAAACACATAGAACTGAAGAACGAAGGGCGCCCTCTAGGTACGATGTGTTGAGTGTAAATTAAAGTTTTATAATTTGGTTATTGATGTGATAGCAATTCTTGAACCCAATGGTCAGTTTGTGCTATAAGTTATTTCTGTCAGGGGGGAAAATTTAGACTCGACGTTCTGTACCCACGAGCACCTCAGCTTCCACATGCACAGAAGATCTTGGAACAGCTCCTGGGATAACAGCTATTTGTGTAATAGCTTCACTATATATCTTTATTTGACCTGGTAAGATAGTTGTTTCTTTTAGCAGTTGCGAACTGTGCATTGTAATTTTGTAATTGTAAAGGCGTTTATTCTTTACTGTTTGTTTACTTTTGTTGACTTGAGCTTTGAGCTGATTGAAAAGGTGTTTTATGATTATGAAAATTAAAGTGCTGTGAGTGTAATATGAAGCTGGTTTGTTATTAGGTATTGACAAATTAAATGTTTTGCGTGCATGAATTATTTATTTAGTTTTAAATGTTAACTTAACCTATGTTTTTCGGATTCCTCAAGAAAGAGTGATTGTTAATACTTAGGTTAGGTTGAGTTGTGTTATTAATTGGACTTTTTCAAAGGCAATAACTCAACTTAGACCTAAACTCAACTGAAAGGCATAACTGCCCAACTAACTAAAAATAAACGTAGACCTAGGTGCCACTACCAAAACTGCAATCTAACAAATTCACACACACAACTCAACCTAACCTACTAACAATCACTCTTTCTTGAGGAATCCGAAAAATAGGTTAAGTGAACATTTAAAACTTTATAAATAATTCATGCACGCAAAACATTTAATTGTCAATACCTAATAACAAATCAGCCTCATTACACTCACAGCACTTAAATTTTCATAATCATAAAACGCCTTTTCAATCAGCTCAAAGCTCAAGTCAAAAGTAAACAATCAGTAAAGAACTTGAACTTAAACACCTTTACAAAATGAAAATGCACAGTTCGCAACTGTTAAAAGAAACAACTATCTAACCAGGTCCAAAAAAAGACATACAGTGAAACTATTACACAAATAGCTGTTATCCCGGGAACTGTTCCAAGGCCTTCTGTGCATGTGGAAGCTGAAGTGCTCGTGGGTACAGAACGTCGAGTAAAATTTAGCATTATCCTGGGTTAGCAATGAGCAAACACTCTGCCACATTAATGTTTACTTCACTAATTTGTGATATAGACACTTAAAAATGATTGTAGAATTTCATTTTAAATAGTATGATGAGCTAAAATTTTATAAAAGATCATGTGCTTAAAACCTCTGCCAGATGTTCTACGTCATTGGTAATTTTTACACATGGTTATATTATGTTAAGTCAACCTTTTTTAGCACCATTAAATTATGGCCCAATAAGTTACCAATTTGTAACAAATACTCTTTTAATATGGATCATTTTAAAACTACAACTCTCAGAAAAAAACATTTTGGTTGAGATTGAATTTTTACACCATATTAATTTATGTTTCATACTCACATCCATTAAATATTGTTTAACCCTTTGAGTGCCAACGTCCGGGGAACCGGACGTTTTTAAAACGAGCCAAAAGTGCCGACGTCCGGCCGACCGGACGTTTTTAGAACGAGCCAAAAGTGCCAACGTCCGGCTGACCGGACGTTTCGTAATGATCGAACAGCTGTCATAACAACCGAATAAATACTCGGATTCTTTTAACCCATATATTAACATTGAGTCGAAAGTTGCTAGATGCGATACATCGATTTTCGTTGGTCGAAATATCGAAAATTCGATTTTTACGAAATTTTAACCTAAAAATCGCCAGATCGCGCTCGGCATTTTTAGCGCGACCTTCGGGAAAAATCATCGGCATTTTTTGAGCGTTACTTTTATTTCTCGCCTGGCACTCTAAGGGTTAAATACAAGAAATCTAACAAAAAACCACTAAGTGGTAACACTTTCCCCGCCAAGTCAGCAATCCAAAAAAGATAATAAATCATTACTTTTTCCGCCAAGAAAAACAATGTAATGTATGTAACTTTGGCAACTTGGCGGCAGACTTTTGCTTGGTTTTTTTTCATTAAAGTTACGTTCGTGGATAGTTTCACAAATCAACTTCTCTAATTAATTAGTCCAACTAAGTATAATAATTTCGAGGTAATCAGTAAATATAAAACCATTACTATTATGATTTTATGAAATGTGGCACAAATAAGGTCAAATTTTGTAAAATAAGGTCTCACCTAGCAATGTACTAATGGAGGAGATACTTGCCCAATGAAACTAGTTTTATGGTATTTTTTAAAGTGATCGAGCAAAAATCTGCCGCCAAGTTGCCAAACTTACATACATTACATTGTTTTTCTTGGCGGAAAAAGTAATGATTTATTATCTTTTTTGGATTGCTGACTTGGCGGGGAAAGTGTTACCACTTAGTGGTTTTTTGTTAGATTTTATTTATTTTTGTAGAAAATTAACAGTTAAAATAAAAATCCTCTTTTCTCTGATATATAGACCACGGCACAACTACATCGCATTTAATTTCAATAATATTGTTTGTGTAGAACTAAATTCTACATTTTTGGTCTTATCTGCTTTAAACCGATTAAAAACTTTTTGTCACACGTACCAAAATTACTATTTAACAAACCCCCTGGGCTTAAACTCAGTTTCAAATTTCATCAATGGTTATCTTGAACAACATAAAATGCGTTGGTGTTACATAAAATGCGTTGGTGTTACATAAGTGTTTTGATAATTAAACTCGTATATCTAAAGACTAGTGTAATTTGAGCCCTTATTAGAGAAGTAAAAATGTAATCAAACAGATTAGGTTTGTTAGAAAGCAACAGGCAAAAAAAATATTGAAAAACTCATTTATCCTAAATTTACATATCACTTTTTAATTGCTTGTTTAACATACGTAGAGCGATTTTCCCGATTGTTTTAGTGTATCAAACATAAAACAAACCTTAGTACTAGTACTAAGTTTCAAGTTCCTAGGTTTCATATGTTTTGATAAGTTATATTAAACTGTTTAAAATGACGAGCTGCTGTATCAGTGTACCATTGGTACATTGCATTTTTCAATGGAAAGTATCGGGGAATATCACTGCTCCAAGTAATTTTATATAGTAAGAAGTTCAAATCATTCGGTATACCTGAAAAAAATACTTTATAAAAGTTTTAAAATAATTTTTCAGCTGTTCCTATGAATTTCTCTAACATTTAAATTAATTGAGATTTAATTGCAGCTGGTCCTTCTTTTGTTTTGATTTTAATCCCATGTTATTTAAATGGACCAAAATCATACTTTGAGGGCTTGCCAAGGGTTTATGGGTAAACGCACCGACTTGAGACCCTCAAAAGGCACATCTACACGTTAAGGGCTTTCAAACAACATAAAAAACATTAAAATTGAGCCAGTGGTTTGGGCTGTAGGTCCGTCAACATTCAAGGAGAAGAAGGAGAACACGGAAAGTTTGCGAATTTTCAAACTAGTTTTTCTTGGTTCTAACACAACCGTTTTTTTCAATTCTTTTTTTTAATTTGTTGAGAATGAGTGCCCCTATCCAGTAGATGAATAATTATTTTAATAGCTTTTGTTTCTTCAGAGCTACAGACGAGTAAAAAAGTCACTTTGTCACGTCATGTATATATACACTGCAGCAGCTGTGTACCGCTGGGATACTTGGCGGGGCGGAACGCTGCCGCGTTCCTTAATCAAATAAAAAATTAGTATAATTAAAAATTATTATTCATATTTTAAAGTTGTTACTTCAAAATGGCACAATGTTTAAACAGTTGTCGGAGAGCTGGTGAGATGTGTGGTCACCAAGTGTATGACTGGGCGGTCGGCCAGTCGTGCCGAGGTCACACTAGACCCCAGAGTTTTGGCCGAGACGACCATCAGTGATGGTAACTCTCAGACACTACACCCCGGCACCTCCGTCAGCTGTGTGGTGCAGCAGGTGAGATTAAACTACCCACCATAATGGTGTGTTGCGATTTTAATATAGGCCTAGTTGTTAACGTATTATAAAATGCTGAATTAATTAAAAAAATTAATAAATACTGATTTTGGTTGAGTAAGCAACCTTCTTAACCAAGTCAAATTAAAATGATAGCTTGTTGCAAAGTATAACATCATGTATTGGCATCAGATATTTCAATACCAAAAACAAGAGGAAAAATTTAATATTTACATTACTACATTCTGTAAGTGGCTCATTCAACTTAAGTTTTATTTGAATTTGCTACAGCTAGTCCATATCAATAAAATGTTACTTAAGCATCCACAATTAAATGGTATTACGAAGAAAATGGATTGTCTCCCTTTGAAATCTATTGTTGAATTGAACAACATAATAACAAACTTTACATTAGTGTGAAAATTGCAAATATTACAAATCCGCTCTGTGTGTATGTGTTCCAGTCATGTAAAGCTGGCCTCATTGTAAACATCGGACGTTACAAAGCATATGTAGAAGCAGCTCAACTACCCAGTTGTTGGTCTTCACACAAATACATTCAACCAGAAGAAGAACTGACAGGAACTGTCATATATACTCTGCCCAACAAAGACTTTCAGATCACAGCTCGACCGACGTATCTCACACTCAAGAACTTGAGTCAACTCACCTATCCTAAGTTGGCAATTGGAGATGTCATAGAAGCCAGAGTAAGATGATTTTACTTGTAATTGTAATTATTTTAAGTTTGCCAAATGTATAATTAGTTTTTGTATTTTAATTTTAATAGTTTTGAGTTCTTACTTGATTTGTTATATAATTTAAGAATTGTTTTTGGCCGTTTTTTTTTTAAGGCTTACATTGATGGGAAAGAGCCCCCCAGGTATAAGAAACCCAATATATATGCAGTATTTTTTTTCTTGTTTATTGTGCCTGAATCGTTTCTCATTCAGGTAAATCTGCTGACAAAAATGCTGGCCATTGTACCATATGTTACTTCGTCGAATACAATGTTTTTTGTACTTGGCAATAGATTGCTAAGCGGCCTATAGATAGTAATGTGTTGAAGAAGGACTTGTATTTAAAAATACCATTTTTTTCAGGTTACGCAAAGTGGATCCAAGGGCCTCTATTTGTGCCTTGGAGTTAGAAAAGACAAGGAATTGGGAAACAAAGGTTTTGTGTCTATTAGGAGGCTTGGTGAAGATATTCCTAAGGAAAATATCACAAAGAAATTCCCAAAAGGAGCTATTGTCACAACAAAGATTCTGGGCTTTGACTTCATGGAGGAAATTTACAACTGTACACTTGAAAGGTAAATCTACGTATCTTGTAAATCTGTGTAATCAAATCACTAATGTAGTTATTACTGTGATAGACTGTCATTAATCTGGCACTTTTTGACACCAAGTGCCAACAGCGGTCACATCAGCGAGGTCGCCAGATTAATAAGAGATTTATAAGAAATCAGTCATAAAGCTAAATGTAAACCTATCAAGTATGAATGGTCAGAGTGTTATCATAAAAAACCTACAACACAAAACAAATAAATTTTAAATCCAAAACATATCTGAAATCTGAATTCAAAACAAACTATTCTCCGTGTAATTGATTCTGACAGATGAACACTACAGTGCTCAGTGAATGTTTGAATGTTTCCAGTGCCAAGCTTGAGCAACAATACATTTCTGCTGCCCAGGTCAAGGTAGGGGATAGAGTGTCTTGCAGGGTTGCCGAGGTGGAGAAGACCGGCCTCAGGCTGACCCTCGGGCCTGTCAGACTGTACGTCTTCAAGGAACATTGCGCGGACATACCGTACCAGGATCTGCAGCAACACTTTGGTACTGGGGACATCGTGGACGCCAGGGTGAGTCATGTGTCTCTACAGTGTGATCACATGTCAATCATTACAGAGGAGAAACTTTGCTTTCTTCAGAGGGAGAGAGAGAGATCACTCACTGTATTACCACCTATTTACATTGAAAATTAATTACAGTCGGGACCATGAACGTTTGCAGTTGGCGGCAGCCAATCACAAGACAAGGCTAGTGCGACGTTTCCATATCGCCCGTTGACGACACTTATTAAAATACTTAACAATATTTTCAAATCAGCTGGTATTATTAGATTTGGCAACACCGCACTGTCCTCATTGGCTCCTTCAAAGTCATGTGGTAAATACGCTCCTCCCTCAACTGCAAACTTTCGTGGACCTGGAGGAAGAGATCACTGCTTTCTTCAGAGAGAGAGATCACTGTATTACCACTTATTTACATTGCTAATTAATTAATTGTGCAGTACAGCTGCTAACCTTCTTATTTTACAATCAAAATCCTGGCCTAGAGCCTTTCCTTGAACAAAACTAATAGCTCATATCGTCAGTGTTGTTGCCATATCAATCATTGTAATGTTCACTAGTTTCAGAAAATGTCCTAAGAAAGCGACTTTGTGTACTATAACTTATGACTTCTTCGCAGGTGTTAAAGGTGAACCCAGCGACTCGGCAAGTTTACGTGACTCTGAAAGAAACGCTGATTCGCTCGCCAGCCCTGACCAGCTACGAGACGGCCTGTGAGGGAGAGGGATATTGGGGCACTGTGCGCTCCGCCACAACTAAGTGTCTGTTAGTCTCCTTCTATAATGACGTGACAGGAGCCCTGTACAACCCTCAGGGCCAGTTTGAAAAGGGACAACTGGTATGACAGATTCAATATGTTGGCATTTTGATTGTTGTTATAATCAGACTCTTAGGATAAAATTAAATTGTCTATTATTGTTCAAGAAACAAAACTTTACTCTATAAAAAAAATTATAATTGGTATACTAACTTTCTATGACAACATTTTCATTAAAGAAATCGAAATGATTCAGATATGAGTGTAAATATTCCTTCATTTCTAGAACCATTTTGTGAAAAATATTTTTACTACATCTCAATAACACAAACACTTTCATTCATCATGTTTAAAAACGTGCAGTGTTAGATAGTAATTGTTCTTTATTTTTCTCTAATACTTAGTGTATCATGCTCAAATTGATGATTTTCTTAATTTATTACTTTTTGCATATTTATCATCTGGTATCATCTGGTTTATCAACTTGTTGCATTGTTTTGTTATGAATCCTGTCTGTAAAAACAGTGTACCTTAACACGTAGAGTGCGGCCGTTCCCGATCGCGTACGGCGCTTGGCCCCCGTACGGTGCGTCCGTACCCCATCGGGAACGCTCGGTAATGCCTTTTGTATATCTTCGTTTTTGCTCTAGCGTCGGCCGAAAGCGGACCTATACGACGTTAGCGTGTAGTATGTGACTTGCATTTTGTTGTGGTGTAGGTTGGTAGTAAATTTCCCCGTAAAATCCCCGTCTGGCAATCTCAAAAGTCTTCTTTTTGTCCCGTCTTTTTCCCTCCATTTGGCAATACAATTCCAATGGGACCGGCTACGTTCCAAGCAGTGCTGCTATATGTGGGTGTTTAGTGAACTACATCGACTCTCGTTGTAAAGCAGGACATCCCCTCACGTTATTTGCTATTCGTCAGACCAAAATTGAAAAGGCCAATCACACGCGGCAATCGGGTTTACTCGACGCTGAGGGCTGCGCCGCACTGGGGATACGCCCGCTATTTGGCGTGCCGCAGCGAACGTGTTAACTGTATCTGTAGCATGATTGTAAATGCTAAATGAGAATAAATTATGATTGTTGATAGGTTGTTGTTAGGGAATTTTTTAGGAAAACATGATATAATCTTCGGGACAGGAATGAATTTAATTCAGGATTTTCACTGGATTAGTTCCAACCATCAGCAGTTTTGTCATGTTGCGACGACGACAATAATGATGTTTCTGTGACCAAACACAATTTCCCATCGTTAAAACTTCCCACGATCACAGACATGTTATTGGTTATGACGCAAACTCAGGAAACAAGGGGAATGTCTCCGTTACTTTGGGAGATATTCTCAATGTTGCCGCAATCTCGGGAGATAATCAAAATGTTTCTGTTATTGATGATGATGAAAGTCATGACAAATAGAAAATAAAAATCCAGTGCCGTCCCGAATTAAAAGTACAATTATGTACCCTAATTATTCACACCATTAAAAATGTTGTATCTTTGTAGAACGTGAAGTAGCCTATATTTTATTTACATTTTCTGTTGTAGATCAAATGCTATGTAAGGAATGTAAATGTAGCACAGAAAAAACTGAATCTCAGTCTTGTGAAACCAAAGGGAACTACGAAACCAAAACAATTAACCATTGGTCAATTGTATCAGCTGGTAGTCTCCAATGTAGGTGATGATCATCTTGAAGTTACACCTTGTGATTTTGAAGGCATTGGTAAGTTCTTTAATTGCATTTTTGTGTGTATCATTGACCATTGGATACTGGAAGATTTATCAATAGTCGAAGGTGCTATTAACGAAATTGTTAACGGCAAACCCGGTATGATTTTGATGGTAAACAAGAAAGCAGTAGCCTATATTAATAACTTGAATTGAGTTATACACTGACAAAGCATATACATACGTTATATTAACTCAGGTATTTAGGGGAAACCAGCAGGAAGTTTAGGCTAAACTTTGTTCTGTAAATGCAAACATATTTTATAATTTGTTTACTGCTCTGTGAAAACTAATTTTTGCATACATTAGGAATTTCACCAAAAATATTACATTTGTTTAGTTTATTTCCTATTCAAATGTTTCTAAAACTAGGCTTTTCACAGAGTTCTTAAAGCTTAATACCAGGAGGGTTTCACAATTAATATCTACTCTGCTAATTTCAGATGGGTTGATCCCAAAGAGTCATCTACCTGATCCAAACAAGTTTGGCGAAGGGGATTTCATCAGAGGCTGGTTGTTCTTGATTAAAGATAACATTCATTACTTTAGTCCAACTCAAAGCATGGAGTACTTCTTTAAGGTAAATTTCTCCCTACATATTGTGTTAACAATATACAATTATTTAAAATTACTCGTTGTTTAGGTGAGGTTACTATATTTTGTTACTGAATTTGGTAAATCCTGTGGTCTACTTTATAATTTCTTTAACTTGGTTGAAAAATGAATATCATATAACAACTGCCAAGAAAATTGTAATTACATAATGTTCTGTTTTATAAACTTTAGCACCTCAAAATTCACTATTTACAGTTGTTTGGTAAAGAGTAGTTTAATCATAAAAAAATATTTTCCTGTTTACAACTTTACACACTGTATTTCCCACACGCACTAAAAGCACACCTCCCCCCCCCCCCCAGTAATAAAATCAGGGTCATATTTTAAGTTTCAACCCAAATATGAGTAAAGGATGAGTGTAAAATGAAGTGTGATGATCCATATAGCTTTGTTACTGACTAAGATCAGCTGTTTTTCTAGCCAGTATCATTTATTTAAAGCCCAATGTTCAAGGACAGCTGGGACTAGTTTTAAATCTTCAAAAAGCTAATGGCTTTTCTCAGGATCGAACCGGTAACATTTTGATTACTAGGCGAGCACTATAACCACTCAACTACCCAGCCAGTTTATTATTATGGCCGCTTCCACAACGTTAACCAGGAACAAACTAAAAAAAAAAACTTTTTAAAGGAATAATTAGTGGTTTCTTAATTGCAGAACCCGACCAGCATTAAACTACGCTACCGGATGACATGCTGTGTGGCCGCTATCAAACAGGACACAATATCTATGCTTACTGCTTTGCCTGGCATTCCGTCTGTTGATGTCCCCAAACAGGTAAAACTTATAAATGTTTTTGTTTTTAGTAATGTTTTATCCAATAATAACTATTAACTAGGTGTTATTTATTTATTGAACACCTAAAGAGTTGGACATCAAAGACAGCAGGCCTATTCCATTTGTTATTGATTAATAGTTCAGATTTTGTAAATAAGGTAAATCAAAATCCATGTTAAACATGTTAAAGTGATTGCATGTTTCAGGAATGGCCAAGAAATGACCAACCTACGCTTCACCAACTTGTAAGGTTGTATGTCAAAGAGTACGATCCTGAAATGAAAGTTCTTGAACTAACATTAAAAAAGCCTCCAAAAGAAGTGAATGTAAGTTGTCAAACACTTTTTAATTGTATATTTAATGTAGTTTCAAATTGAATATACGTTCCTATTACATTACTTAGTTTTAAACATCAGCCTTCAGACTAAACATATAAAGAACATTGTTTAATGTTGATTTTTTAAATTAAGGTTATGTCAGCGTTAAGTATCATGTTCGTGAGTCGGTGGCTCAGTTGGTAGCATCACGGACTTCGGGCCCAAGGCAGCGATGTCCTGGTCACTGACACAAACATTTTATCAGTAGTACAGTTCACCTTCGTACTGTACCGGCTCACCCCTTGATCTGTAGATCTGTAGTCTACGTGGACGGGCAAATGCAAGGTTAAATCTGCCAGCCTTTTTTTTAACTAAGTCAAATATGTATTTTATTTCTAGGTGGGGTTAAGTGTTTTAAAACCTAGATACATATATTACAATTATTTAGTTGTTTTTTTTATAAATAAATGTGTTTTGCACATTAAAATCACAACAAAAAAAGATTTCCTGATAACTTGTAAGTGTTCTTACTGGTAGTTTAATTAAAAAGATAATTTTGGATTTTTGAAATTTATACATTCTAGTTAGTATTTATTACTGTTATGACATTTTTAGGTCAACAATCAAGCAACGGATGAAAATCCATCAAAGACAAAAAATGTGGACAAGTGTAATACAAACAATGAAAAATCTCCTAAAACCAAAAATAAAATTGCAACAGACAATAATGATAGTAAAATTCTAAATGAAAACAAAACAGAAAATGATCGATCTGAGGGTACAGGAGTTAATGGGGAAAACCGGGACAGTGATAAAGAAAAAGAAACAAAAAACACACCAAACAAGAAGAAAAGAAAACTTTCTGAAAATATTTCTGAAGTGCATAAGGAATGTGATACAGAAACAATAAGTCAGAAATCAAATCAAATAATGGAGGACAAGGAAAAGAAATCAAAAGATAAAATTAAAGACAATGACGGGGCTAGTGAAAAGGTTGAAAAGGTGACAGCTAATAAAAAAGGCTTGAAAATCGAATCAAGCTCAAAAAAGAGAAAACTGAGTGAAAATGAGAGCAATTCTGAAGAAGACTCTAAATTACAAGATGATATTGAATTGAACACTAGTGATTTTGATTCTGACGATAGTTCAAATCATGTCATGCAGATCAGAAAACGTAAAAACTATGAAAGCAAAGAAGACATTCAAGTCAGTAAAGATAGCAAGAAACTGAAAAAACGTAAGAGTCAAGAAAGAAGAACTGATATGAAGTCAAACTCAGACAGTGACAGTGATGAAGAAGAAAAAGAAATAAGTAAGAATGTGTTTCTTCAAGGAAAGCCAAAGCCTACTTTAAGTGAGGCAGGATTTCTTTGGGATATAAAGCCAGAAGACTTAAATAAACCAACTGAGGTTGCTACGGATGATATAGATGAGGTATGTTTCTAATTTCAACTTCTGTTAATAAGTGTTTGTTAGTTAACGTTAAAATTATTATGCATGTAAATGTAATTCTGTAAGACTCAAGGAACAGGTTTATTAAACAAATCCCTTAGTGTATGGCAATGGTTTTTGGGAATTTTATTTACTTAAATTGAGTTCAGCAACTAGTAGCAACACTTATTGTTTGCATATTTTTTGTTTGCCATTTTATCGCCATCCTCATTTTCTATGTTTTTTGTCAGGAAAGTGTCCAATCTTAGATCCTTTTACCATCTTATAACAACTTGTTCTTACCAAATACAGTGGACTCCCTCTTATCCGGACTCCTCTCTCAGTCCGGATAGCGGGTTTTCCGGTTAAACCGATGTCCCCAAAAACTCGTTAAAACGGACTGTTTAAATACATACTGTATAAAGTATTTGACTTAAATTTAAGAGAGAATTGTATCTAGACACATGATCACTGGTGTCAAATCTTTCCTACGAGAACAGTTGTTTCAGTACCGCCCACTTCCTGCCGATCTAGTCCGGTTTAACCAATGTGCTGATAAAAATTGTCCGGTTAAAGAGATGTAATTTCTGCCTAGTGTTGTCCGGTTAAAAGATGTCCGGATAAGAGGGAGTCTACTGTAGCAACTTAGTCAAGACACTTCTACAGAATAACCTAATCCGTGAGTTTCTAACCAACTGACCGCTCTTTATTTTAGGTAAATCAAGTCAGCCTTCCTTTCAATAGTCAATATCTGTTTATAATAATCCAATCTGCTATTGAATTAGATCAACCTAGGCCTAGGCCTAGGCCAGGCCTATCTGCTCCAAAATTTTAACAACAAGATATTTAACTTCTGCATAATTTCCCTTCGGTTTATGCGATTACTTTTTGGAATGGTAGGAAAGCTTGATCACATCAAACCAGTCAAACATGCAGAATAGCCAAAACAGCAGTAAACAAGGAAAAAATAGTGCCATAACAATTTATCATCTCTGTGTTGTCTATAGATACTTATTAAATTAAGTATCAGACTAATACACCAATATAGTTAGTGCAAAATTACTTAGATTTTTGCTTAACACATTAAAATTTGAATTCTAGGAAGATGAAGATTCAACCAAAGAGAAGAAAAAGAAGAAGACGTCGGCAGATCGACGACAAGCGGCCAAAGAAGAAGAGGCAAGACTACGGCAGGTGGAGCAGACTCTGCTTGCATCTGAGAACAACCCACAGTCAGCTGATCAGTTTGATAGAGCCGTGTTGGCGCGGCCAGACGACGACGAGCTTTGGATAAAATACATGTCTCATCACCTGCAGGTATAGTTAATTTAAGGGCGCTGTTGATTAGTAGGGAAAAATCTAGAAATTCTGAAACTCAAATCTGAATTTAAAATCAAGTCTTGGATCTATATTATAGAATCAACTGAATCAATTCTTACTATTATTTACTTGATCTCGAATTTGATTCTAATTTCAACTTATTTAACTGCTGAAACACATTCCCCTCTACATGGCAATAGATTGTTTCCTATAATTACAGATCATAAAATGATTTTTGTATTCATATGATCACCATGTACCGAGAAAAAAACCCTGGAAAAAGGTATTTCCTAGTTGTTACAGTGGGAGGAAAGGAAGTGTAACTACCAGTACTGTAAGTGTGAGTTTTTGGGATTTTATTTTTAAACCAAAACGATCAAGTTTTCAAATTTGAATATTTTACTAGAATTTGGTGGTTTTGAGATTTAGATTCGACACATCAGTGCTACTGTAAGCAATTGAACGTTTGATGATTGGAAACAAAGCACAGGCACATTGTACCAACGAGTTAACGAGTTATACTGCAACTCCCAGTAAAGCAGACTTACTTTGTGTACTCGTACTGCATATTGCATTGCCTCTGAGAAAAAATTCACTTAGGTGGCTTACTCTCACATAACATGAATAATGAATTTATTTCCTCAAAAACAAACAAATAACAATTAATCGTAGGTCATAGGTTGCTCCTCCTAGTTTGGTGCCATAAGGTCATAATTTTATGGTCATAGGGCATAGGCCATTTTGACAATGCACCGGTTCTATATGTTATCACATGTAAAAGAATGTTATGTGCAATTAATTAATGTCTAATGTTTAATTGCTACTGATTTACGTAGTACCTTCTGTATCCTATAGTCAATGGTAGTACATTTACATTTATTTAGTACAGTATATAGTTAAAATTATAGTATTTCCAATAGGCTATTTTATTTATTTTGATTTAATAGTTTGAAAGTGAAACTGTAGCAAATATTCCATAAACTAACAGTGAACAATATTATTTTGACGAGTTTTACAAGTGTGATGAAAGTTTGGTTTTACCTAAATGCTCAAAACTTGACCGTGTTACCAGGCCACGGAGATAGAGAAGGCCCGAGCTGTAGCTAGGAGGGCTCTACAGACCATCAACCAGCGACTAGAGGTAGAGAGGCTCAACATATGGATTGCCTTGCTGAACTTGGAAAACTTGTTTGGCACTCAGGTAAGTTTGTTGCAAGAATATATAATATGTATGTAGGTATTAAATTCAACCTTATAAAATATAAGTGTGTCATTTGACCAATTCCAAATCATTTTCCAAATTGCTTTGAAACGTCAGGAAGTTATTTTACATGCCTAAGGTTTTCTTTTCTTATTCCCGATCTTAAATTTCCTCAGAGTTCTATTCTGTAGATTATTAGCTTTACATGAAAATTAACAACCCAAACTAAAATATGTGTACACACTTATCTAACATCTTAATTGAAGCATTATGTTACAGGAAAGTTTGAAGACCACTCTGGATGAGGCCCTCAGAGCCAATGATGAATACGCAGTGTACACCAAGATGTTGAATATTTACTCTCAAGCTAACAAGGCACAAGTAAGACATTTTATATCTTATGTTTGTTTAAAATTAATTTTAAATGTTTGTTTTCTTACTCGATAAAACTAATTCTTTTTTGTAAAGTTTCAAGAGTTGCAAGAATGAATACACTTATATTCATTTATATTTGTTATCATTTGTGGAAAAAATCAAAATATTATGGAGCATATAAATATCACCATTATATTACTAACTCAGAATAGAAATAACAATTCAATTACATTAAAGCTATAAACTTTTTAAAATTACTAACACAAATGTGTGACACAGGAGGCGGAACAGCTGGTTCACACGATGCTACGCAAGTTCCGAGAGTCACTGGAGTGCTGGGTAGTTTGTTGCGGATCCCTGATGAGTTGTGGACTAGCGGATAAAGCTCGTAACCTGCTGCAGCGGGCCATCACTGCATTGCCTGCCAAGCAACGTGAGTATACAACATACGGGATTAAACCTAATTGGTAAATGCTCCTGACCGGCAGAAGTGAAAAAAGGAGACTGTGTAATGTTGGTATCAAGTAAAAGTAAAATCATTCTAATAAATTTTAACTAAAACTCTGTTTTTAAAATAACATTAACTATGTATTAGTGCTGGACATCTGTAATCTGCTGCAAGTCGCTTTGAGAATGCTCTAAGTACTGTCTATTTTCAATGGACTTGTATCTTTTTTATTGTTATTTGTTTTGTTTTATTTTACAGATGTAAACCTTCTGTGCAAGTTTGCCCTGATAGAAAATCAACATGGGAACAGTGAGCAGGCACAGACATTGTTTGAGCATATATTGACCACCTACCCTAAGAGGACGGACATTTGGAATGTTTACGTGGACATGCTGGTCAAGTCAGATAAAGTTAATGTTGCAAGGTAGGACATAGTTAGTTTTACAGAACAGTTAAGTTTTATAATCTTCTTACTAATAGGAAAGATAATGTTATTTCAACCATGCTTAATGTAAGAAAATCCATTGATCCAGGGGCCTATAGCTTGGATATGTTATATTCTGGACTGATGGCACTATAGAAAGCACCTTGATCTGCCATAAAATTACTGATTGGCATTTCTAGAGTCAAAAGCCACCATATTAAATAAAAATAGTTATGATACAAGACATTTAATAGTCCAGTCAACCTGTGTTTTTAGGAGGGGAAAAATAGTAGAAAAATTTTACCTGTGTCTGTGGTTCTTTGGGCTTCGGCCTGCTTGTTGTGTGCGACCAGCATTCAGTGGGCAAATCCTCGACTTTGGAAGTAACCTTTCCTGGAGGTGAAAACGGGCAAGTACCCGCAGCTCACGGGGACACTCAAGGGCAACGTAACTTTCCGCAGTGTGAGGGCAACGGTTTGTAGGTACTTATGCAAACCTATCCCTGTCTCTGAGCACGGACGGTATGGTTATCTTGAGTGTGGGGGGTTCTTCCCGGAACCTCAATTGAGTCAAGGGTGTCGCCACCTCTGGTGGATAGGTTCATCCGGGTGGGTCCCACTTCTATACCTGCCTCCTTTTGGGAAACCCTGATGGCCTGGCAGTGATGTTGGGTCTGACGGGCAAACGAAGTAGATCGGGTGCTGGGTCCGAGCCCGCCAGGGGTATCTGGGGATCTATCGCTCTGGTTATCTCTGGTTTCCCAGCAATGGGTAAGGCCTCGATCGGGCAGCGGTGCAAATGGGAGGTTGGGGTTCCCCCCGTCAGCGTGCTGATGGTCCCCTTCCTCCTGGCTATCGATGGCGGGTTCTGCCTGTCAGGGATTAGATAGGTCCCGAGTGTTGCTTGCACTAAATGCGTCGGGGCGCTCTACTATGGACCTCTAGGTTTCGACCTAGTGGAACCCAGGTGGAGTGACGCTTAAACAAGCAGCCGGAATCCCTGGTTAGGATTGAGGGGCAACCCTCTTTCCGAAGGGTCTGCTTCGGCAGCCGGCGAGCCTGATGACCTTAAGTCATCCGCCCATGATGTGCTAAAGGTTGATGCGTAAGCTTCGGCCTACATCATGGGGCCCGGGTATGTCCTGAAGGATAGGTACCGGGTATGCAGTCAGGGGGCTTCGGCTCTCATGACAACAAATATAATAAAAAAAAAAAAAAAAAAAAAGGGGAAAAATAGTAAAAAGCTGGTTTTTTCCCATCGACTACTACCATTTAGACACGTGTTCAGCCAAAAGTCCATGCTCCACCCCCCCCCCCCCCCCAAAGTGTAAGGGTTTCGTAAAACCTGTTTGTCTTGATTGTTAAAAAACATATGATTTGCAGTATTTGCACTAAGTTTTATCGTCTTTGTTATACAATTTCCTACAATTATGTTTAGTTAACTTTCGTCGTAGCTGTTACTGTTTGTTCGTAATTTGTATAAAAATGTAAATGCTATTTTTCTCGCCTTAACTTTTTTGCTGGTGTTTTATGAAAACATGTTTGCAATCAAAGTTGTAGCTGCTTTCATTAGCTTTCAAATTATGTATAATAGTACTTACTTTAATGGGGATCCTGCGAGATTCAGCCATTGTAACATGTTTTCATAAAACGTCAGCGGAAAAATTTAAGACGACAAAAATCAAATTATGTATCCAAAAAGATATGAATCTTTACATTTTTATACAAATAACAAACCAACGGTAACAGATACAGCGAAAGTTAACGAAACATGATTGTAGGAAATTTTATAACATAGACAATAAAACTAATTGCAGTTCAATATGTTTTTTAACAATTGATCAAAACGTGATTTATAAAACCCTTACACCTTATATGTTTAGGGGAAGCAAGGGGGGTAGGGGCGTGGACTTTTAGCTGAACAATTGTCTAAATGATAGTAGTTAATGGGCGAAAAATCAGCTTTTTACAATTTTTTTTCCTTCAACCGGTGTTTTACGACACAGGTTGGTTGGGCTATAATTCAGGTGTCTCATGAACACCTTAAATACTCACAATCTTAAAGCGCTAAAGGCGACCAGGTATAACTCACTCATGCTTGTAATTTACACATGGTTGTAATGTAAATGCAAGAAAAAGGATATGACCTAACTCTCAGGCCTAGAGTACGATAAGAGCGGTGAGTGGCAAGCGGCGAACGGTAACCTGAGCGGCACATAACAACAATAGGCACAAACGGATCAATAGGCTTAACAATAGCCACACACAATAATAGGCGCAATAATAGGATCGTGGCGGTGGTGGCTACGATATAAGCGGCACATTTATAATGCTCATCAAATTTCCCCAGTTTTATGAGTCAGTTTAGTTGAAAATGGTAAACTATGCTTACCGTACTACTTACCGTAACTATGCAAAACGTAAATATTGCAACTATTTTTGCCGTCTCACAATTGTTTGCCTTTAAAGAAAAACTTAGTTTTTAGAAAAACCTTAACCCTAACTTGGTCCCATACTTTTCTGGGGACTGAAGTGTTTGAAAACTTCCGTGCTGGTCATTCCACAAACATTCCCTGGACTGCACCTCATGTATCGCCCCGTATCGCATGTTTGCTGCTGTTTCCCTGTCATTTTATGTCAAACTGAAGTATGATTCACCTGAACGGTGAGCGGCGTTTTTGCAAAAATTGGTTTTGACTTTGAACCATGAGCGGCACTGAGCGTATCGTGGCCACCCTCAACAAATTTACACGCAACTAAATGAGACCCGATGTCAGAGCGGCACCGCTCGTATCATACCCGGGGCCTCAAGCTTGTTAAAGTCCTGGTAATACTATTCCATTCACTCATCTTTCAGACAAATACTGGAACGTGCTACAAAACAAAGGCTTCCTCCAAAAAAAATGAAGATGTTATTCAACAAGTGGATCAGTTTTGAGGAAAAGAATGGAACGGAAGAGAAAGTGGAACATGTCAGAAAACAAGCTCTAGCATACGTCAACAACATTACAAACAAACTGGACGAGTAGATTGTTGTTGCGGGATAATACTTTGTGTACATACATTACAATAAGCTGTATATTTTTATACAATAAAAGATCATTTTAATAATGTAATTACCTTTATTGCCCCCAATAAAAACTGTTTAAAGTTAGCTTTGAAACTTAAGTAAAAAACTTCAAATTCCTTAATGTTTAGACAAATTCCTAAAAGAAATTTCAAAACAGTGTTCCTCATATACGACCTCAGAAAACCCAACTTAGTGTCTGACCGTCTTCTTGTTCTCTGTCTGGGATGATAACACTGAGAGTGTATTGTTAACCGAAAGGCAGATCGCGGATGTTGCCGTAATCACGGCAGGCAATACCCAGTGTCGCCAATAATGGGTGTTGTCGCAGTCGCGGGAGACGATTATTATGTCGCGGGCACTGCAGGTTATGCTCCTCCCAATATCTGACCTTTTGGCCGTTCCGATCATGGCCCGGTCCCGTCATGGTAGGATATGAGGGGTTCTACTGTACACTAATTTGATCATTTCAATATGCGACAATGTTTTTACCCTACACCTACCCAAACATTGCTTTTCTGTGTTTATGATATGTTTTAAAATCATTTAATTTCTTTTGAGTTTTTGCAAATTTGTCTATAGCAGAACTATTGTTATACCATATGAAATCAATTTGAATTAAGTGTACACATTGCTTAAATTAGTAGATTTCTACAATTGCAATGCTGCAGTGGGAGTATTGTCTAATTTTAGGGTTGCTATGATTTTTCAGTCTCATCTCAAAACAGGTTATACAAATAATATTAAATTGGAATAGGAGGCTGTAAAAAACCAAAGAATGCTACTTAAAAGATTTTATTATACAAAATAAATGTCAATTGAAAACCAATGTCAAGAAAAAATTACAACATTAAGAATATTGCTTTTTATCCAGTTTAGATCTCGTAATTTGAAAATATTGATAAAGTTTAGTTTCTATAAAGTAGTTGTATTCATATCCGTGTCAAAAAAGTAATTAAATCTAATTCAACATTTTTGTATTTTGTTTGAAAATAAATTCTAACAAATCCACACATCGTTTGTATTCCAAGCCAGATTTTTGACCAATCTGTAATAGCATTGGATGCTGTTATACTATTTGAAATATTTACACAATATAAAATTAGAACTATACATTTTGAAATATACTGTGCTATATTATATACTTAAATTGTTACATAACACTTTAACCCTACATTTTCCGTACTGTACAAAAAGACCGAATCCTAAATAAAAGAAAAGAGTACTTTAATGAAATTAATTGTTTACCCAGCAGAGGTCATAGAAAACACAAACATATAAAACAGGGATACATTACTTGTAATATGTATGAAAAGACTGCTACACTCTGGTTCTACACTATGAGAATTTTTAGTTTTCTATGTTTTATGAAAGTATATGAAGCATAATGTACAATAGGGTTCAAAATAGGAATGTGACAAATCTGGTCTGTATCAAAAGCTTGTTATCTTTAAAAATCCATTCATTCAGTCTAAGTTTAAGTAATAAAAAAAACTTTTACTTCAAAAATAATTACACACAGCTTTTAAACAGAATGGTTTTTCTTTTAATTTATACCCCATTCCACACAATTTTTTGTTGAATGCTTTTTAGTGATTTTTGAACAGGAATAATAAAAACACTATCTAAAAAAGTCTTTGTATTTAGTCGTCTTTCTGTAATAAAACAAATAAAAGACCAAGACTATAATTTTTTTTCATAAATAAGTATGCTATTATAGTAAAAAGTCAAATAAAAAAGTCAAGTCTAAAATGTTCTTTGACAGCGGTAGGCTCTAATCCAACTTAAAAAACAGATTTTTTAGGATAAAATCAAATGTCTTCACAAGAATATTTTACAGTGTCAGACACAAGTATGATAATTTTCTATGTAATGATGTACACAATGGTTCCACCATCACACAATAAATTTTGTCTGTGCTACCTCTGCTGTAGTGTAGTATCGGATGATAGTGTGTATTTAAAAAAAAATGCCAGACTATTGATTCTAATTTACAAGGGCTATCCTTAAAGGAAAGACTTCATCAAGCTTTTGTCGCAGCCAAAGCAAGCTAGATCAAATCTGAGAAAATTTTTGTGTTCCTTTCTACATGTATTCTTGCTGGTCTCCACCTATGTACGAAGATTAGACTCGTCATAGTATTCGCAAAAGTTGTGAAAGAAAATTGCTCATTTTCATTACTCATTTGTCAACTGGAAACAGTTATCAACCAGGATGTTATCCCTTTACTAGAGAAACCTAATAAAAGAACACAATTAATAGTTGGTGGGAGTGCAAATTTTCTTATACCATGTTTTCTAATATTATTACTATACTAATCGCCCCACAGTCATGGAGGTCAACCAGAATAATAATGAATTAAGTAAATAACAAAATATTGGTCTCAGATTTGATCTAGCTTGCTTTGCTGCGACGGGAGTTTGATGAAGACTAATTTACGAACAGCGCTCGTCCTTGCGGTTAACTTATTTCAAAAATAAATTTCCAGACAAAGTTGTAAAAAAAGGTTTAGTTGTAGTTATAAGGAAATCACAATACGGTTGGAAATAGATGTAATAGTGGTGGAGAGGTATGTGATTGTTTGACCGCAAGGGTACACCTTAGAATAGTTCCAAGGAAAATTAGTAATTTAAATATTTACAGTAAATAATTAAAGGGTAAATTTTACTGAATAACAAACTACCATATAACTAACATGTTAACACTCATCCATGCTGAAAAAGAGGTTAGGAAACATTTGTCGAGGCCACAATTAATTGTCCTTATCTAAATCTAACAATACACAATCTTTGGTAAACTTCTCACTGTCTTAATCTCATGAAACAAACATCACCACAACAATGTTTACACTGATCAGTTGTACACAATGAGTCAAATCGTCTACCCCACCCCTCCCCACAACTGCGCCTGTCCCTCTCCCCGGCCCCACGTAGGGTTCCAGCTCAGACTTGTTGTAGTTGCTGTAGTACCAGCTCATAGAGTCGTTCTTCACGTCCTGATGCTGTGTCGTGTAGTAGTGGTGGGGGGGACTCTTGGCCAGGCGGGGGAAGGGACCTTGGAGATCCTCAGCCATAGGGGCTGGTCCTGGACCTAGCGGGGGTGTCACCGTAACCTACAGCAAACAGGTAAGTTTTTTGAATAACGGTACAAAAGGTTAGAATATATTAACAGGTTAAGTAGCAAATATCTGAAACATGGGTACTAACCAAACAAGATGAAAAGAAGCTAATCATTTTCGAAAACAAAATTCTCAGACGTATATATGGCCCAATTGAAGAAGAAGGAATTTGGAGGATTAGATTAAATAAAGAATTACGTGAGGTCTACAAAGATCCGGATATTACTGCATTAATTAAAAGCCAAAGATTTCGATGGGCAGGACATGTTTACAGGAGACCTGAAGAGTCAGTCTTGAGAACTGTGACGGATGCTGTACCTGTAGGAAGAAGACCTTTAGGACGCCCAAGGCTGCGATGGTGGGACCAAGTCCAGAGGGATATGAGAAGGATGTCCGTTAGGAGATGATGAAGGACCGAGAAAGATGGCGCAAAGCTGTTGGAGAGGCCAAAAACCTGCTTAGGTTTGAGTGGCCAGCTAGGTAAGGTAAGGTAAGTAGCAAATATATCGTATTTAGTTGCTATAACTTGTTTTTGTGTGGAGGTCAAGAGACATAAAAAAATAATTAGTCTAGATAAGTTACAAGATGAAATCATACCGGAATACTAATAATTTAAATGATTTGTTTACATTCAAAACTACTTTATTATTTTAGTCCAAAATGTTAACCCTTTCTGCTCAGTTTGTCATGACCGCACGAACTCTAATGTCGGGCCGGACCCGACACAAATCCATCACACCTACAAGACATTTTACAGTTTCCTATATTACAAACAATACATAAAAATAATGCAATAATCACATAAGTTGAATCAAGTTATTCAACACACCTTGGTGATGGTGGGTCTTCCGGGTGGTTTCTGGGACGGCAGCTGAGCCCCGGGTGCCACAAACTCAGACAGAGATGTAGGACCTTTCCCCTTGTAGCCTACTGCACCCCACAAGTCACTGAGGAAACTGCCTGTGGTTGTCGTCGTCCAGCTTGAGCTTGCTTCACTCTTATTGGCTTTCTCATCTAGAATTTGCAAACGTTACTAAGATTTGCTAGTTTTAGACTAATTTGTCAAAACGTTATCTCTAAATTTTAATCAAAATACCACTATAGGCTTCTGCTTACTGAATTAGACATCAGATAGTTGAGTGAATCACTCGCAGAATGTGCTGATGTGACAGGTCAACATTACACAAACAGGTGACATTGTCAAAATACAAATACCTTAAAACTAAGGAGTTATAAAAGACTAAAATAAACTAAAACTATAAAAATAAAAGTGGTATAAAAAATGTATCAGTAAAAAAAGGTTATTTGTGTAACATGTAAAGAATAAAATAACTTACTTTAGATTTTATGTTTTCATTGTATGTTTCATTAGTATTTGCAATTGTTCTAAGACGCCTCGAAGAGATCGCACACACAGTGAAAATAATAAAGCTCGCAACGCAAATAATAGGGATATGATGATAGGGACATAATCGTTTTCACCCATACCAACTATACAATTATCATGGATTTTGAAATCACAAAGTGACTTAGGTTGCTAGTAGGTTTTACAATACTGTAGGTTTTATATATATGATATCATTGTCAGACCACTAGAATCACCTTGTACAAAGATGGAAGCTGTCATCGTGTTAGGTTTTGTACTGTTTGTACCGGTGCGGGAACTCTCCGGGAGGCTGATGGCGAATGTCATGTCCTGCTGCGTAGGTGTTGGTGGAGGAGGTGGCAAGTTAGGAGGAGGATGAGGGAACTCTTCACTAGCTCCACCCAAACCTCCACTCTCCAGTAGAGGCTCAGATAGATTGGTGTCCCACGGAGCTGGAGGATTGTTGTCCTCTTCCTCGCTAGATATCACCTCCGGTCCATGTAGCTTGTATTTGCCCGGCAGGGGCACCTAAGTAACATCAATTAATGTCTTAATTTCATTGAAAATAAGTGACTTACCCACTTACCCAGTGGTTATCGCTACATCTACTTGAATAGTATAAGAACTAATTTGATCTTTGATTGTTAATTTGCACATGAATAACATATCATTAAGGAAGTCTTTTTTTATCCTAAAATACTCTAGAGCTCCGGTCCTGTCTTTTAAAATTACCACGATAAAGTGATCGGATTATGTTGAAGGCTTTCTACGGAAACATTAGGAAAAATATGACATACAAATAATTTTGTTTGTGGTTTTTATTATTAAGACTGTTTAAAATCAATTTGATTGTTTTATTGTGCCTTAACAGTAATCTTATTTTTCTTATATACTGAAAACCTTTGCAAAACTTATGACAGCTAGCCTGGCCATACTACTGGACCGAATTACACACAATTGGTACCAAATGAAAGATATTTTCCTGTAGATGTGCAGAATCCCTTTATAAATTAAAATAGACTCAAAATAAGCACAAAAAATGAACTAAACAAAAATTTACATGGGCCTTATGGGTTGCTAAGTTGGTGACAAAATAACAAAATATAAACAGAAAATCAAAACAAATTAAAGAAATCACAATCACATGTTTTATTTACAGCAAGGGTTGAAAATACATACTTTTGGTCGAGTTTTCGACCACGGGGCGAGCTCTCGTGATGTCTTATATCAGTTTATTATGAAATTATATATCCCCATTTAGCTTAGGCCTATGTTATACCCATATGCAGTTATGAAAGTGCAAAAACAAAATCTCTGTTTAAATTCCAAACATATGGGTGGTAAAAACAGTTTTTTCTTTGCCCAAACGCCAATTGTGTAGAAAATTCTTTTCACTATCAAAATTTCTAACCCTTCCACCTAACTAGATTCTTGAAACCATTATGTTAGTCAAACAAGATATTTCTCCATTCAATAGTCCAGAAAACCTCTGCATTTGCTTCACTTCGAAATTCCCATAATTTGACAATCCCTATAAGCATGTTACACCTTCTAAAAGAAATCATCTTTACAACGGCATCCAACTTATAGCTTTCCCCTGTCTTTAAAATTGGAATCGGACCACTTAAAATTTAAAAAAAAGCATATATGAGGAGCTAGCATGCAAACCGTGTTTTGTCCAATATTTTTCAAAACTCAGCTAATAATTGATTCTAATTTATTTTCTCCATTTCCACTCAAGGTAACTTTGTTTTTCAGGCAAAATAAGCTTTTTCCCATTTAAAACTGATATTGAAAACTGGGTGTTCGTGCAGAGTGAGTTTTGTCCTCAGGTGGCTGTAATGCAAAGCGTGTTTTGTCCAACTGGCCAATGGATGCAGCCCTTTTGGTCACATGATCCTTTTTAATGCACCAATCGTCGAAGGACAAGCAGATGAATTTGATGATGAAGAAGAGTGTACGATTGCTTGAGCCCATGAACGGTGTGACTTAACATGTGTAGTGTTTAAAGCATTGAACAGCCAACTATTAGTAATTATTATTATTACTTTAAATGAGTACTTAATATTTGTGCGGAGGATCTCGAAATAATGTTTAATTTTTTAAATATTATTACGCAACAAGTTACATACATTTGTAATGTTTTTAGCATTGAACAGCCAACTTTTATTGATTTTAATGTTTAATTTTTCAAACTGATACTAAAAATATCACATGTGTAATGTTTAGAGCACTAAACAGCCAATTCTTAACGATTGTAATGTTTAATTTTTAAAATTAACATTAACACATTTTTAATTCAAAACGTGTTTTGTCCCAATGCGTTTCATTCAAAACGTGTTTTATCCAAAAGGTCCATGCAAAACGTGTTTTGTCCAAACTTAATAACATTTTTTAAATGGTTAAATTAATATATAACTAGATAAAACCTTATTGGGTTCTTTTCTAGAAGTGCAGTCAACAAGTAAAAAAAAAAATCAATATAATCCTTCCATCCAAAACTTTTTTATCAGTTTTCTGTGCCTCCTGAAAAGTACACAAACTGTGACAAAACACGGTTTGCATTTTAGCTCCTCATATGAAGACAGTTGTAGCATTCAAGAGTGCTTGAACCACAAGAACTGGACTATTTTAAACCCTGATGGGGTGTAATAGTGAAATTATGTAATTTTTTAGTGTGTAGGCCTAGTAGCTAAAGTTGTTAACACCTTCATGTGTAACAATAATTTGTAACAAATCTTATTCATGTGTAACAATAATTTGTAACAAATCTTATTCTTTTTCGTATATTACCTTTCACTTTTGGTCTATTTCCTCACCGTTTAAAAGTTATTTGCAAAAAAGCTTTTAAGCAACCTCTGAATTTAAGTGGTGATTCAGTTTTATATCTAATAATGTAATTCAGTGATTTAATTAAGTTACTGTATAGATTCAGTATTAAACTCTTGAAGGACCATTTTAAACTCAAACAACATTTAACACGAAAGCTACGGTATACGGAATACCCAGACCCTACACCATAGAGAAATAATAACAACTTCTCTGTCACACTGTACCTGTTTGAAATAGGGATGTGTGTAGACAGTCTAGTCAAGTACCGGGCGAGTTGAACAAATCAACAACTGGGCCTAGTAACTGGGCCGAATAACTCGTCTGACATACTCGACCCGTGTAAACCAGGCTTAAATAATTAAGAAAGGTTTACAAAATAAAATAATTTTAGTGTTGTTTACGTTTGGAAATTAATAAGCCATTCATATTTCTTGTAAAATATTCAAAAACAAGGTTACTCTATACTATTTCGGTGATGAGGAAAATATACAACACAGTCATGTGAATTCGGCAATCAACTGCAGGTTCCGACTGAGTTTTGCCGCTCCTATAGTAGTCCTAGCCTTTTACCGGTGCGAAAATAAGCTACATTTTACCACGTGAAAAACGCACGTGCTGCCTACAACGGCGGGAATTCAAGCATGAAAAAATCTAGGCCTATAGTATTTACCGCGAGAAAAATCGCCTGTGTGGCCGTAGCCTAAAAGGCCTGGCACACACGGTCGATTTTTCGATCGACCGATTAAAAAATCGGCCAAAAATAAATTGCCCTTAATTTATGTCCAGGCGCACACGTGGCGATTTTTTAGTCAAAAAATGGATTTTTTTTAAGTGCGTTTAAGCTATCCTAAAATGGACTTTGTTGAATTAACCTGTGTTTGTGCTCTTCTAATTAGATCAAAGAAAAAAATAAGACAACTTAAATATTGTGTTCATCCGATAGTAAGTCAGAGACTTCTAAATCGAAAGTTTTATAAACTATACACTTTACGTGATGACAGTAAAAATTTATTTAATTACTATAGAATTTCTGTTGAAAAATTCAGTTTTTATTATAACAGCTGTAGCCTTTTTTAGCAAAGATAACAACGCAACTCACACTGAAGTTCACTGACTGCTGTGGAGAACAACAAGCGACTGGCTGATTTTTTAGTCGACCGTGTGCGCGGACTGATAACAATCTGTACGTTACAGATTTTCGGGCAACAATCGCCTCGCCTACGAATCTGTGGCAAAACCCAAATTTTAAAATCGGCGCAATTCTCGATCGCCTGTGTGCGCGCTTCCATTCAAATACATCATGCACAGATCGGCCGATGAAATAGTCGCCTCAAAATAATCGCTCGTGTACGCCTAGCCTAAGTTATTTTGGAAGGATTAAGGATTATGCCAGCCAGCTTCGCTATGATAAATTAGGTACTTTTAGTTGCCCACGTGATCTGCAACCAATCTTGGTCACTGCTTAGCGGTTACTATTTTAACCAACATAATTAGAGTTATATTTGGAACCATGGATTTGTGAGGTGACAAACATAAAGGCTAAATATGGTGACCTTTAGAACCATTTCGAAGTGGCAACTTCGCAAGTAGGGTTGTCAGCTGTTTTGTTTCGGAACTGGTTTGTATTTGTGTATTTACGAACGCTTGGTTACTGGACTATGCAAAAATTGACTCCGCTTTAAATGTACATAATATATAGATTTTCAATTCATATTGTATTGGATTTCAATTCTGTATGTTTTATTTTCAATATTTTAATAAATGTATGTTCATAAATTTTAAAATTTATCAAATGAAGTGCGAATAATGAGCTGATGCACACGGACGTGGCTGACGTCCCATGTTGATGTCAGCCTTGCGTCTGACACTAAACAATCGTACTTGCGACGTTGCCAATTCTACCAGGTCGCGGCCTGGAGTTAAAAGGTGGCCGTGCATGAATTCGCAAATCCCGACTCTACCTTCCTTCCTCACATACCTAAATAGGAACTGATTAGTTTAAAACGAGAGCTCGCCCCGTGACAAAAAACTTGACCAAAACTATGTATTGTGCAAACTTCTCCATCTTCAAACCACGCTGTAAATAAAACATATATTGTGATTGTTATTTCTTTAACTTTAATTTGTTTTGATTTTCTGTTTATATTTTGTTGTTATTTCATTACCAACATGGCAACCCATAAGGCTCATGTTAATTATTTTAAATTTTAAATTTATTTTTTTGTGCTTATTTTTGAGCCTTTATTAAATCTATAAAGGGGTTCTGCACTAAAGGAAAATATCTTTCATTTGGTACCAACGGCGTGTAATTTGGGTGATTCGGTCCAATAAGCTAGGCGTAATTCCGTCAGGCTAGCTGTCATAAGTTTTGCAAAAAAATGTGTAGTATATAAGATAATCAATGCTCGGTGGCACTTATAAATGCTTTTACTGCTTTGTTTTTATTGTAAAGATTTCTTCTTCTGGTCTTTTTCTCCATCACATCGTCATCATCAAGTTTTGTTTTAGTTTTATCTGTTATCTCTGGTTATCTCGTTCTCGTTATCTCCTTTTGTTGAATGTTGAATGTATTGCTTCTAGTTTCAGTTAATTAGATTTGTTTACAAACAAATTAAAATTATTATTTTATTACAGTAGTTGTAGCAGTATCATCACTATGATCAGTACCAATACCACAGAAGGCAATAGAGAGACAAACAGATAAGAATTAACAAGAAAATAAACAAATTCAAACCATCAAAGTTTATTTAGATTTGTTGCAGCAGAAAAACTTTAGCACTATTGTTTTCAGGTAAAAATCTAGTTTTTGGTGATACCGTAAATTAACTTAAATTACTATTACCTTAAGGATGTTATGTTTATGCTGCACTTTACTTTAGGTCCTACACTCATTCGAATGAAAATATCTATCTTGGTTAGTTAGGTAAGGTTAACCTAACCTAACTAACCAAACGATATATCGAATGAAATAATCGATATTTTCATTCGGTTGTTTGTGTAGGTAGGACCTAAAGTAAAGTGCAGCCATCTAAAGATTTAGTTTTATTTTAAAACAAGAAACTAAGTTCCCCATGGTCACCTTATTAAGCGCAATTCCTACTAGTCGGAATGTTGTCGGTTGTGATAGGCCTAAGTTAACTTAGCCTTTCCTTGAACTACCGGTAGCCTAATTTTGAAGCTTTTCGATTATAGGCCCTAACTCAGCTAGTTTGTTTACATTCCCTATTCGAAAATGTGGGTGCAGTTTCTTAACTGGGCTACGCTAATATCGATTGAAAGTTAGTTTATGGATTCGCTAGTTAGTTAACCCTTCATTCGGGAGGAATTTTTCATTATCAGCAAGTTTGGTTAAATTAGTTAGGTTAGGTTATGACAGTTTCATTTTATAATAGGCTTAGGCGTTTTGTTAAACATATTAGGTAGGCCTAGGCCTACTGATTAAGTTAACTTATTAATCAATATTTTAGCTGCACTTTAAGTTAGTATCTGTCCTGTACACTCATTCGAATGAAAAATATTGATATAAGTTTTAATAGGTTATTCGATATGTCGATTAAGTGAAAAAAATGAAATACATACGGTTAGTTAAACCATTGACTGACTTTATATTTACACAAACTTAGGTTTGGTTAAAATAACCTAGGCCTAACTAAACCAAACAATATATCGAATGAAATAGGCTATGTTACTTGATATATCGAGCAATATATTCATTCAAATGAGTGTAGGACAGATAAGTACTACTAAGTGCAGCCGAATTTTCGATCAATAGTTTCAATCAATATTAGTGTAACCCAGGTAAGAAACTGTAGGCCTACCCTTAAATGTTTTTCTTACTAACAGCCAGCCAATTTGTGACTTTAACCCTCCGAGTGTTATTTGTCGCTGCAGCGACACATAACACACTTTGTGTAGTGTTTTGTGTCGCTGCAGCGACTCACAAACACTGTTTACGGCGAAGGCTCTATGACTGACAAAATCGGATTGAACTAGATCGAGTTAGGTATCGTTTTATTTGACAGATTCAGAGCTTTTTCCGGAGGTCTGACTCTAAGCGCTATTCATTTTAGTTCCGAAAATATTGTAGCAGACAGCTGACGTGCGTATTTGTAAACAGCTTGGTTAACCTCGGACCGATGACTGATGTGTTTTATTACGTTTATCATTGTTTTAGGGTTAAAAATCAAAAGTAGTGATATACGTGGTGCATTATAAGAAGATTTAAGTGATTTTGAAGGGCTGGTTGATGATCCTGAAGAAGTAGGTAGTGATATTGATGTAAATTATCAGCCAGATTCCTAGCTATGGTTTGGCTATGCATTCTTAGCTAAACGCTATGTACTGAAATTAGTTTTTTGCCCATAACTTATTTATTTGCAAATCTACTTCCTTATATTATTATATAGGTATTTGTAATCCTCATAAAATTTAGAACAAAGTGGCTATTTTCAAATATTTATAGGCCTATAATTTATACAATTTCATTGAGCGCGAACTTATTTTTTTTTGAAAATTTTCCAAAATATATTTTTTTTTACCTAAAAAATTTTTTGAAACAAATGTTCCTTATGTTTTGTGTATAATATTGAAGCCCATGATTTTCCAAACAAAATGGTATATAGAACAGTAGAATTAACATTGTTTTAAGCTTCTCAGATCCGTTTTAATAAAACCTTGCAAATGAGCAAAAAATAGGCAGACATTAAGGCCAAAACAAGGGACACTCGGAGGGTTAAGTTCCTCTATCATAATGACTGTAAGTTAATTCAATCCGACTAAATACAACATGTATTTGATATTAACAAAAATTACCTGTCTATGCATGTACATGTCAAAGCGAAAAATAAATATCTTAAGGCCGGTCTACACGCAAGGATTTACCGTACGTTTTACCTGCGCAAGTAAATCGTTGCAGTCAAATCGTTGCGTGTGTACCGCAAAACTGTGCATTTTTGAGAACTGCGCGGAGACGGAAGACGGAGCTATAAAGCTATTGCTGAGAGCATAGTTTTGACAACGTTTTCAGACAAGTCGTTGCGTGTGGACACTGTCATCCGTTTCAACTCCGTCTTCACGCTCAAAACCCCAGTATGCAGCGTTGTCTTCACGTGTTGACAGAGGCATAAGTGTGTTTTTTAATTACTATCGCAGATCTTCGCCAATGTTCCCGTGATTTTATTGTTGAATTCATCGAACCGTCCAGAAGTGTCCTTAATTTATGGAAGGTCAAGAGTAAGGAATATAGTGACTGTGATAAGAAAAAAGACTTAGATACTTTTGAAAAATACAAAGCAGTAGATTCAAACGTGAACAGAGAAACTATTATGAAGTTTGTTGTCTTTTAGTAACCAACTTGACGATACGAGCGCCGTCGTCTCTCAGACTTATTTCTATGCTTACTTGAAGCACTGGCTGCAGAAATTGCCAACAGAAACACATCTTCCATGATATTACATGAACATACACTGAAAGTTATCACAAAACTGCACTAAAAGTTGGTGCTGAAACCTGTACCGTGTGGACGCATTTCTTTGCAACGACTTGACTGCTACGTTTTACCTGCGCAGATAAAACGTTCGCGAAATCCTTGCGTGTAGACCACCCTTTATGTCTTAACTTATGCCTGTGATATATTTGAATTAAGCATAATACATAAGGTTTTATGCTACAATGTTTTATTGCTCTGAGTTAGTTGAAAATTATCTATTTTTTACGTGATGCTGAAATCATTAACTTAAGCCTATCATTGGATTTTATTCTTTGTAAGCCATCCCTGAACATAACTTTGTATATTTAGTTATTAAATACGATATGAAATCATATGCATAAAAACTGAACATGTCTAATATATAACGCATCACAAAAACTACATACTTTTAGGGTTACTTTTAGGCTACAGTAGACTCCCTCTTAAGTTATCCGGACTCCTCAGGCCCGAGGCCAGTTTAACGGTTTTTGTGGTTAAACCAACGTCCCCAAAAACTCGTTCAAACAAACTGTTTAAATGCATACTGTATAGAGTATTCAACTTAAATTTAGGAGGGTAGACACGTGATCACTGGTCTCAAATCTTTCCCACATCTTTCCCTATTTTTTTTCGAGTTTTCTTCCCTTATTATCTGGAAGTCGATAATGATATTCCTTCCAGCTTTCAACAAACTCCTGTTCGTTAACAATTTGTCGTTACTACGGTAATATAATAATATTAATACTCAGAATAACAAACAGAGGTGATCCAGTAGCTCATCATTTGTCATCCAAAACCTCGACTCCCCCCCTCTTGACCAGTCTTCCCTCTCACAAAGAACAGACCAGATTGGCAGCGATTGTCACTGGGAGCGATTGTTACTGATAGCGATTGACAGGACACCAATTGAAGTGAGATTAATTAAACATTATGAAGTTATTTCTCCTTTCATTTCGCTTGACTTTTTAAATTTCCCTTTTCATTTAGGATATCTTTAAACAGGCTTTAATAATATTCACTCACTTTGAAAATTTCAAGATATAGGCCAGCAAATCATTAGTTTATTTTAGAAATTTACACGATTAGTACATTTAGAAAATTTTGACTTTGTAACCCGGTCCTGGTTTTATGTTAAAAATTCACCAGTGATAAGCACATGTAAATTATAAATATACCCCCGCTGCAGCAAACCTGCAGACTAAGCAAATTTCTAATTGCCTGATATGATTTTCACTTAAATCTTATTAAATAACATTAGGTTTTTAACGAGTACCTAGGTTTACTGCTGCAGGTAGGGTAATAAAGTGTGTTTTAGTAAAATAATTTTAGCTTAGTGCAAAATAAATAAAATTTGCCAAGTTCTATCAAATTACAGTAGACCCCGTCTAATCCCACCCTTTCGGGACCGGAGCTAGCTGCTCGGATAACTCAAGATCGATTAAAACGGGCAATCCCTAGTGTTAACTTGGAAATAGGCCTATATAATCACTATTCTGAAGTCTTGCATGCGTTATTTACAAAATAAACTAGGCTACACTTATCTCCTTTTTTCATATAAGTATTGACGATAGAAAAGTCACAAATAAACCAAAAATTTGGTTAAGTCAAATACTTTCAGTGATATAAATTATATTCGTAGGCAAGAGTCAATAAAAAATCTTTTTAGCGAATTTCCCAAATAGCGAATTCCATATAGGGAATAAGGGTCATTCCATATCAAATCAACAAGGCTCTCAACCTGACCATCTTGGATTTTGATGAAATTTTGCATACTTGTAGTATTTGGAATCCTGAATCCAAATATGCCTTTTAAAAAAATCTATCTTTTATAGTTTTTATGATATAAATATTTGAAAATGGTAAAAATTGGCGTTTTTTACCGTGCGCGCAAATCTAAAATGTTGTCTAGGATGAGTTCTATTGGTCCTATCAAGTTGTACAATGGCTCATTTTAAAGAGGATTCAAATGCCTTTAATCTGATACCAAACTCAACCTACTTTGGTAAAAATTAGTTTTTGTTGAAAATATCAAAATATGTTTTTGAAAAAAAATTTAAGATAGTGTTTTTTGAAAAATTTGAAAATTACATATGTTAAAGAATGTAATCTAGTAAGTACATTATACAAATTTCAAAATGGGATGATAATGGGATCAGCAGTTATGATAAAAATACTTGACTATGGTTCACTGTTTCCAAGCGTTTTGGTGCATACAGCGTGTACGTACTAACCTAAATGTATCATTTAATAAGAGTCTATTAACTATATGATTAAAATAAAAAATATCTGCCTATATTTGAACTATGTATGTCATATTTTGCTCT